TTCTTCTATTAAGGGCCAGGTTGGTATGCCTAAGCTTCTCACCGAGGCCTTGATTCCTATCTTGCACGACCCCAAGACTGGTATTGCCATTGATGTCGATTCTCCAGTTAAACCAAGAGGTTGGAGACAGGTTCTTCTCGAGCTTGGCCCCGAGAAGTTCGCCAAGCAGGTCAACGACTTCAAGGGTACTTTGATCACCGACACCACCTGGAGAGACGCTCACCAGTCCTTGTTGGCTACCCGTGTGAGAACTATTGACTTGCTCAACATTGCCCCTACTACCGCTCATGCTTTGAACGGCGCCTTCTCTTTGGAGTGTTGGGGTGGTGCAACCTTCGATGTGTCCATGAGATTCCTTCATGAGGATCCTTGGGCTCGTTTGAGAAAGTTGAGAGAGTTGGTTCCTAACATCCCCTTCCAGATGTTGTTAAGAGGTGCCAACGGTGTTGCTTACTCTTCTTTGCCTGACAATGCCATTGACCAGTTTGTCAAGGAGGCTAAGGACAACGGTGTTGACATCTTCAGAGTCTTTGATGCTCTCAACGACTTGGACCAATTGAAGGTCGGTGTTGATGCCGTCAAGAAGGCCGGTGGTGTTGTTGAAGCCACTGTTTGTTTCTCCGGTGACATGTTGAACCCTAACAAGAAGTACAACTTGGATTACTACTTGAACGTTGTTGACAAGATTGTCGAGATGGGTACTCATTTCATTGGTATCAAGGATATGGCCGGTACCATGAAGCCAAAGGCTGCATCTCTCTTGATCGGTGCTATCAAGAAGAAGTACCCAGACATTCCTATTCACGTTCACACCCACGACTCCGCAGGTACCGGTGTCGCCAGTATGGATGCTGCTGCCAAGGCCGGTGCTGACGTTGTTGATGCCGCTTCCAACTCGATGTCTGGTATGACTTCTCAGCCATCCATCAGTGCCTTGCTTGCCTCCCTTGAGGGTGAGGTGAACCACGGTTTGGACGAGAGCTTGGTTAGAGAACTCGACAACTACTGGGCCCAGATGAGACTCTTATACTCGTGCTTCGAGGCAGACTTGAAGGGTCCAGATCCAGAGGTTTACCAGCACGAGATTCCTGGTGGGCAGTTGACCAACTTGATCTTCCAGGCTCAACAGTTGGGTTTGGGTGAGAAGTGGTTGTTGACCAAGGAGAAGTACAAGGTCGCCAACAAGCTTTTGGGCGATGTTGTCAAGGTTACCCCAACCTCCAAGGTGGTTGGTGATTTGGCCCAGTTCATGGTCTCCAACAACTTGACCGAAGAGGATGTCATCAAGTTGGCTCCTGAGCTTGATTTCCCAGGTTCTGTTCTTGACTTCATGGAGGGTTTGATGGGTACGCCATACGGTGGGTTCCCAGAGCCTCTTAGATCCAACATGTTGGGCAATAAGAGAGCTAAGTTGGACCAGAGACCAGGCTTGACCTTGCCTCCAATCGACTTTGTCAAGGTGAAGCAGGAGTTGGTGTCCCGTTACGGTGACAACATCGACGAATGTGACATTGCTTCCTACGTCATGTACCCTAAGGTTTACGAAGACTTCCGTGCCATTGTTGAGAAATACGGTGACTTGTCTGTCTTGCCAACCAGATACTTCTTGAAACCATTGGACATCAATGAGGAGATGGTTGTTGACATTGAGCAAGGTAAGACTTTGATCATCAAGTTGTTGGCAATTGGTGAGATTTCCAAGAAGACCGGTACTCGTGAGGTGTTCTTCGAGTTGAACGGTGAGATGAGATCTGTTACTATCGACGACAAGACCATTTCGATCGAGACCGTGACCCGTTCAAAGGCCACTCAGCCTAACGACGTTGGTGCTCCAATGGCCGGTGTTGTGCTCGAGATCAGAGTCAAGAAGGACCAGGAGGTCAAGAAGGGTGACCCTGTTGCCGTTTTGAGTGCCATGAAAATGGAGATGGTCATCAGTGCGCCAGTCAGCGGTAAAGTGGGAGATGTTTTGATCAGAGAGGGCGACTCCGTCGACTCTGCTGACTTGATCACGAGCATCTTCAAGTGATACAGTTTATGTTGTAACCAATAATCATAATATACATGTGACGAATGAACAAACTCATTAGTATTTTGGCCTCTTGGACGAGCGGTCCAGAGAGTCCGGTCTCTTGTAAGAGTCGATTTGACTCTGTAGTTTCTTGTTTTGATCTTCTAATGCCTTGAGCTCAGCTTCAAGGTCAGCTGTCTGAGCGGCGGTCTCATCGGCGCCTTCAACCTGATCTTCGTTCTGTCCTTTCCAGCGAGAATCTTGTAAAGCATTCTTGACAAATGCCGTTTGGTTCAATATCTTGATCCAATCTTCTAGTAGAGCACCTGCACTATCTGTGGCGCTTTTGGTATCTGCTATGTTCGTTTGGGCATTGGAAATTGTTTCAAGGAGTGTATCAACAGTTTTATTTAGGCTTTTGACTTGTTGAAGCTCTTTTTCAAGCGCCAATTGTCGCGACATGGTGGTTTGTTGTATATGAGTTTGTTGTTGTGAGTTGAGCAGTAGTGCACTAACGTCTGAGATCTCGCATCTACCTTACATATTTCCATCAGAACCTGAAAGATACACCAAACTTGGGCCATAGACTGGAGTCTTACTTCACCAAAAGAAAGCTGCTTACTTCATCTGATCCATCATGTCTGAACAGCCCGATGACTTGCCCACACGATGGGAGGTGGAACTAGAGTTTGTTCAATCGCTTGCAAATATCCAATACGTCAACTTTCTAGCGCAGAACGACTATTTCAACGACCCAGCATTTATCAATTACCTCGAGTATCTCAACTACTGGAGGGATCCAAAATACGCCAAGCACTTGGTGTATCCCAACTGTCTACACATCTTGACGCTACTACAGAACGAGGAGTTCCGAAAACAGATTACAAACCCAGACCTCATGAACAGTCTAATGAATGATATGGTGAAGAAGTGGCAGGGAGTTGACGAAATCAATTCTATTCATAACGAGTCTAAGGATGGGAAAGATCTGGAACAGGATCAGCAGAATGCATCACAGGCAGACACCAACAAGGCTGACCATCCAAAGGACGATAGTGCTATGGACGTGGATGAGCAGAGTAAACAAGAAGAAAAGCCAGACGGAGAGGCGGGTGATAAAGCCAAGGAAACGTAAAATGTCGAAAACCCACATGACCCACAATTTGGTCATTCAAAAGCTTCCAATAAAGAGAAGCCCCAAAGTGTATTATATACGAACCATAAATTCAAAATCTTCAGATATCATCTGCTTTAGCGCAACTATCGAGATACCATCAGGCTCACAGGATTTGGGTGCAAGTACATACATGTCGCACTCGCAAAAGTCAAAGGACACCTCTTTAGATCAGTAATGCCTCCTGTTTCCAATCCTTCAGAAGGGGACACGAGGTATGATAGAGACTTCCAAAGACTCGAAAGCTTTTCACGAAGCTTGAAACAAAAATGGAGAATCTCAGTTGCAGAGCTTGCTTTCATTCTCTCGTTTGCCCTCAACTTTGCCATAGGCAAGTTGCTCCATCTATACTCAGACCAGTCGGAGGTTTACAACTACTACAATGACAAAAATAATATCTTCAACCAGTACTTTGTCAAGAAAGGATGGGCGTGGACCACGATGGTGATTATTTTCTTCTACGCTGTGGTGGTGCTGAGGAGGAAGAACGAACCGAGCCAGAGAGTGTTGATCACAGCAATTGCTAGGTATTTTGCAGCGACATTGTGGTGGACGTTGTTTACCCAGTGGTGTTTCGGGTTGCCCATCATGGACAGGGTTTTTGTTTACACTGGTGGTAGATGTGTGGTTCCTGATGGCAAACACTGGGCTCACCTTTTTGAGGAAGTCGATGGGATGTTCCACTCACAGAAAGTCTCTTCATTTGCATGCCGTGCGCTTCGAGGCTCCTGGGAAGGCGGCCACGACCCGCTGGGGCATGTGTTTTTATTGGTGCACTCGTCGTTGTATCTCTTTTTCGAGATCAAGCCGTTCTGGAGAGGCTGGAGCCAGTTTAGAAGAAATATCGAGAGATTGAGAGGACCCAACTTCCCTGCCAAACTCGTGGACACGCTTAATACGACCCCACAAATTGCCGCCGTTATCTTGATGGCACTCTGGTGGTTCATGTTGCTCATGACCAACATGTACTTCCACCTGATAGCCGAGAAGCTAGTGGGACTTTTGTTCGGGTACGCTGCCATCGGGGTTGTGTATATTCTCCCGAGATGGTTGTGAAGAGGAGTCTAGACTGAGGGACAATCGGGTCGTCATCGGACCACAATAGGCTTGGGCATGCGCCGTGGAAACAGGCTTCCACTGGCGAGCCTGGGGCTTGGGATCTCACTCTGTGACCAAAGCAGCCATGAAACCCACAAAACCGGAAGGTGCACATTTCGTGCCCGGCGCCAGAGTCGAAATTACTTGCAGACACGCTTTGCCAGGCATTTTACGAAAAGAGCATATCTGGTGCGTGTCCTAGGCGGGAACGGTAGGTGCGTATTATTTGTTTTCGCGTCGCGCGAACCTCACCAACTCGTCTACGTAACAAAGCCGTTGGTCCAGTACATAATAATATACGAATAGCCTGGTGAATTAAACAAATAAGAGTTTATCGACATGTAGTTGCCAACCCAAAGACCACTTTAAAAATACCCTGAAATCAAAAACCCCCAAAACCACCCCCCTACCCTTGGCTGCAAACCCTGGTGCCTGTCAAAAACGCGACCCCGAGTTTTGTCCTGCGTTGTTGTCGCTACACGCTTTTCAAACCTCTATTCTGGTGAGACTTGCAGGCATATTAATTGTTTTTAGCAGCATTTCGCAGCCGTTCCTTGCACCAAGAAGGAGTGGTGGGAGCGGCGTTGTCCCAATTCGTTCCACCTCCACGGCGTACAAAACTTCTTTTTCTTCTTTTTCTTCTTCCCATCCCACCAAACTTTATCGCTGCTTTAGTCGATTCCAGCCCGGCTATCTAGTTAAAGGCTCCCCCATCCCATGCTCCTCCGTCTCCTACTACTCCTCCAGGCGGTGGTCTATGCCATCTACCTAGGATGGCCCATGGATGAACAGCTCCCCAATGTGGCTCGTGTCAACCAGCCTTACGAGTTCACCATTGCCTACCTCACGTATCGGTCCAACAACGGTGGCTCCATCTCCTACTCCGTCTCGGGCTTGCCTGACTGGCTCTCTTTTGATGAGCTGTCTCGAACCTTTTCAGGCACGCCATCGGAGAAGGACGCCTCGTCTTTTGAAATAACATTGACTGGAAAGGACGACTCGGACGACTCAGAAATGACCAGAGAGTACTCCATGCTTGTGTCCAACAGCACGGGCATCAAGTTGACGTCCCAGGATGTCATGTTCACCACAATTGCTAAGTACGGCAACACCAACGGCAGAGGCGGTCTCGTTTTGTCTGAGGGCGAGGAATTCAACATAAAACTCTCGGAAGACATGTTCGAAGAGAAGGACGGTGCCCTGCGACCAATTATCGCCTACTACGGCCGTTCCAGCGACAGAACATCCTTGCCCAGTTGGGTCACTTTCAACTCGGACGACTTGTCGTTCTCAGGAACGGTTCCTTACGTCACGTCCAACATAGCGCCCTCGTCGTCCTACGGCTTCAGCTTCCTCGCTTCCGACTACTATGGCTTTTCTGGAGCCGAGGCCACCTTCAGCATCTTGGTTGGCGCTCATTCCTTGAGCACCTCGCTCAACGAGTCAATCAAGATCAACGGCACTTTTGGCTTGGACTTTGAGTACCAGGTGCCCGTTTTGACCTCGGTCTACTTGGATGGCTCCACCATCGAAAGCGCCAACATCTCCTCGGTGACCGCCGACGACCTCCCCTCTTACGTTAATTTTGACGACTCTAATTACGTGTTGAGCGGAACCTTCCCAAACTCCCTGAGAAGCGATAACTTCTCGATTGTCGTCAATGACAAGTACGGTAATAGCGTGGATTTGCCATACAGATTCGAGTCAATTGGCTCTGTTTTCACTCTTAAGAACTTGCCTGATGTTAATGCCACAAGAGGCGAGTTCTTTGAATTCCAAATCATGCATTCGCTTTTCACCGATTTCAATGATACCAAAATCAGTGTCTCGCTCGACGATAACGCGGACAGCTGGTTGTCCTACGACGAGTCCAACATGACACTCTTGGGTCAGGCTCCATCAGATTTGAAGCTGGTCAAGGTGCTGATCGATGCAGAGTCGTCATTCGACTCCGAGTCTAGAGACTTCTCCATCAAGGGTGTTCGTAAAGAGGTTACATCTAGCTCATCCACTAGCTCGAGTTCTTCTGCAACTGCGTCGCCAACCTCCAGCTCCTCAGCATCTGCATCTACAACCTCCGATTCGGTCAACAGATCGCTGTCTGGTGGTAACAACCGCAAGGCCTTGATCCTCGGTCTCTCAATTGGTATTCCTTGTTTCTTCCTCATCTTGGCTCTTCTCTTAATCTTCTTCTTGTGTTGCAGAAAGAAGAGAAGAAATGACGAGGAGGAGAACGACAAGTCTATGGAGGAGACCGTTATTGATGGTCCAGGCATTGGAGTGACGCATGATATGGACGATCACACCGAGACACCTCATCAACTTGGTGCCTTGAACGCGTTGAAACTTGATGACGATTCGGCTTCTACGCTGTCTTCTGTGACCCACGTTGATAGCGATTCCAACTCGAAATATTTCGACGCTTCTGAGAAGCCAATGAAATCATGGAGAGCCAAGGACGAGTCTGACTTAACTGCAATTAAGAACAAGCTCATGCAACAAAGACACGCTTCTGAAATCTCGAACAGTACTGTGAACACGGAGGAACTCTTCGCTGTTCGTCTTGTTGATGATGAGGCAAGAAGATCCACTTCCCAGTCTCCTGGTATGACTCCACTTTTCCTGAGAAACTCTCTTGACCATATAATCGGAGAGAGTGGTTCATCAGCTAATATCCAGAGACTCGACAGCGATGGTAACATTGTCGGCGACTCTCAATCTAATACCTCTCTGCCAAGGAAGAGAGCAGCCCAAAGCATGAATCTCAGAAACATTGCAGAGGAAGATAACCGTCAAAACAAGGACACGTTGTACCGCAACGACAATAATGAGTCTTCCAACTATCACTTGATGTCAAGATACTTTAATGACGCTAACTCAAGCATAGGAGGGGATGAATTCAAGGCCGTGCAAACCTCGGTGGGAAACTACGAATGGAGAAAGTCAAAGGATGCTCTTGTGGAGTCTCCCGACTCCGAAACGTTCCTTCTCAATAATCCAGAGCATACCCCAGTGAATACGAATCTCGATCCATCCGGCAACTTTGCAAAGAATGCATCGAAGACATCAGTTTACTCTGATGATCTTCGCAGTGACTTCCCATTTGGCTCAGGTAACGATAGCAAGGCCAAATTGGTTGAATTCACCAGAAAGGGAAGTTTGAGGGACTCTTCCCATACTCCTACCATGGAGTTTTCAGGTGAGACTGCTCAATTTCACGACGGCGAAAGCGGTGAAAGTGATTAATTGAGTTGTTTGTCTTTGCATTTCCTTCGGGTTTCACGGTTTCATGATTGGTACGGAGTTAGATTCATTTCATTGTTTGCTTTTATCACTGACCTCGATTCACTCGCTTATCGAGAGTCAATTAATTCCTACAAATGATTAATTAGCATATAAATTGTTTAAAGTTATAGGTTGCTTAAAGCTTTGGCTTGGGCAAAGTAGAGACATAAAGCGCAGTATCCTGGGCTCTTCTTCTAGCCTCAATGTACTCCATCATTTCAGAGTACGTTTGTGGAATGACAGAAGAAAATCCGGGTTCATCCGATTCGTAGCTCTTGGCTGGCACGAAGAAGGAGTAAATGAAGCATCCCGATTCCGTGAATTCGGGGGAAGCTAAGTCCTTGATCTTGGTGTCAACCTTCACCTGAATAAGGGTACCTGGTTCAGACAAGAATGCATCAGGGTTGGATGAAATCTGGTTTGTAGCAGGCAAGTCGAGCGGTGAGTGTTTGCCCTTCTCGACCTGCTTCTTATGAAGATGCTCAGTGTAAACCACTGTAGATGTCATTGAAAGCACCGAGCCAACAGGAACGGGTGCTTTGAAAGTAGTGGAGTCCAACGAGACGAATCTGGCATTAGCACTTGAGAATGCTGTAGCAGCACAGTAAGCCAACTCGAAAGATTGTCTCAATAAATAGCCACCAAAGATCATGTAGGAATGTCTGTTTCTGTACTGTGGTTGCATAATTAGGGTGGAAGAAACGGTGGAGTCCTTCATGAACTGGACATGCTTGGTGAACTCAGGAGTCAAGTTCTTGGAGGCATTCCACATGTCGTGAACAAGCCTATTCTCTTCATCCGTTGGCTGAACAACACCCTGGTTCTTAGCTGCCAACTTTTTTCTTGCGTTGAAAGACTCGGCTCTTCTGTAGTCCAACCACTCTTTCTCGCTGACAGGAAGTAGTCTGTTGATAGCAAAAGACTTGTGGGTCATTGGGTTACGGGCGACAAATGTGAAATTGGCAGTCAAAAAGACGTTTTCATTTGGCAAGGTGTTGGCATCGATGTTTTCAGGAACAGAGCCTTCAAAAGAGTAGCCCTTCACTGTAATCTCCATGGAAGATCTACCGGTCCAGGTAACTGTACCGGCAAGAACGAAATTGTAATTCTGGATCTCGTCAACCTTCTTGACCATGTAAATTCTGTCAACAGACGCGGTGACATTGACAGGTTCAGCTGGCGAACAATGTCTATAGGCGATTCTGCCTGCCAAGGCATCCAAGTCCTGAAACAATTGACCCATTCTCAAACGGCCAAAAGCATTGATGTATGTGTCACAGAGCCACTTGTCATCCTTGAAGGGCAAAACAAGGAAGGAAAATGAGTCTGCTCTGGTTTTTTCACCCACCTCGGTTGTCTTGGGATCGATGTATGAGAAGGAATCAAGCACCTTTCCTTCAGCCAACTGCTTGGATCTTTCTCTCAAAGCGTCCATCCATGTTGCAGTGTGGTATTGCTTGCTTAAGTCTCTGGAATCGGATATGATGGTGGCGGAAGCATCGGCCGCTTCAGCAGGGATGGTGGAGCCAGCCTCGGTATGTTTCTTCATGGTGGTACCCAAAAGCTTTTTTTGCGTGATAAGACGCAGGGTCGATCTATATAGGAGGGAAGGTCTGGATAGTCTGAACATTGATTTCTGCACCCGATGACACAGAAACGGCAGAATCCAGAATTTATATAGAAGTGACTAAGGTGTGGATTACCATTGGGCTAAGCGCGGTGTATGGGTGCGGGGCGATAAAGTGCCCGGCGGTGCTCGGTTGGAGATAACAGTACCAACAAGTTTCTCGTACATGGGAGGGGCAGGAGGGGCAGGATACGAAACGGTGTTTTGGGTTTTTCCCGGGCTGTGTGAGATGACATGCGGTGAAAGTTCGGTACATGATCCGAAATTCACCGGGGTGCAACGCTGAGTCTGGCTGCGTGAGGGCCTGGCTGGGTCAGACGCAGTACTGACAGCTTTTTGGCATCTTGTGTTTGGGCTGGGCGTAGGCTGAGAGAATCTGGAATCGGAAGGCAGTTGGCCGATAAGATAAGCTGGCGTAATTTTAGAATTGTAGAAGATGTCTGGCAATTTATATCTACTCCTTTTTAATTGTTTTGTTGAATGTAAGAGGTTGTGGAGCTGTTCTGGCTCAATAGATAAGTTGGACATCACAGTGCATCAAAAAGTCAAAGTCGGGCTCTGTGCCAGGGGTGTTGAATTGGATCGTCCCCTCGATCTGTGATTATGTAATGCGTACCATTTAGGTTCTTTTTCTCTTCTTTTAATTTATAAATGCATTTACGGGCATGCGAGTTGCAGCCACTGAGTCTCACTTCGCAGTCTACAGACAAAAACCCCCAAGCACTGCGAAAGCTCCCATCCAGCCTCCAACCACACCCTAAAACTACCCAAAATAAACGATAAACTCAAAATAAATGCTTATTTACATTTCTACCCCATTTACCAATCAACCCTCCTAATTCCAATTCCTTTCCTTCACGCTGAACCCGGTTTTCCCTCCCCTTCATCACCCCAAACAACCTCCAGCAAGGCCCTGAGAGAAGTCCGAATCCGAAGCGATAGGCTGACAGCAAAGGTGCGAAAAAAGGCGGCATTACCCAGTGCCAGGGCACCCGGAACTGCACCTCCGAGCGCGAGCTTCCGCTCCGGTCCTCATCGTTCCGTTCTGGGTGCGGTTTCCCAACCAAAAAATCTAAAACCACCTCTGCAATTTCGACTCCAGTTCGCTTCGTCGCAATTCCCCCTAATAGAAGCTCCACAACTGTAATAAGATGTCCAAGTTGTCCAGTGTCGCCAAGACATCCATGATGGCGGTTAGAGCCAGCGCAAAGAACTCCCTGAGATTGGCTTCTGCTGCCTCCGGAACCAAGACTCTCACTGTCAGAGATGCCATCAACTCCGCTTTGGCCGAGGAATTGGACAGAGATGACGACGTCTTCTTGATGGGTGAGGAGGTTGCTCAGTACAACGGTGCATACAAAGTCTCCAGGGGCTTGCTCGACAGATTTGGCGAGAGAAGAGTGATTGACACTCCTATCACTGAGATGGGTTTCACCGGTTTGACCGTCGGTGCCTCCTTGGCCGGCTTGAAGCCTGTTTGTGAGTTCATGACTTTCAACTTTGCCATGCAATCTATTGACCACATCATCAACTCTGCCGCCAAAACCTTGTACATGTCTGGTGGTAAGCAGCCATGTAACATCACCTTCAGAGGTCCTAACGGTGCCGCTGCCGGTGTTGCCGCCCAGCACTCCCAGGACTACTCCGCCTGGTACGGTTCTATTCCAGGTTTGAAAGTCATTTCCCCTTACTCTGCCGAAGACTACAGAGGTTTGTTGAAGGCTGCCATCAGAGACCCCAACCCTACCGTTTTCTTGGAGAACGAGATGCTTTACGGTGAGTCCTTCGAGGTCTCCGAGGAGGTCTTGTCCCCAGACTTTGTCCTTCCTATCGGTAAGGCCAAGATTGAGAGAGAGGGTTCCGACATCACCTTGGTTTCGCACACTAGAAACGTTGGCCACTGTCTTGAGGCCGCCGAGACCTTGAAGGAGAAGTACGGTGTCAACGCTGAGGTGTTGAACTTGAGATCCATCAAGCCAATGGACGTTCCTGCCATCGTCCAGTCTGTCAAGAAGACCGGTCACTTGGTTACCGTCGAGGCTGGTTTCCCTGCTTTCGGTGTGGGCTCTGAGATCTGCGCCCAGATCATGGAGTCTGAGGCTTTCGACTACTTGGATGCCCCAGTCGAGAGAGTTACTGGCTGTGAGGTGCCAACCCCTTACGCCAAGGAGTTGGAGGACTTTGCCTTCCCAGACTCTGAGATCGTCTTGAGAGCATCGAGAAAGGTCTTGGGTTTGTAAGAACAGTAACCCACCACCATGTCATTGAATAGAACGTCAATTACGTAATATAACGAAGCCAACTAAAATTGTAGATCTTTGCCGATTATTCTGTGCATATTTCATTTTACGTTACGTTGTTGATTTTTCACAAGAGCTGCAAGGTACCAACGCGGGGGCTGTATCAGCGCGGATTCGATCTCTGATACACGTTGAGAAGTTCTACAACACATTGTTTTCCGACCAACGCGATCCAAATTTAGCAAAAATCTGTGTTTTTTAAAAATAAAACGCAATGGACGTCCATAAGCGAAGCCACCATCCTTCAAGGTCGGAGGACTTGAGCAACGAGAAGGAAATCTTAGACGAGGCCACCACTTTTCAGCGAACCCGTCCGGGGTTTCAAGAGGAAAATGATGGCCTTCTTCCCACAAGCATGCCAGGGGCACCAGAAAGAAAAACCAATCACTCGCTTCCAAAGAAAGACGTCAAGGCTTTTATCATTCTTGTGATATTGTACACCCTTCAGGGCGTGCCCGTCGGGTTGGCCTTTGGCTCTGTTCCATTCATTTTGAAGTCCAAGCTCTCCTACGCCCAAGTGGGAGTCTTCTCCTTAGCATCTTATCCATATTCATTAAAACTTCTATGGTCTCCGATTGTCGACGCCATTTACAGTCGGAAAGTCGGCCGACGGAAATCCTGGATCATTCCCGTGCAGCTCGTCTCGGGAGTCACCCTTCTTTACTTGGGTTTTATTATAGACAAGTCGATGGCCGATCCGGCCCCGAACTTGATAAAGATCACAACGTGCTTCTTTTTGTTAGTGCTCTTCTGCGCCACTCAAGATATCGCTGTCGATGGATGGGCTCTCACCGTGTTATCGCCAGAGAGTCTTTCCTTCGCTTCAACGGCCCAAACAGTGGGAATGAACTGCGGCTATTTCCTGAGCTTCACAGTTTTTCTTGCCTTGAGCTCACCGGAGTTCGCTAACAAGTACTTGAGACTGGTACCTCAACAAGATGGGTTATTTGGACTTGGAGGCTACCTCACGTTTTGGGGCTGGATGTACATCTTGATCACAGCTCTTCTTGTCTTTGTTCCAGAGGATCCTCCCCATTTAGCCAAGCACAATCATGAGAAGCTTAACGCTGAACACTATAAACATGAATCAGCACACAATAGACCGCTTGACAAGACAAAGCAGTACATGCAAGATTTGTTGCATGTTTACAATTCCATGTATCAAGTCTTGAGGCTTCCCAACGTGCAAACGTTTGTTGTCATTTTACTTTTTGCTAAACTTGGGTTCCAGGTCAATGAAGCCGCTACCAACCTCAAACTCCTCGAGAAGGGCCTTTCCAAAGAGGATCTTTCAATAACGGTCCTTATAGACTTCCCTTTTGAGATGATTTTTGGTTATTACTCGGGAAGGTGGTCCTCTGGAAAGAGTCCTTTACGTCCATGGCTATTTGGCTTTGCTGGTCGACTTTTTGCGGCTTTATGTGCTCATATCATCCTTCTTTTCTTCCCCAACTTGCATGGAGAAGCTGTTCCATTTAAATTATTCCTCCTCATTATATTCCAGCATCTTCTCAATTCGTTCATGTCGACAATACAGTTTGTGTCGCTTTGTGCATTTCACACAAGGATTGCAGACCCTGCAATTGGCGGAACGTACATGACAACATTGAATACTTTATCCAATTACGGAGGCACCTGGCCCAGATTGATCATTCTTTACTTGATTGATAGGCTCACGGTCGCTCGATGCGAGAATGTGGCTCGGCCCTATGACTTATTGTCCGAGGAGCAAAAGAGAGAATGCACGCAAGCAGGCGGGTCAGTCGTTCTTATCAGAGATGGCTATTTTTACACAAGCGCAATCTGCATTACTTTAGGAGTTATCATATGGTTTTGGGTCAAGAAAAAGGCAAGATATTTGCAGTCACTTCCCCAAAGTGCTTGGAGAGTGAACAAAAACGTCAAATAGATTTATTTATCGAAGTGAATTTCATAGACATCACGAGCTAAAGCTGCATAGAATCAATTAATGGTGAGCTATTTCAATAATCGAAGGTTCACTGGGTTAAATAACATTAGCTCGAAGCTTAGTGTCGCGAATTCGCGCTTCTTCAATTCAACCTACTACTTGAGATGATTGAGGTAAACGCCAACGACAGGTTGGGAAAAAAGATCAAGGTGAAATGTCTTCCTGAAGATACTATTGGTGACTTGAAGAAGATTCTTTCGATGCAATTGGGTACCACACACGAGAAAATTGTCTTGAAAAAGGGACATCAGATCTACAAAGATCACATCTCCTTGGACGACTACGAGATCAACAACGGTTTCAATTTCGAGCTTTACTACGGTTAGATTCGAAGTTTATCATATTCTATGAGTCATTAATTGGTCATGAGAAGAGCGCTAGCAAGGTGCTCATGCAAGAAGTTATAACACAATCGGAGAACTGAAGGAAATGCTCAGAGAAAGTACTCGACCAGAGTACGTCCGCGGCCATTGAAGTATGCGCTGAATATATCCTTGCTTGAGTTGAAGCTGTCAGAGCTCACACCGTTCACACCACGTCCTTCGATGGTGTCCTCGTCATTTTCAGGAGACGCTTCGAAAACATTGCAGTACTGGCCGGGCAAGATGTCTTGAGGATGGCTTGCCTTGGATGTATAATTGGAATGCGAGATTTCCAAGACACTGGCACGGTTTCCGCATCTGTAGCAGTAGTTGGGCGCAGACCAGATCGTGAGGCACATACCATGCCAGTAGCTGACAAAACCTTCATTACAGAGTTGATGGGCCCGAACCAATTGGGAAAGGTCGTTGTCATGATTAAACTTTCTCATCACGTCATATCCAAATAAGTAACCAGCACCTCTAGGAGACAATTTGAAATCCAAAATTTCAGGATCAGGGTCCGACCAGACCAAATCAGCCATGATACCATCGTGGGGTACCTCTTTGAACCTGTCTATGGCTCGAATCTGGTCGAGAAGCTGACACGAAGGCGAGAGGCCTCCGTGAGTTGCGAAAATCTTCCCGTCTATGGTTGCACCTAAGGGAAGGTAGTCGAACAAATCCGTGATATACTGCCACACTTTGAGGGAGCCATTGTATTTGTTCAAGACTTCTGTGTAAAACCCATAGTTCGTCGTGATGGTTCGGGATTCGTGGTTGCCTCGAATGAGAAACACTCTTTCAGGATATCTTAGCTTCAACGCTATTAGAAGCGAGATTGTCTCAACCGAGTAGTATCCTCGATCAACATAATCGCCCAAAAATAAATAGTTGGTATCAGGAGGCGACCCGCCCACTTTAAAAATTTCTAGTAGATCGTGAAACTGACCGTGTATGTCGCCGACCAAAGTGCAAGGGGAAGATAGAGACATGATATTGGGTACGCCTAAAAGCTGGCTCTTGAGTTGGTGACATAGCTGCAGCACAGTCTCCTCTGGCAAGATTTTTGGCGGTTTATGCTGAAGAAGTTGCTCTAGGCAATAATCTAGATCCAGCACGGGGATCAGGAAAGGGATGGTCATATATATTGGAACAGCGTTTTCGGATGAGACCAAATCAAGATTACCGAAGCGAACCTCGAAACTAAAAAGCAGATCCGTGCACCAAAATCTTCTACGCGCCTTGGCATGGCTGCAAAATTCTGGTCCGAGAAAATGAATATAAATATATGCCTTGCTGAACTATTTAGCTTCAATGGCCTCTTTGATAGCTGTGGACAACATCTTCAAGCCTTCTTCGATAGTCTGCACGGGGATGTTCAACGCAGGAACAATTCTGATCACATTACCACCAGCAGTGATCACCAACAACCCGTACTCACGAGCCTTCTCTACAACAAGTCCACTGTCAAGTTTAGAGGTAAGTTGTAAACCCAACAACAAGCCTTTTCCCTTGACGCCCTCGACATGATCTGGAAACTGCTCCACAATTTCTGCAAGCCCTTTCTGGAAAAGTGCGCTCTTCTCGGACACTTCCTTCAAGAAGTTCTTGTCACTGACAGTTTCCACAACATGCAAGCCAACGGCGGAACCCAAGGGGTTTCCTCCGTATGTCGTACCGTGGTCACCCACAGACAATGCCTTTTCTATCTTTTCGTTGGTCATGACGGCACCAATTGGGAAGCCGTTTCCCAATGCCTTTGCCATGGTGACAATGTCAGGGTGGGCTGTCGAGGGCAAGTCACAGTGGGCCCATAACAGCGAGGTCCGGCCTAGTCCACACTGAATCTCGTCATAAATAAGCACAACATCGTTCTCCTCACACAATTGCTTCAACTCTATCAAGAACTCTGGTTGCACTACGTTCACACCACCCTCACCTTGAACTGGCTCGATGATCACAGCGGCCGTCTTGTCTTTGTTGATGACTTTTTTGACGGATTCAATGGAGTGTGGGTCTGCGATGTGTACGCCAGGGATCAATGGTGCAAATGGAGCCTGGTACTTGGGGTTTGCAGTCACAGACAAGGCACCCATGGTACGGCCGTGGAATCCGTTTTCAAAAGCAATGATCTCGGTTTTCTGCTCATTGATTCCTTTGGCATACTTTCTAGCGAATTTAAGTGCCGCTTCATTGGCCTCAGTGCCAGAGTTACATAGGAACACTCTCTGTGCGTCTTGCATTCCATCAGACTCAATGGTTCTGGCCACAAGCTTGTTTGCCAACTCACCAGCAGGAATATTATAGTACAAATTGGAACAATGCATCAAATTCAGTGCCTGAGTTTGGATGATTTTTGAAACTTCCTCGTTGCCATGGCCTAAGCATGTCACGGCAATCCCGGCTGTGAAGTCGACATAGCGTCTGTTCTCTAAATCGAAAAGATAAGAGCCCTTACCTCTTGCAATGACAATGTTAGGTCTAGCGTATGTAGTGACCGTGTATGGCTTTGAAACATCGTCCACGAATCTTCCTGTTACTGAATGTGCACTTGCATCAGCCATGGGAACAGAGTAGAACCGGCTTGTGGTTGCTCCATTTTTCGATAACAACGATGAGAGGACCTGCTTGGTCGACCTTTTGGAGGAGGAGGATAGTATTCTGTACATTGGAATTGGGTAAGTAAAGAAGACCACTTGGTATTGAGATTAGATCTATCGTAGCGAAAATTTTTTGCACCGCGCTTAGGTGACTAACACTTGCCTATTTCGTACAGATAACATTTTCATCAGCCGTTCAGCACCTATCGATATCAATGGTGCTTTCTACCTTGCTCTCTTTATCAAAGGTCTTGAGAGCGTTTTGAAACACTCGGTTGACCTCAAAAATCATCTTCGACTCGTCATCTGAACTTGCTCCTTTCATAATAATCTTCACACCGGCGATATAAAGCTGATGATTAACTTTGGTGATGAATAGATGCTCCAAACTGTAAGCTGGCTTGAAAATGTCAAGATCCTGAATATGTTCCGTAACAGAGCTTTTGAGGACCTTGTAGTCGTATTCGGAATAGGGAAAGGAAATCAAAAGGATTCCGCCCAAGGTTGTCACCAATTTCCATCCAGCATAGCACAATGTAGAGGCCACTATCAACGTCGAAGCTTCATCAATATCAAACTTGATAGAGGTTCTAAAACTTTCGGGTAGGAACGGAACGATGAGGAGGAATGATGAATAGAGTAGCGTAATAAGACGCATGGGATTGTGGAGGAAAGTCGAAACCAAGTTGAAAGCTTTATCCTTAATCAGAGGCGACTTATCAGCCAAATTGTCCAAGTAGCCATCGAACTTCTTATTTCCCTGGCGGTTCGTATTATCCGTGAGAATCTCAGATATCTTGTTTCCATCGCAGATGATTGAAGACGTCACCCATGTCATTATTACAACAAGTGCTACCACAGCTTCGTAGGCAACTGGAGAGCTGGACTTACCAGAAGACTCGTGTATGTGATGCGAGCCATGTTCCGCAGGTTCGGAATCTCCAGAAACAGCTAGGTTGACGACCATCTCTTCAATGAAGTGGGACACAAGATCGCATCCAACCATCACGAGTGACGTACTCAAGCCGAAACCGAGAAGAACTTCAAGTCTGCCGATTCCAAAAGGATATGAGATGGAGGGCTTTTTCCAGACATCAAAGTTGGATAATACATCAACGGCTGCGACAACAAATGAGCCTAGCGAGTCGTAAAAAACAAGATGAGCAAGGGTGGAAAATGCTGATTCACCCAAAAGCGTACCTGCCACAAATACGATCACAGAGGTCAGGAAATGAGCTCCGGCCAATGCCACTTTGTATTTCTGTGAGACAGTTGCGGAAGTCCACGACTCCCGCCAGTTGGGAATGGGGTATGAAGAGGGTATAATGTCCTGGGAAAGTGCGGTATCGGCAATTGGAACTGGTTCTTGGAACAAGTTCATAGACACCGAGGAATGTTTGTATCTGTGACCCTTACGATGGGCCGGCTTCACAACGAGCGAAGAGTTTGAGCTGTTAGAATGCATCATCGGCATATCTTGAGGTTTGAAATTGAATGGACCGCCTCGCACTGGCGAAGAGCCTCTGAGTCCCTGTGGCCCTCTCACGGGTGATTGACTAGTGCCTCTAGAAGACTTTGAACGCACAGGTGAAGTTGAGCGAGACCGAGCTTTCCTGGACTCTGACGAGGGGGACATGAAGCTAGGGTACGGGCTGGCCATTGAAGGGCCCTGAAAGGAGTTTCGTTTGTGTGACCTGTAGGACCTGAACTGTCCATCATCGTCGTTCATGCCGTTTAAAGACGACGGGAAGTAGGCAGATTTAGGACGCTCTGCTTTTGAAGGTTCTTTCATGTACGAGCCTCGGGTATTAAACAGCTTCAGAATCGGAGACATAGCAGAATATCTCGCAGCATTCGTTGCACCTTCTTGGTATGAAGTTGGAGTGCTCTGACGGATATAAGCATCAAGTTTTTGATCATAGTCACTGGAATTGTGGGAAACGACCTCACCTTCATTGTTTATTGACGGTACATTAAGGCTAATGTCCGGTGCTTTGCTGGGTGTATTTGATGGTCTCGTGTCAAGAGATTCTGTCGAGAAGTTGTTGCTGAGGAAAGAGAGGTCTGGTATACCCCCATTGACTCTGCTATGCCTTTTCTGCTCTTGTTCATGCATTGTCAGACTCGGCTGTGTCGGTAGATCTGCCTCCCACTGCCCAGAAGGATTTGTATCAAGGCTTTCCTTGTTCATTAAATATACAAGAATATGTTCACTGCGCGTTGGTGCAAGCTACTTAATCTATTACCGCGCAGGTATGCTTCCAAAAATGCAGACCTGAAGCACCTGTGCAAATCGTGAGGCGTGTAACTCACGGAACGTTCTCTTTTGTTGTGTAGGCTCTCAAAAGGGCTAGATTGATGCAGCCGTCGTTGATACCGCCTCCTGTTTCCTCGATGAGCTGAACGCTTCGTATTGTAAACGGCCAGCTTGTGTTCTCGTCACGGCTCAATTCACCAAATGGACTATCAAATGCGCCCGACTCACGAGAAGATGCTAGAACGAGGGAGTTGTTATTGAAGGATTTGATATCGCTCCTCCGCAGAAGCTCATCTCTGTCTAACATGATGAGACATTCGGCGACAGCCCCTTCATCCGTTTGAATCGAATGATTTGTGGGTTCAGGAATATCGAGAATTGTCAGAATAGTAGAAATCGATTCTTTGGGAGGCCGTTTCACCCGTTCATTGGATGACGGCTCATCACTTGCACCCTGGTCAGATATGCTTTTAGGAATTGAAGGTGACTCAACAGGCACACTTTCGTCTTCTTCTGCTCTTAGTGTGAGCTGTTGGGTTAAAGAATTCTTGAAAAGATGCAATAAATCGTAAAGAAGGATTTTCAATCTCTCGTTGCTGTGCATCATGAATTTTGTATTGAACAATCTCACAAGCTGATGAATGAGTTCAAAGTGCTGCAAGTCGAGTTGCATCATGAGGTCAATCAAAGATCCACTTTGAATGATGATGATTCGCAATAGGATTGAAGTATTGTCCAGTAGCATCTTCGCTAGTTCATTGCTACCATCAAACCCCTCCACACATGATATGAACTGGGAAATATAGCTTAAAAGATCCTTATAGTCAGAAGCCGACAAATCAATTTTATCGACAAAAGAATCATTGATCTTGCTAAAAAAGTCTTTGAAAATGGGCGTGAGACTTTCGGGGGCCAGATCAGCCGAGGTAATCATGGACAAGCTTTTGTTTAAAAAGAGACTCTCCATCTGCTTGAACACCATTATACGGAACCTCAAGTCGCACAAGTTGAAAAGCTCCCCAAAGAAGGATGCGTTGAGGAAGAAGTCCTCTCGGCTAAGTAACGGATTCAAGATGGCTTCAACATCGTCGTTCTGTTGCGCCAAAATGGAGATGATGACTTGCACGATCGGTAAGTTAAACTCGCTCATAATAGGGACAATGGATGAGATTTTGGCAGACTCGAAACCCGAAGAGCTAACGCCCAATAAATTGCTCATAATATCAAGCATCTCCAGCTGGTTGAAATGTTTCGTGATTGATTGAACGGTTTTGACTGGGTGTTGAACAATCATACAAAGAAGCTCACCTCGGAATTTTAAGCTTGTGTTGTCGTATGGTAAATTGGCAGTTACAACAATCTCAATGGAAGCCTCAAGGTGATTCTCCTTGTATTTGAGTCTCACAGATTGGAACAAAATAGACACAGATCGTGACAAGATCACCGGGGCAACCTCTTCAAATAAGTCATCTCTCAATCTCTTTTCATAAACTGTTGGTGCTGATATGTTCTGAATGGTAGAGAGCAATGTGTCGCAAGTCATTAAGTCTAATGCAAGGATGAATTTTGTAACAAGTGAGAATCTTTCAATGTCGAGATTCTCCTCCATCAACTCCTTCAACGCAACACCAAGGTCGTCTTCTTTGGAGGTTTCTTTTGCCTTTATATTGGAGATCAACTTGAAAATCTGGATCTCAGTCTTTTGCCCCATGTCTTTTTCGATGGATCGTAGCAAAAGCTTTATCTGTGCAATCGGCAGCTCGGCCGTAAAGTAATCCAAAGTAACCCCGCAAAATGAGCATAAGTCTTCGGTGATGTCTTTGTACTCATCGGCAGTGAGAGACCTTTTTTCGAAGGATTCCAATGATTGAACTTCCTCTATAATAAATTCGGTTTCGTAGGACGACTCGCTGCTCTTCGACTCATTGAATTCAGGTGAGGTAGAGGCAGGTCGTCTTCCGAGAGAATTCGCTTCACTAGATTCATTCGGCGAGTTGCGCCGTCTTATGCCTGGACTTTGTAATTGACGACGGATGTGTTCCCACAAAGGCCCAAATTGAAAGATGTCGGTTTCACGAGATAGCAAATCTCTATAATCTTGCACAATGAGCTTGAATATGTCCAAAGACGCCGACGGAGACTCTGAAGAGTTCCCGGCAATGAACTCAAGCAAAGTTGAATGGTCAAGAATGAGTCGACTTATGAAATAAAGGGAATCCATGTAAAATATCAAAACCTTATTCTCATTCTTCAAGATGAACTTGATGAACAATTTGAAAAATGCTGTAAGGTTATTAGACTTGATGAAAAGTTCGTAAACAAATGCCACGACATCAGGAGTTATGTGAACCAACTTGGACGCCTTCGATATAGACGTCTTGAATTCAGATGTGAACCAGTTCATGACCATGAATTGGAGGCCAACATTAAGTTCACTGATACTCTCGAAGACGCCCAGATCTGCCTTCCCTATTGTGTTGTTCAAGATATGATCCAAAACCCCTTCCCGGAGAGTTCGAGTGGCTTGCTCAAATAGGCCGATGAAGTCAATTTGTTCTTTTGCCCATTTCTTCAAAATATGATCGCATTGGCGATTGTTGAGGAGTGGAAGGTTTTGAAGAAGCAGAAGGTGGAATCGACTTTGAGGGTCAAGGTCATCCAGCCTTTTCTCATCGGTCGGCTTCGAGGATAGATAAAAAATTCCACTAGCTATGAGCTTTCTCAAATATGCAGATATAGTAATAATTTTAAGCTGATAAAGCTCATTGACGAGAACGTACAAGTTGGTATGTGATAATTCGGAGGATGGAAGCTCAGCCAAACAGAAAATACTCTCCAAGATCTCATTTTCCAACTTGATTCTCAGCTTAACTGAGGACTTGCCTGTAGCTTGTGTCCCATGCATCTTAAGCGCGTTACAGACACTGATGAGTTTCTCCTTAGAGACACCCATATCGCGATAAGTGGATACGCACCAGAAGATCATCGCCTTCAACCTGATACTTTGAGGTTGAGCTGATCTTGCTTTATTTGGAGATCCGGGGGTAAAAATTAAAGTGAAAGCCTCTCTAAGCTTTTGATGATCTAATAGATCAATAAGCTTTAGCACGTCATCGTTGGACCTGTGGATATAGGCATGCGAGAGCGCTTGCTCATGTAGAACAACGTTTGGTGAACCATCTTCTCTCGCAGAAGGGGACGTAGAGTCGCCACCGCAATTCACTATCAAGCTTTCGTTTCTAAACTTCAAAAGTGCCAAACTTTTTTCGAGAAGAGCTCTTTTAGGTGGATCATTGTACAAGTTGGAGCTGTTGATGATATTATGCAAAACATCTCCAAGCACAATCCAGGAAGAGGGAATTATGAAAGAGCTCGAACTTTTGTGAAACAACTCGATAATCATCTCAGACATGAGACTCAAACACTCGGACTTGATTGCATGCGGTACCTCAATTCGTGCAATAGTGGGCTTTTCGCTCAGGGTTGGCAACTTGCTCACAATGAGATAATTTAAAAGCAATGATTCACTGAGATGCTTGCGTAGAAAACTTTCAGCGATAATATCCTTCCAAAAGACTCTGATGAAAATTAATGCGATTAAGAGTTGGCCGAACTCGGTCAATTGCTTGCTCAAAACGTCAAGATACTTCTGATCCGCATCACTCGTCTCACTCAAGTCGATTTTTTGTAGTTCTGTTAGTGTCAGGATATCAAGTGTACCAGTGAAGTGATCTTCTTTTATTAGCCTCAAGATCAACGTTAGGAAAAATGTCTTGTCGAGAAGCTCCTCGATGTACATTGCCAGAACATACAGAATCAAATAATTCATCCTCTCTTGGAAGCGGATCTTTAGCTCATGAGAAGACACCGCTTTCATCTCTTTGGAAAATTTCAAGACATAGTCTGCAACCTGTTGCGTCCACTCTTGCAACCAACGTCTTTCCAAAACATCATTTGATCTCGTGATCGATGAGCTATTTGCCAGTGTCAGGGAATGTTGTCTCACCAGCGCTTTCTTTTTCACCAGAACCAACTCGCTGAACAAAGAACATTTCGTGAACCAAATAGCTCGAGAAATAGGAACCTGCCGACTACACATGGCGTCAACGAGAACTTTATTTCGCAAGCCATGCGGTATTCTCGACGAAATTTTATGCAATGGTTGATCGGGATTGGCCAACTCTTTGAGCCATGCTTCCTTTTTCAGTGCTGTTAGTGTCACACGCAGTGGGATCTTAAAGCTGAATGAGCTTGCTCTGATCTTATTGATAACCTCATCTCTTGTTTTGTAGGACTTAGTCAAATGCTGGGAAAGCTCACGAAGAATACTGTTGCAGTTCTTAGATGAGGAGAAGACCGTCTCTTGCACAAGGTTGCGAGCAGAGTAGTACTCATTAGAGACCCTGGGTGTTTCAAAAAAACCCTTATTCAAGTAATTCAGATTTTCAAGCTTCTTCGTCAGATCTCGATCTTCCTCCCATGGAGAATAATCTGGAAACGTTTTTTGGCTCAATGTGTCATCGAGCGGGTATATCGTCACCGAGGGCCTGGGCATGCTGTATTTCATTGCAGTAATTGCATCCTTCACAGAAGAATTGTGGGATCCACGTTGCCCACTTGTAGCCGGAACGCTCCGAATCCGGCTATCTGTCATTGAATATAAAATGAAACCGAGCGATTATGACGTTATCAATGCTCTTCAGTGACGGTGATACATACGCACTAAGTACCTGTGCGCATGTACCATACTACAGTATTGTGCAGAATCCTTTGCACGAGATGCTACATCCATCATGCGAGTCTATTCGATTATCATACTTCTAATCAAGTGTAACTAAAACTTACCACTCATCGTCGTCATCTTCTTCGTCGTCACTGTCGTTACCAGTTGCACCTTTACGTTTCTTCAAAGCATCAGCGAGAGATCCTGCCAAAGTGACATCTCCACTCTTTTTCGCTAAAATTGCATCAGCCAAGCCATTTCCTAAACCATTTCCGGAGGAAGTTGTTGGGAGCATTGCTGGTCTCTCTGACGAATTTGCTTGTGGCTCTGAAGCAGTGGCTTGCAGTGCTTGAGGTGTAGGAACACTTGGGGCTTGAGGGGCAGGCTGAGAGACGTTGTTCGAGAACAAATCAGCTGGAGGGTCAATCTCTTCCATGTAATCCATTGGTGACCATCCCTCGTACGTCTCATCCAAATCCTTCACAAGACCCCATTTGCCGTTAACACTAGCAACATAAACCACACTATCCTTGACCAACGCGACCGAGCCTGCGACCGAGCCATCATAATCGAACAAAACACGATAGGTTGGAAACTTTGGTTGGCGTGCTGGTTTGGATGGTGGTGCTGGAGGTGGCGGCGGTGGTTGAGGTGTAGAGCGCTTCACCTCAGGAGCCCTCGTCGATTTGGCAGGAGGCTGAGGAGCTGCTGTTTTCTTGACAGGTCTTGGAGGAGGAGGTTTAGCCTGCGACTGTTGCTGTGCATTTTGGCCAGCCTGTGCGATACCGGGTGGCGCTGGTGGCGGTCTCTTCAGCTGTTTCAATCCAGGTTGAGTGTGAGTGGCTGGCGGAGGGACGCTTCTGGGTTGGGATTGCTGGTATGCGTGGGCAGCTGCCAGCTGCAGAAGAGCATGAGATCCATTATTTTGAGTACTGTGCAAGTTATTGTAGTTCTGCGCATTTGACCTCATTTGGGCACCTCTGTTGTAATACTTCTGATAATCGACAGAAGTTGCTTTAGCACGAGGCCTCTTTGGATTTCTGCTTGAAGCCGGCAAACCTTGTCCGACAGTAACGTTACCAGACTTATACGTATCACCATGTGCAGAGGATGCTCCAACGATAATCTTCACGGTATGCATCTTACCAGGCTTCTTTTGATATTCGATCGTGGGACCAATCTTCACCGTGATACCTCTGTTCAACTGCTTCAAATGAGTAACCAATTCCGTCTTGAAGTCCAAGCTTATGAAAATATCTGGAGTAGCCGCAGACGCCTGGTGCATCGAGACTGCCAACCAGTTGTCCAGGAATGATGATAACCCAAGATAGTTGATACCATTTATGGGCAAAGTAAACTCCTTTTGCAATGCAAGACGTTTCTCCACCACCACCTCGGCGACAACGTACAAGTTCGAGTTCGTGAGGATGAAGATTCTTGGAAGTCTCTTAGATGACCGGCCAAATTTAGACAAAAGAATCTCTCCCTTCCCGGAGAAGACGACATACTCATTAATGCCGGCTTGAGATACGACAAATCTTCCGTAACCGCTTGGTTGATTGCAGCCAAGATAGTCGCCCATGTAAGCTCGAGAACCCAACAAAGACATTCTTCTTCTCTCCTTTCTACCTCCAAGAATTTCAGTTCCCTTGTCACGAAGCTGCTCGAACTTATTACCATGCTTCTTTGTCCTCCAAGCTGTTTGAATAACTTTAGCGGCATCCTCCTTTCTCTTCATGTACCGTCTCCAAGCCCTTTGAATTCTGGCGGCCATGTTATGCCAGTATTTGTCCCTCATGTCCTCTAATGCAAACAAGGTCTCCGGAGTCTTGATGAAAACCTTGGTGGTTCCCAATTGGTATTCAGTGGGAGGAATATGACAGGACCTGAGAATCTCTTTCACAGCAGTGATATCGTCGCCATGCCAGATGTAGTCACCAGCATAACCCGTTTTGGGAGATAACAAATAGAATCTTTGCACAAACTTATCAAAAGTGGTTCTATAAGCGAATCCAGCTCTTCTGATTCTCACGTTCTCTTTTAAACCCAAGTATTTGATCTGATGCAACACTTGCTGGTTCTCGTACTCCTTAGGTCTTTTGGTTTGGTTGGGTTTGATTGTTCTGATATACGAAGGCTGGCACTGAGATAATGTATCAACCAAAACGTTTGCACTTTTCTTGATTTTATCAGAAGCAGTCTCGGGTCTCTTCTTACTATCCGTCACAGCAGCGAGGAGCTGTGGTGGGAAAAGTTCAGCGGTGACAAACGCGTTCGATGAGGTTGACAAGACTTCAAGAAGGTCTCTCAACATATTGTCTTTGTTTTTGTCGGTCATGCCAGAAACCTCGTATGTGACATCACCGGCGTAGTGCTTGATGATAAACTTACCCCTTCTATCTTCGAAATGCTTGTTACTAGCACCAACCATGGACAATCTTTGTGCAAAAACTTGGTCAGCGGCATCGGAGTCGGCATGGGCTGTCTTAATGGAATCATTTAAGGCTGCAAACAAACCAGGTTGAGGTCTAGTGGCCTCGATCAAATCACAGACAACCTTATTATTGAAGTACTCGATAGGAGTCCATTGAATTTGTTCTTGAACGTACTCTTCTTGCTCTGCTTTCAAAGTAAGCTGGATGAAGATCTGCTGTAATTTCTCGTTGACATAGTTGATGCAAATCTGTTCAAACGAGTTCTGTTCGAAAATTTCGAACCCATAAATATCCAAAATACCCACTGATTTCTTTTCGTAATTTTGAGAGGGATCCTTCAACGATCTGTTCACTCTCTCCACGATCCATTCAAAAAGATTGTTGTAAATTCCCTTGGCAAGAGCATCCCTCAGCGCAATAGCCTGGACAATATTCAAAGGAACGTGATATGTTGAACCTCTTCTCATACCGTGCGAGGTTTCAATAATTCTCTCGACAATAGCTTTCTTCAAGAGTTCTGCGTCAACTTCCAAGAGGTAGGCGACAAAATTTGTCACACCTTCATCTCTCACAGCCGCATTTCCTTCTTCGTTTTCCACAAATGAGATGTTACCGATCCAAAGGATCGCTGCTAACATTCTGAAGATGTTGTCTTGCTCGACTTGCTGTAATCCGATGATATTCATTGCATTCAACGTTTCTGAAAAATCCTTTCCATCATCTATGCCATCTGCAGATGTACATCTTGCTGCCGAAGTATAAATGTAAGTTTCAGGACCTTGAATTCCGTAAAGCTGCTGATATTGTTGAGGACAGTGCTTCGTAAATTGGTAAAAAATATGGAAGTTTCTCTCATTGGTGATTTGCTGAACAACTCTTTGTTTCTCCAACAAGTAGTTGGTGATGTGCGCAGCAATGGGTTGGTAGTTCTGAGGATTGAAGTAGATTTCGAGGTACTTTCCGTGTCTAGAGGAGTTGTTGTTTCTCAATGTCTTAGCACAACCAAATGATTCCAACAACGGGTTTGTCGCCAAGACCATATCCTTGATTTTACCAATTCCTGACGAAGAAGAGCTGCCGTTGAGTTGGTCATCCACCGACACGTTTGCAATGTATTGCATGATTTGCTTTGCAGCTTCGGTTTTACCGGCACCGGATTCACCAGAAATGATGACACATTGACTGTCGCCATATGACTTCAAGTTATAGTACATCGCTTCTGCAATGGCATAAACGTGCGGGGGTACCTCCAACCTATTCTTACCCTTGTACATGTTCAATGTCTGCTTGGTATATATGCCGAGGTCTTGGAATGGATTGACAGAAATAAGGACATGGCCAATGTATGTGTAGATGGTACCATTCATAAATCTTTTGTGTAAGTTTTCATTGATGGACTCGTCGGAAATCTTCGACAAGAGGGTCAAGTCCGAGACACCCACCTCTTTCTTCTTGTGCAAATCAAACTCAGCCTTCTTGATCCCGGATCTTGCAGGCGCCTCTTGTTGCTTGACCTTGGAACGGCCGCCTCGTTTAACAATCGCCATCTTAGAGCTTTACTCCAATTACAAGAGGTTGTGGCGTCAGTCTTTTAACGAGTAATGTGAAGTATGATACCTGTCCGTTGCGAGTCTTAGCACCTGCGGCGGGTAGTGTATAAACCGGTTGCTCGGTGCTCATATTTCGATTTAGAACCCGATATATAGCCGATCCTGGAGGGTGCATGCAGAAGACTTTTAGATAAGACAACGGTAAATTTTATCTCGCTTTTCTCTTTTGTTCGATTTACTCATTAAAAGGTAGCTCTATGTGACGATTTTATATTTTCTAATTGAAAGCGCCTTGTTAGTGTGATATGAAGCTTCCTATTAATCGGCATCTGTCCGTTTAGTCATTTTCTTGGCGGTCTTCTGTCACCACTGAAAACTTGACTATCTATAACCACAGATGAGTTAGAATCACTCGCAAAATCCACCTGGCTAATTTGATGCTCTTAGCATAAATGCAGCGATTCCAGATTCAACTAGACCAAATTCTAATCATCTTGTCCTTTCCACCAGAAGAGACCTTCTTACCGTCCAAACTCCAATCGACACAGTAGACTTCGTCTGAATGGCCTGGAAGATCAGTAAGTAGCTTTTGCGTTTTTGTATCCCAGACTTTGAGTGTTGTATCTTTCGAGCAGCTTACCAAGAGCCTGCAATCAGCAGACCAGGCGGTTTGGTAGACTGCTGCAACATGACCTCTGAAAGTTCCCAAGAATTTACCGTTTAAACCATCCCAGAGCTTGATCGAATTGTCGAAAGATGCGGAAACAACGTGTCTTCCATCTGGAGAGAAAGAAACGTGATTCACCAACTTTTGGTGACCGGTCATTCTGCAAACCGGCTTGCTTGACTTGAGTGGCTCCCAGAAATACATGGTAAAGTCATCACTGGCAGTGACAAGACGCTCGCTTGTTGAACCACCGACTTGTGCGACCTTTTCAAATGCTTCCTTTGCCCTTTTCTTCATTTCAGAAGCCGAGAGGGACTTTGAACTACCCTTTGTGGTAGTATGATCAAATCCGCCTTTACGAATAACGTAGTCGGTGGACACCGACAAATGATTCACCCAGTGTGCATGGCTCTTAAGCGTCTGAATGCATTTGCCCCCAGCAGAGATATCCCATACTTTAATGCTTTTGTCGTGAGAAGCACTGTAAACAATATTCGACCCTGACCACTTTACGCATGATACAGAGTTTGTATGGCCACTAAGCGTAAGAAGACAGATTCTTCTAGAGGTATCCCAAAGCTTCACGGTTCCATCCTTTGATCCAGACACGAGTCTTGGTTTCTCGCCGTCTTTCACCAAGTGTAAAGGTTCCCAGGCAATACTCGATATCCATTTCAGATGACTCAATAAGGGCTTTCCAATTGCGTCTCCGGTGTCAGCATCCCAAAGCCTTATCGTGTTATCCATAGAGCCGGTAGCTATCATTGATCCACAAGGAGAATACGCCACACACAAAACCCAGCTGGTGTGGCCTGTAAGAGTCTTAAAGGGGGTAGATGTGAAACAATCCCATATTCTTGCTGTTGAATCACCAGCTCCGGAACACATACGACCAGAATCATTTGGTGCAAACAGGCAACAAAGAATTGTTGAGCCATGGCCAGCAATAGCTGCACTGGATCTTGTAACTGGCCGAACCTTGAAAACGGCTCTGGGGGCGTAGACAATGGTCAAGAAATCCTCAGTTGTCTTGATGCCCGGCTTCAACACCGAATGGTAAAGGTCATCCTTTATATCGAGTAGTTCGTTTTCTTCATTTTTTAACAATGCAAAAGAATATGGCACGGGCTCCGAGGATGACCCTTGAAGGTTATTCAATAACTCCTCCAACTGTTTTTCTGTTATACCGCCAGGCACACGCACAGATCCTCCAACACCCTCTCCACTGTCAGCGGCCTGAAACCTGATGAGAACATTTGGGAGATCATCAGGGATCACCTTGGACTCATGATTTTCTTGAAGAAGTCTCTTTTGTTTCTTGGATGGTGGCGGTACTAATGTCGCCATGGCTGGAAAATGATACTGCTAAAAATTATGCTGAATGCTTAATCCGATGCTCATCAGTGCTACACGCAGGTGCAGAGCACCAGCTGGATACCCAAACCTGTTACCTTTGATTCTGAATTTGAATAAGTGCAAAGCCTCTAGCTTTTCGGAGCATCAAATGATTCTAGATTTTTTTATTCAATTGGTAAAGAGTTCAAATATGCTCTGTTTTGCAAACTGTGGTCCTCCTTGTGGCTCCTGGTGAGCACGATAAGGTGGGCTTTGACAGGCACTTCAGTATGCATTTCACCTAATGAGTCGACATAAAGAGAGTCGGGTAAGTTCTATTTGCTATCACTAATTTCCGGGTACTCTGTTCTCCGTGACACCTCCATCCTGCAAAAAATGCAGGATATTCCGGACCTGCGAGTGATTAGGGAGCCTGCACGTCTTATCGTTTGTGGGGGGTTAATCATTCCTAGCTACTTGCTCAGTTCAACACATGGCAGCTCAAATCACAAGTCTCCCTTCAAACGTTTTATCCTTGATTTTCGAACAACTAGATCAGACCTCATTGTCAAATTTGCTCCAAGCAACTAACTCAAATCTTGACAATACCTTACGTCTCGCAGCAGAAACCGTTAAGTATTCCAGCATAATTGTGTCAAACGAATGGCAGAACCTGATCAAATTGCTACCGCGGGCGCTTCAGCTTATGCCAATCCACTCACTTGACTATTACCATCATGTTTCGTTGGATGAGTTCAAGACCCTTGCGCACAAGCTAGATCGTCTTTGGGACTCCAGATTCCCTGTCAAAAGAAGGATATACTTGGTTGTGAGATGCGATGTTTCGAACCAATCGACAAAATACAAAACTATTCGGGATTTGCATTACATGCTCCTGGGAATGCCCTTGCATGTTCATAATGCAATCAGGCTTGTGAAGCTCTGTCTTCCCGTTCTGAATGAGATGGTACCGGACCAACTCAGCAACGAGGTTCTGACTCTACTATTCCAGAAGTTCGTAGAAGATCCCATTCTACATGAGTCTCTAGATTCACTCGGACTCCACGGACGGACTTCTGCGGTACTAGCAAGCATTCCGAATGATCCCATTAGCGATTTCTCACAGTTTAGAAACCTAACATCGTTACAGCTCAACGATCTCAATCTAGAGTCACTAAGAGGATTTCAATTCCCAGATTCCTTAATTCATCTTAACCTAGCACATAACCGTCTTCGAAATCTCAAGTGCGAAATACTTCCCCCGCAACTAGAGCTGTTGAATCTTTCTGATAACAAGCTAAAAAGACTTACTGGAGGTAAAATGCCTAGAAATTTGAAGAATTTAAACATCAGCAAAAATATGCTCCAAGAGATATGTGATTTACCACCATTGATTGAAGAACTAGATATCTCATTCAATGACTTAGCTATAACAGCTTTAGAGCAAACTCTACCATTGAGCATACTATGTATGGACATAGCTCAGTTTTACTTGATGCCAAAAAATATCAAGGAGTACCTCGCGAGCCGACATATCCTGGTGAAAAATTATGCCATCCGTGGAAAAGGCTTCGTATGAATGAACCTTCTAAATTTCATCGAAAACGGTTCCCGTCAGCTCCACATCTGATCCCTCAATTACGGAATCATGTATAAAATTCGGTGATCCAACAGAATTTGAACTGTTTTGTGTTGGGTCACAGTACTTGACTGGTGAAGAGGGAAAGTCATTCGTTAGTTTGGGACGCTTGTTCTGTCTCTCAGATGATGGTCTCAATTGCTGCTGAGTAATGACAATTGACTCCTCAAGGAAGGAGCTCAATGGCTCTTCCTCAAAATGCAGCAAGTCTATTAGCCAAGAGGCATTTTGGGTACTTTCAGCGTCCACCAGATCCATGAAATCAAAGTACACCGGTTCCATAATATTTCCAGCCACATTCTCCTTATCAGCTTTAGCGACGGCCACGACTCTATCACATTTTTTGTTAGCTTCTTCCTTATTATCCAGATAATAGCGGCTATTAATGAGAAAATCATTGTAGAATAGAACTCTTTGGTGGATCTTGTTTTCATTCAAATTTCGAGTACCCATTTGTCTATGGTCGTATTTGGTAGGCTCAAACCGGGATTTGCTTCGCATTTTAGGGGATGGTTCCACGGTCGTATTCGACTTGGCAGGAATGTAATTGTCCTCCGTTTCAGAATCAGTTCTCAAGGTATTCATCTTTACATCCATGCACCCTAATAGCAATATCATCAGTTGCTGGCACGTAGCAAATTCGTTGAGGTATTTGAACATCACATCAACATGACTTTGGAATTTTGCAAAAGGGCTTTCTCTAAATAAAGTCGAATCCGGGGGATCTGGTAGGGTTTTGTCTGCAGATGTGGCCGAATCAGTATTCTTTAACTTTTCAATGTAAGCTGTATTCCAATCGACTTCGAGCTTGAGCAAAGCCTCTTCAAAAGCGGCCACAAGTTGGAGTCGATAATATTCCACAACTTCGTGAAAGTTCATTATGACGATAAATGGAGAACAATCATACTTTTCCAGCCTTTTGATCATAAGAAATGCGAGAATTTGACTGAATGTTGGAAGTGAGTATCGAGTGATACACCGGTCGAACAGCTCGTTGTATCTCGGATGTTGGCGAAAAAGCTTCCACGGAAACTGGTTGAACGTCTCCAAAACTATGATTTTTCCTTGCGATTTCAGTTCCAAGTATGAAATCATCATGTTGCAGACCACAGCAAACATGCAGTTGTGTAAAGGTGTAGATTGAAAGTCAAGTATTGCTTGAGATCCATCGACTCGTATAAGTGAATCAAGACTATCGACACCAGTCGAGATTTCATTCCATTCTGATGGTTTGTGGAGAATGTCAAATAGGGAGACCATGATCAGAAATACTTCGCCTTCTCCCTTAGCTCAAACTATCAGAGCGAAAGAATAATTTGGATCTAAAGATGCTGGATTTTATAATGGTGGATTGCTATAGATTCCATAACGCTTTTAGTATCCAGAAGTATTGTTCGAAGAGCACCGAGTTCATTGCGCGCTCAGTTATCAAGAAGGCATCTGAAGATCGCCTTTTGTGCATCTGCATTATTTTAATAAAAAAAAAATAAAAAAAAAAAAAAAAAAAAAAAAAAAATGAAAAAAAAACTTCAAAAAGAAAGAGTTGAGCTATTCAGCAAAAAGGCATGATACAGTTGTACATGTCTCTCCATTATGTTCGGGCTTTCATGCACCAAATCCTTTTCCTCACCTATATTCGCAACCTCTGAGACAACATCCTTACATCTCTTAAGTTTGAAGAGAAAGATAGGGATATATCGAGGTCGGATCCAAGTTCACGTCGACAAGAGAATAGCAATTCCCACTCCACCAACTTTTCTCGCAAATTTGGCTTCAATTGCTCATACAAGAATTGTATTCAGCTACTGTTAGGGCCGCAAATTAACGGAAGTTACTAAACTCAATCATTACATTCAAATGCCCAATCAACTGCCAATCTCCCAAAAAGACCAGTCAGCCTTCTCTTCCCGTCATGGATTGAGCCACAGGAATACCGCTTCAGGCGTGAGAAGGCCAGCTCTATCCAGAACTCAGTCAAATTACGCTAGCGCAACAAATTCAGGGACTTCGAATACTGTTTTGAACTCCAAGTCAACCAAGGGGGGCCTGGGAAGGGAAAGATCAAGTAGCACGAGCTCAAATGGAAGTTCTGCTCCCACACTTAATGCTGCAACATCCGGGGACTCTCGAAAGACTCGTGCTAAATCAATGAGTCAGACACTCGCCAACAATCTCCACAACAGCAATCAGTATCTTGCACAAGAAAGGGCTTATCTCAGAAGAATAAGAAACCAATGGGATAATGATTACTATACTAAGGGAATCAAAAGTGCGGACGAGGAACTGAGCAAGGGCGAGATTAACAATAATGAAGATGATGAAGATGATGACGATTTCCTGACTTACGGTAACACTGACCTTCTAATAGACATGGATGATGAGAAGTACCAGATCGACTACAGTCTCGCGTTCGATATCATGAAGTCATCAAACTCCAACATCAGTTTCGATAAAACAAATCTGATAAGCGAGGATACAGTGAAAGATCCAGCAGTCCTTGAACGTCTTGACTGGCAGGCAATGTTATCATCTGTACTCACAGGAGATGTTGTCAGGTCAGAAAAAACCAAAATCATCGATAACACAAGTGTCAACGACGGCCAAGAACCCTTTTTGCATACGAACTACAAGGAGAACTTATGGTTTGGAATTCGTGCAAAACTCTTCAACAGGACAGAGGATGATCAAAAGAAGATAATTTTTTACCGCAGAACTCTTACTGAGCAGTTGATTGAAGATATCATGAGCTTTGAACTCTCCTATGATAAAGACAGTAAGTCACCGCGCCAGCAGGTTGTCGAAATTCTTGAGAAGTATGAGAGAGTATGCGATCAATGGCGAAGCTTGGAGGATATGAAGCATGACAAGCCGGCGTGTCGATCCGAAGCGTTTCAAAACCGCATTGACGCTCTCAACGCATGGTTAAGTATTACTGATGCAATTGAAAGAGAATCGCAGTCATTCAAACTGTGGGTTGGAAATGATGATCTTGATATTATGAGGGGGAAAGCTGATGCGCTGGTACCCAATGAAGCTGAACTTGAACGAGATAGCCTCACAAGCTCTAAAAACAAAGTTGTGAAAAAAATTTTTGAGGAGGACAATAAGTCTTTGGCTGAACGTCTTATGAAGGAGAAAGACGTTCACACCATCTTTCGCAAACGAATTTTTATACCGTTAGCGCCATGGATGGTCAAGTCAAGGGAGACATATATCAATCTCGGGCATATCTTCGAGGTGCTCAAGCTTCCTGACTATATTCATGATTTAATTCAGCTTTGCCTTATTCCCTTACGTCTCATAAAGGAGATTATCAACATACGAATGAAGTATGCTTTGAAGCTTCAAAATCCCACTTTGATGATGATTGACCAGATGATTGAGGATTTCAAATCGTACATCACAATCGCGCTAGAAGTGAAGAATGGTATTATGAGCTATTGCAAGCCTGATGAGAATAAAACATGGCTCATTGAAGATTTATTTGACTCTGATATCCTAGATTTCGATAAAGTCGTTCTTCAGTGCGTCCGCTACTTCCTCGTTCTCCTCAACAGGAAGCTCATAGATAGTTCCAAAACACCAAGCACGTTCAGAACAAACAAGGAGCCAGAGGAATTGGAAGACACTTGGAACTTTCTCAAGTCATTAGGTGAATTCATTGATGGGGGTAGCATAGTTGTTGCGGAGAACATAACTCTTATCACGCTGCGATTGTGCCAAAAGCTTTTGTCGTATCTCAACAACCAGATTAAAAATCCCCCTAGCTCCAATATGAGCTCACTGGAGCTCATAAGGTGGTATAATTCTACCACAGAAAACTTCGGACAGTTGAGAAGAAAGCTTGCGAGATTCACAAGTGAGTTATCACGCTCTTTCACCAATTCAGTGGCATTCGAAATACCGACAAATAACGGGAGTCGAACTAAAGCCTTGCTTGAGGCCTTGAAAAGTACTAATCACTTCCTTGTCTACACCGGTACTGTTGAGGCACAGGGAATGTACTTTTTCTCGAGTCCTGAGTTGAAAGATAACGAATCTGAAATTCTAAGGATCATTAATGGATCGCGGATTGGTATTGATCAGTCGGAGTCATTCGATGAGTTTGTTAGCCTCTTAAACATGGTAAACGTCTCGGGTATGGAGTTTGCTATCCCGGAAGAGTATATTCTGAACCTCGGATACGTCTTGGCTTTGTGTCCGCCTAAGCCTATTGTTTGGGAAGGTGACATGATCACATTAAACATTAAAGAAGTCCCGATATCAGATGTTAAAGTGGGACAAATGCTCTTTGTGACAAGTGATCCAGAATTTAATCTAATGGATCTAAAAAGTCGCTTTGTTGAAACCGTAACAGATGCCATGGGAGGAGGAAACACACTTAAAGTCGTGGAACAGCGCTCTTCTTTGGTGAAAGTCCATCATGAGCTCACAAAAATTAACAAAATTTTTTTCAAAATGACATTGGCGATACTTGATTCTGTGAAAATTATAATGGAACGATGCAAAAAACTTATACCAAGCGGTGGCTACCAAGAATTGGTCAATTCTTATTTCATTTATGCCAGAGACTTTGGAAAGGGTTCGGTAAAGTGGGCAGACCCTCTGAAAAAATCAACTGTGATAATGAAGTTGATTCAACTATCCATCCAATGGGTAAGCTTCATTTGCGATGATTGTATTCCGACAGACAGGAAAACCTTCCGATGGTGTGTGCTTGCTCTCGAGTTTTCCATGGAGATGACTCGCGGGTTCAATGTTCTAGTGTTAAACGAGGAACAGTTCAATAAGCTCAGACTCAAAGTGGCTAGATGTATGTCACTCTTGATTTCTCATTTCGACATCATGGGAGCTCGTTCAAGCGAAGCTGAGAAAAAGAAGTTGCTTAAGTGGACATCTCAACGTCACAAAATTGAGAACACCACTGACGATGAATATATTCTTACAGCTTATCGCGAAGATGTCATGAAGGAAATTGAGGAAATTGAGAATTACAGGGCAGAGGTCCAAGAGCAGCTCAATTCTATTGGTCGGGTGTTGGATGTGTCTGATCTGGAATACCATTTTGTTAAACTCCTTGCGTCCTCTTTCTCGAGTGTTTCGATTAGATGGCAGAAAGGTAGGTTCATTGGCGGAGGCTCGTTTGGTCAAGTCTTTGCGGCTGTCAATTTGGATACCGGTGGTGTGATGGCTGTGAAAGAGATAAGATTCCATGACAGTCAATCAATCAAAATAATTCCGTCTATCAGAGATGAGATGACTGTCTTGGAAATGTTGAACCATCCTAATGTCGTGCAGTACTTTGGTGTGGAGGTTCATAGGGACAAAGTCTACATCTTTATGGAATTCTGTGAGGGTGGCAGTCTTTCAGGACTTTTGGCTCACGGTCGTATCGAGGACGAAATGGTGATTCAAGTCTACACTTTACAGATGTTGGAAGGTTTGGCGTATCTTCACCAGTCTGGTGTTGTTCATCGCGATATCAAGCCCGAGAATATTTTATTGGACCACAATGGAGTTATTAAGTTTGTCGATTTTGGAGCTGCTAAGGTCATCGCAGCTACTGGAAAGACCCGGGGATCGACCATGCAATCATCGCAACCTGCGAAGAATAATCCGGAGAACTTGAACTCAATGACAGGAACGCCGATGTATATGTCTCCTGAGGTAATCACTGGTCAGTCAACAGCCAAGAATGGAGTTGTTGATATTTGGTCTCTTGGTTGCTGTGTACTAGAAATGGCTACTGGAAGACGCCCTTGGGCTAATCTTGACAATGAGTGGGCCATTATGTACCATATTGCTGCTGGGCACAAGCCACAATTGCCTTCGCCTGATCAGTTGAGCGAATCTGGTCGCAAGTTTTTATCTAGATGTCTTGAGCATGATCCAACGAAGAGGCCAAGCGCAGTCGAACTCTTGAGCGACCCTTGGATTGTGCAGATTCGACAAGCCGCCTTTGGTTCTAGCGATGGCTCCACACCTTCCTCCGAATATGGCCCTGCCATTACTCCTACCAGTGAAGCGTCAGCTCCATTAAGTTCTTCGTCGGATCACAGCCATCAGTTGGGCGAAAATTAGTTGAGTATTCGCAATATAAACATTCATTAATCCGACCCAAAGGTCTGCTATATACAATCAGCGTGCAATTATGCCCCATCATAACCTGTACTTCTCCTCAAGAAATGATACAATTTTTTCAGTATGATCACCCTTGATACTCACGAGTCCTGTAACAGAATTGATTTTCAACTTCTCTTGAATCGGATATGTTGTGCCGAGATGTTGCACAAGCTCTTTCGCAAAAAGATGAACATTTCCATCCACACGTTTGATTTCAGTTGAGACCTTGGTATTTTGTAGACGCTTGTATACTGGCCAGTAACCGTTCGAAGTTTTCTTGATGCTGTATAGGCGAGCTTTGTCGTACGTGGAATTGGGAAGATCCTCAACACTCAAACTAGAGAGCAAAGGAGCCGCATAAATAGGTTTGGCTCGTATTTCTGGATTGATGACACCAAGATTTTTTAACAATATCCTGCTGACCTTCATGTTCGAACAGAGTTGTATTGTGCCTAGTGATCGATGAATTTCAAAAATTTCCCTCTTCACGTGAGGATACTATACCTGTATATATATACTTTCGCGAGTGGGCAGAAACTATAGACGACCGCAGACTGATAAAGCGCAACAAGCAGTCTTAGATCGATGGAGCAGAAACGTCAGTGACATGTTCGCGTCTGTGTTTCGTGAAAAGTTTCTTTTGATCAAACACCATTCCGCAATCAGCGCATGTGAATCGTTTCTGATGCACCCGCTTGTGCTTCGCTAGATTGGAGCTCTCGCTAAAGCTCTTTCCGCAGCCGGGATACAGACATTTCAAGGGCTTCTCGCCCGAATGCACCCTCGTGTGGATTGCCAACGCGGAGCTCGTAGTGAACCGTTTGTCGCAGTGTTTGCATGCGAAAGGTTTCTCGCCTGAATGAATTCTCATATGTTGTTTAAGAGTAGCTGCAACGGCGAAGCTCGCTCCACAAATCTCACACTTGCAAGGTTTGTAGTTCGTATGTATATGGATATGTCTGTAGAGCTTCTGTCGTTGCATGAAAGGCTTTCCGCCATTTCTTTCACAGCCGACCCAACAACATCGATATTGACGTTTTCCCAGGCCGATGTGATCGTGCTGAAGGTGTGATTGAAGGTCGCCATCGGATGCATGAACCTTCCCACATATAATGGGCTTATTATTGATATCGGTTCCAACCTGCCAATTGCAAGTAAAAAGAGGATCTATCGGCTGGCAACACAGTACCTTCTTAGGTTTGATCTCCATCTGCGTAATGCTCACTCCATTTGATGGGCTTTGTTCCTCTTTCTTAATAAATGGCTTTGGGGACCCAAGAGACGAAACGATTGAGCTTGGAGTAAGTAACGGAGAGCTTTTGAGAGCACTGTTGACTGTATCTGGTGCGCTGCTTGAACTTATGTCCTCATTCAACTCTCTATGAGTACTGAGATGACTGACAAAGGACTCGTAATCTTCGTTTGTGAAACCACAATTATACCACTCGCATTGAAATGCTTGAGTTTCAGATCTCTCGCGGTTGTCCAAGGAATATTCCTCATTAATATGGTCGCCGATGAGGTGATCCAAAAGAGTATTATCATCAACTTTCTTGCAACAGTTTTCCCACTTACAAGAGTATGAGGAAGGGGCATTAGGTGACTGCGGTTGCATTGCGGAATTGTCAAAATGAGTTTGTGAACCTATCTTTTCAGGCTCCTCCCCGAAAAGCAGATTAAAATTGTTGAATTGGAGGAAAAAATCAAAATCATTCTGTTCACTGGAAGTGGTAAGCGCAGATTCCGTAGTCTCTTGTTTAAAGGATGGTACCCTCGCATGGAAGCAAGATTGATGCAAGTTGTGATGAGCTTTCAATGCCTTTATATCATCTACCGGTTGTACTTCACCGGACAACGCCGTATTTGTCACCGGAAGAACATTTGATTTTGCATTTCCAGAATCTGCAGTTGGGTGGCAACGATGAGGGAAGTGAATTTGAATATTATCTTGACTTAGTGGCTCAAGCTTCCTTCTCTTGGTAGCAAAATTCTCGATGTCAGTGTACTGTCTCTTGGGCGCCTCTTCTTCTTCCTTCTTGATTTCTCTCAGCAGCTCGACGCTTTTTTGAACATTTTCTAAAAGATTTCGAAATATTGCCATCCTTTGCTGTTGGGTCTCACATAAATTGTTCTCATGATCGAATAGCTCGTGGTTCTCAAGACATTTAGGGTCCTCACATATTGCCTCAACGTCTCTGAGACAGCTAGGATCATCACAGCACTCGACTTCTGGAATTTCAGTCGAGCAAATTTCATCACCACAAGACTCGATGGAGCAAGCGTCATGGCTCCCCCCATTCGAACACTTTTCATTGACACAATCTCCGGATGAGCACCGATCAAGATCGCAAACTTTGGGATTCTCGCAATTACCGAAATAACAGTCGTCTAGCTCGTTGCAGAATATTCCGTCGCAGTCTTTACTAAGCTCCACGCAACTATCAGGCTCAGCAGCAGTAGTACTCTTCTCCGCTTTCTGGTTAGATTGATGGTCGTGATTGTGAATATGACCATGAATATGCATATGATCATCATGCTGATGGACATGCCCGTGGATGTATCCATGAGTCAAAACATGTTCAACCTCTTTCATAGAGGGCAGATTACCAATCGTGGGGAAAACAGTCCCCAAGCCTAGGCTATGGTCAGGCATCTTGAATGTAAATGATTGGTTGTAAGAAGCGAGGCCCGCCTCAATCAATTTACAGTGGTCGACGTCGGCTGTTCAAGTGTTAATTTTTCAAAGAAGTGAAGACCTTAATTCCTCAGCTCTGTGTCCACCTAAACGAGTGTCGCTTCTCAGTTAGTGTTCACTTTTCACCCTGGTGGTTACTTGAGATGATCAAGTGAGCTCGGACTATATGAAGGAATTTTTTGGTGCACTGGTGTTTACAATATTCTGGTAAATAATGGACCATTTAGTATGAAATGTCTTCTTCACTCAACTTAAAATCTGAATTTGCTGACCACCAAGTAGGCTCACTACGATCTCACAAGGGGAGAGCAGCTTCCCGCCCACTTAGCCAAGAGACTGCACTTGTGACACTAACCAATTGGCTTTCTGACTCCTAGCATGTTTAAGATCTTTGATCCTCAGTGTGATCCCAATCGGTTGTGTGTTGTTAATAATGTAAGCTTGACTTCCGAAAGTAACTTGTGACGTGCATAAATCATGCATAAGTGTAGATAAACATGCCCCGCGCTTACTTCATTCTCTATCTTTCGAACTAATTTATGCAAACCCTACCAGATCCCCTTATTGTTTCCGGAATTTTATCAATAACACACAGGATCTCGCGTCTCAAGTACTTATAGTATTTACTTACATGGCCTGGTCAAATATCTATCACATATCTGAGAAGAAAACTCACTTAAACTGGTCGCTTAAAAGCTAGCATGCAGAGGATATAATGCGCAGGTTTACACTAATGCTTCGCATTGGTACAGCTAAGATTCGACTCTGCTATGAAGCAGTTCAAAAATGGGCACGAAGTCGCAAGAAGGTGAAAACAAAGGGTCAGATGGATGATGACATATCTGAAGACATGGCAGACGATACTTTGGAAGATATTGTCGATCACTACTTTGACCCGGATTTACAATTTTACTCAATATTGTCAACAATAAAAAGCAGACCCTTTCCTGAAGATGAGACGACCTTCACGAGCGTGAAGCAGCAGAATGATATGGCAACTAATCGGAAGTACCACCAATCAAGCAATTCGTCGATGATAGAAGACGTTCCGCAATTAGGGGCCCGATCTGCAAAAGGTTTCACTCCGAGAAGTAGAGTTCGTATGTCTCAGGAAGAAAGCCAAGACTCACTTGAGATGTCAACAATGGTCTTCGAACTCGATGAAAGTGCTGATTACGGGTCGTTGCTTATGGCTGATCCAAGACCATTCAATTCTAGCAATGATGTTCAGATAATTCTTGATCCAAGATATATAAGTCAATCCCGCTAACGTACACCAAAGGCGGTTTGATTGTGTTTTTTTTTTTTTTTTTTGGCCTGTGCAATATTCTGAATCATGAAGCCTCATTGAAAAGCAGGCTCTACCTGGAAATTTATAACGAACTGGATATGAAATTTTTAATAAAAACAGTTGTCACTTGTTAGAGTAGTATCCATTGGCTGTTTTGGAGACATGTCCGCTCTTGAGAGCTACATAGACTCGTAAGCTTCTCCTCCCATTCTCAATGCTATCACTTATTTAGAATATCTGCTGTGACTTAAAGAAAAGGAATTAGCAGTCTTTTTGAACGTTTTGTTTATTCGCGTTTCAATTGCCAAATCTTTTAATTTTCATATCACCAAACAAGCTCCGGAGCTTAGGGAACTGAATACGCCGGCACGTGAGTATCTGCATGCAGACTTCCTCGCATCCCGTTTTAGACACATGACGCGTAATGAGCATGCCTGAATTGGTATTGATCGAGATTTAAAGGAGAAGAGTGTCAAAATCCTCTCAAAATTTAAAATTCAGAATGCTTCTTAAACAGTAATGTATGAAAATATTTCTTGCAGCCATCATCTTAAGGCTACCTTCACAAGCGATAAAGTGTAAACAAACTCAGTGGTAAACACACGACTCGCGCCTCAAATCGTGTCTAATCGGTCTATAACTCCCAAACTTTTCTACATCGACTTCCTTTTTTTGTAAATTTTTTCATACGACTCCGTTTACTTAACAAGGAAGACAATTTAACAGCTCTGCTATGACATCAGCTAACGTGGTAATAACGAAAAACAAAACAAACGAACGCATGATGGAACCCCAAGACAAAACTAACGTGGACGATGAAGGAAAACCAATCGATATTACACCTGTCGCCGATCATACAAAACCTACTACAGACCTGGGAAGTGCTCATCTGCCTTCTGGATCGATTTCGCTGGTAGAACTGTCTGAACTGACCAAAAGGCTTATCAACTCTCTTTCGCTGCAGGCGCTAAGTGGTTCGCTACCGATAGCTGATTTAAACAGACAAGAAGCCGAGAAAATTGTCGAAAGTTCCCCAAATACATCGGCAACTTCTTCTGCTGTTCAATCCCCGGACTCGGAAACCTTTTCGCAGCGTTTGCCTAAGCTAGACAAGAAGAAGCCAGTGAAGTTCACTGTTCGAAAAGTATCTAGAGACACTATCAACACGAGTGCTGGTACGAATAATGGTCAACGGCAATACTCGTATGGTAACACCATTGACCGTCTGGAGCCAAAAGAAAAGAAGCCACTTTCGAAAAATGAGCAGCTTCAGCGAAGCCAAGCGAAATATGATGGATATGCTGTTCGAGTCGAAAAGATCAACAAAGAAATTGAATTTTTGAGCAATCTTCTCCCACCTTACAATGTGGAAATTGACTACTCTACGAGAAACAAAATCGCTAGGGCCATAGAGAAGTTGAAAACGAAGCAAGATGAGATACAGAAAAAAAAGTATAGTCTTGGTATCACATTAAGTCGATTATGGAGAGAGCATGACGAGCGGGAACTTTGGGTTAGAGCTAAGAGCAACCAGTGATTCAATTTGAAGATGAAAGAGTATCATGAAAAAAGACACATTACAATTGCATGATATCAATGGATTGTTCAACTTGAATCTAACGTCATGATTCACTGATGGCGCTAAGTTTCAAATGTCAGGAAGTTAGGTTGAACACTTTGGATGAAACAGGTAAAGAGCCAGACTCAATATCGGGATCAGTCCTTCATCTTGATGTATTTTCTCGAATGACGTCTTCGAATCAACTGCAAAGCTCTGTGTTTCATGAATAACCAAGACCTGCCATTGGAAAGAACGCTAATAGATAGCCCTTGTGATCCCAGTGTTAGAAAATCTAATCGTGGGTCGTATTTATGTAATTCTATGAAATTTGAAAGTAAATCTAATGCAAATGAATGAAAGGCTGCTTGTCATCATTTGAACCCAAAATGAAATTTGAAGGTACCTTTGATTCTGAGATTTCGTTCAACGAAAAGAGAAATGTTGATAGCGGTTGGGTGTAATATATTGTGGATACTTAACAGTTGAGGCAAGACCAGGTTCAAGCGAACTAATTTTGCAATTCCAGAATTTCATTCTCGTTTGCCACCAAGCCCATTACAACCAAGTACATATTCAAGTTATTCAACATGCTTTGCTTTTCGTGCAACTTGTCCATATCAGTATTTGCAATGGCTTTTGCTCGGTTCATAACTCCAAAAATTTCATCCCTTACCTCGTCAACTATGATACGTTGGTGGCTTAGTTTGCCTCCAAGTGACAAAGTTGCCAAGAACTGCCAAACGTAATCGTTTTGAGAGTCGTTGTTGGAAGGAGGGAAAATCGCAGCTAGTCTTGACTCTAGAGCAGTGAACAACTCGTCGTAGCAGGATGTCCATTCGGACAAATCGGTAGCAGATATTGTTCCCTCTCCTCTGATAAGTTCTGCTCGTGAGAGCAAACTTGTAATAATAGACAACCCGATCTTCGTTGTTGACACAAATGACACAACATTATGCTGGATCAAAATGACGAGAAGCCCTATGATTTCATGAAACTTGAATTCTTGAACTGAATTCATCAAGATTTTGCAAAAGGTTAACGAATAGATATCAACGAGCCTTAAAACTTTTGACGGAATGGTTTTGTTTGGATAAATTGTGTACGATCCTTCCTTGATAACATTCAAGTTCTCAAGATTTGACATAACCAAGGTCACAATTGTAAGTGTCTGTTGCCTGGATAAGAACTTAAACAAACGTGGAAGTATTTTTAAAGCCTTCTCATGATTTAAACACTGAATGAAGGGATTCACAAACAGCTCATCATCTCCAGAAGAGGAAGAGCTATCCAAAACGTGTAGCGAGTTCCATAGCGATGATGTATCCACATGTGCATCAGTGCGCGAGTCACTCTCGACGGCCATGAGGTTGTTAATAATATCCTCCAAGATAGCCAAGATGTCCTTCCTCGTGTACTTCTTAACCCGTTGGCTTGGGGCAATGGGTTGATCATCAGAAGCACTGCTCGAAACATCCTTTGCTCGTTGAGCCGCTTTGCTCAAAATGGTTAACTGCTGCCTAGGTTTCTTTCCTGAACCAACAGATATTTTTCCTAAGACACCCTCTCTTTCATTGTGAGGCAAACTTTGACGCTCCTTTGCTACACTAACAGCCTTTTGGACTTGTTGCTGCATTCTTTGCAATGCAACATCCGCGCGTTTGAATCTACCACCAAGTCTATGTCCACTTTGGTCGAGATACGCTTGAGCAATAGAATTGGGTTCTTGTTGCCCATGAGAAGGTGCCAAAGCACCTGGAGTGGATTTCGGATGGATGACACGATACACTTGAGCGTAAAAGTCCTCGTTGTAGGGGTCATCCGTAACAATCTGGGAGAGCTGAAATCTTGTAACAAAGTCTTTGTCTTTTGGATTCATCACACCTGAGTAGCGCATAATGCGTGCCACTTTCTCCTGACGCTTCAACATGAGGGCATGTTGTTCTTCATTAATTGGGGCCAGCTCCTCGGGGCGGACCTCCTCTGTCTTTGGATCATGACTGTGTGACGCCACTTTCTGAGCTTGTAAGCGCTTACTTGAGGTATTTGGCGCTCCTAAAAGTGGAAATTCGCCCAATTTATCGGCATCTCTGGATACAACTGCTTGATTTGTTCCTGATTCATTTCTCAAGTTGGATTTCACGTTGCTCACATCCCCCAAAGTATGTTGAGGAACATTCTCCCTTGGTCTGGTGAAATTTTCCGCTTGAGAAATGCCAATCGAGTGTTTGGCTTCTGCTGGGATAGGAGCGGCAGGAAAGCCTTGTCCTTGGTTCATCATGTACCCATTTGGATGTTGCATGGTCACAAATTGGGGTGGTGGAGGTACTCCATATGGACCAGGTGGGGGGATGAAACCTTGTGGGACCATGAAGCCACCGAATTGATTTTGTGGAAAAGCCCCAGGGTAGTACTGCTGCTGTGGAGGAACAAAATTCTCACCTTGCCTTTGAGATAGATTGCTCTGAGACAACAGCGCTTCAATTTCCTCCAAGCTAAGAAATTTTTTCTCTTGCTCAATAGGTTTCGATTCATCCTGCTTGTTATGAGCAGGCATCCCCCATAAATCTTTCATAAAATCATCATCGTTTGCAGCAGCTCGCGCATATGATATTTGAGGATTGATGGTCTGGGATGTCGAGTGTGATACGGCTGTTTGTCCGAAATCAAAATCTTTGCCAACATCAGAAACACCAAATGTTTCGCTGTTCAAGGCATCATCGTCATCAACTTCACCCAATCCCTCATAGGTTTCCTGGAAATCATAAGATGTGTTTGTATGACCACCCAAATGAGACCCCTGCTGACCTGGAGCATGAAATGACATTATGTAATGAAGCTCAAATGTTGGTTGGAGGTGAGAGGAGTACGAAATTTTGGCTTGCAGTTTCGTTCGCACTCGACGAAATTTAGCATATGCACGACTTTGTATGGACCTATTTAAATATTTGAAGAGCGCTAGACAATTTGAGTGACATCTCGTCCCATTCGGCCGCTTCATCACTCAAAACTGTAATGGCACCCCCTGCCCCAATGCGCCACACCTGCTCTTGTTCGGAATTTTCTTTGTCGTGCTTATAATGAAACAAGGACCGTATTGTTACAGACCAGTCCGCTTCATCCGTGATTGACCAATATCCTGCTACTCCACTGTAAATGCCTCTTCTTCTGCTTTTCATTCCTTCTTGCAAGGCCTCAATGTCATGAAGAAGTTCAATTGATCTCTTCTTTGGCGCTCCGGTCATTGACCCTGGAGGAAGCGACTCTGCCAAAACTTCCCAACCACAACTGTTGTGAAGCTCCCCCTTTATTACGCTTACAAGCTGATAGACAGTTTTATACTTCTCAACTGTCATCAAAGCACTGACATCCACTTTTTTCACAAATGGATTAAGATCATGCCTAATGAGATCAACAATCATGAGATTCTCCCCCATTTCTTTCGGTGTTTTGAGGAGCGATTGCGCCATGTCTGAAGTTATCGAGCCATCGTTCTTAACTGTCCCCTTAATCGGTCTCAATTCAACGACTTTCTTCTTTCTATCGACCTCATCATCTTTCCAACATAAAAATCGCTCCGGGGAAGACGACAAAAGGACACAGTCGTCAAATGCCATAAATGATGAATATGGTGAAGGATTCTTGTGTAAAGCAAGGATTTTATACATCTCCCACGCTTGGACACTGTAAGGAAGCTTAATTTTCAGCTGGGTCGTTAAACAGAGCTCGTAAGAGTCTCCCGAATGTAAATGTTTCTGACAGGCCTCGAACTGCTTTCTGTAAGCTTCTCTGTCTGGAAAATCGAACTTAATGAGACCGTCTTCGCAGAGTTCTTTAACACTCTCGGGAACGTCGCTTTTTTGAAGATTTGGTATATGCGATTTGACAAGCTTTTCCGAAAAGGTCGTCAACCAGGGTTGGTCATCCATTTTGATGGAAAGCAAGGCCCAATTTTGAGTCGTGTGATCAAAAATGAGGAATCTCTCGATGAATAAAAGTTTCAAATCGGGGACATCCTGATGGCAAATGCTCCTAGCATTGTCAAGAATAACATGCTTACCCTCCTCATATGAAATGAGACCCATATACCCTCCAAAAAAGGGACTTGGCCTGATCGGTAGATGCGATATACTTTGCTCTGCCTTCGCTCTATCCACAAAACGTCTCCTCATCCTGTCATGAAGAAATTCCCATACTGAAGATACATCAACCTCAGCCTGTTCCTTCTCGTTATGCTTACCAACTCTAACGATATTAGGTCTGTTGAGAGAATGCGATATTACTTCACTTTCACCGGAAATAGGTAGACCTATTATGGACCAGTCCCCGGGTTCGGCTGCTGAATTGAGAAGAAATATCTCATGACCCCACATTTGCAATTTATCGCATAAGTCAACTGGTGAAGGACACCTCTCGCCAAATCTTAACGGCAAGCCGAAGACGCAAGTGTCTAAAGTGGAGACAACATTGCTACTCAAATCAACGTTGCGCGAGACCAGCGATTTTGAGCTATGATGTGAATCGAATTGTCGCCTTCCGCTTCGATTGAATTCGCTTGCCAAGTTATCAAAAGAGCGAATGAGCTCTTGTCCCTTTTTTGAGCATATTGACTCCGGATGGTATTGAACGCCATAAAACGGCAAACTTTTATGTTGTCCTGCCATAACTATATCTATTCCATTATCATTGCATGTGGCCAAGGGGATGATCTCGTTGTTGAGATCCTCAAGTCGAATTCCTAGCGAATGATATCTAACGCTCTCAAATCCATGAGGGTTCTCGCCAAAAAGGGAGCATGCTCTCGGTTCGATCTTGAAGATTTGTCCATGTCGTACATGTTCTAGCTCCTCAATCGTATTGCCGAATGCATAGCAAAGGCTCTGAAACCCGAGACATACCCCAAGTATGGGAATAGCTTCGGAGTTCGTGTTGCTTAAATATTTGAATATCCAATTTATTATGCCCACGTCCTGATGCCTCTCTGGATGACCGGGCCCCGGACCAATAACGATGTACTCAAACTTCGATATCCAGTTCGAAAATTGTTCAAGATACTCATTTGGTAGAACGAAGTCATTTTGAACGCACACGACCTCTTTACCAGTTTCCGACTCTATCAAGGCTCGGAGATTGTTGCTGAATGAATCGTAAGAGTCAATTAAAAGAATCATATCCCCAGAGTGAAGAAGTGGTGCCGTACACTATTTTCTATACAAAGACTGCACATGTCTATATGCAAGTTTTTCAGATGTGTTTTTCTTTGGTCTTGTGTTGAATTTCAACGGTTTGCGCGAGATTTCTAATTACGTTGTACTTTCTTCATCTTCGTCACCGGAAACGTTTTCATGTAGCTCTATGAGTCGCTTTTTGTAAAATGAATTCTTAGCCATCAGATTTTCCCAAAGGAGCATTAATTCATCGAAATCGCCTTGAAGAGCTCTGAAACGATCCTTCTCCAGTGTCATGGAGACCTGTAGCTCTTCATTTTGTAGCCTCAAATTTTTGATAGTCGTTCTTAGATCATCACTTGCGGCGCTGGAGCTTGGTGAACTATCAATAGAGCGTCCTTGTATTGTCAAAGCTTCGAAAGAACCCTTCGCTTTCGAATCGGTATTGTCCGCCACCGGTACGACGTCATCGTATCCAGACCTTTGGGATGAATCCACGCCCCATCGCGTCTTCATCTCAGCTAATTCTGATTCCTTATCAGACAACAGTTTTTTTAAGTTGTTGACTATAAGTGCTGCTGATTTAAGCTTTTCCATCAAAGTCTTAGCCTCAAATGCTTTTCCATCTTTCTCAGCTATACAGTCATTGAGCTTCATCTGCAAGTGGTGTATGCTCTGTTGCGCTCGGCGTAGCTCATCCTCGCCATTGCCAAATTTATTTTCATTCCCCAACTTGGTGTTTTGGAGCCTCTTAACTTCATAAGTGAGCAGTTCTATTTTATTCTGCGATTGTTTGGAGGCACGCTGCGAAGCTATAGTTACAGCTTCGAGTTGGGCTTCAGTTGTTTTGAGACTCTCTGTTAGACTCCTAAGCTCCTTGTTCATCTTGTTAATACCATTCTCTGCAAGTTGTTTTCCATCACTAGCCTCCTTGAAGCGAGTCTCTAGGTCTTTGAAATCTCTGAGAAGCACGGCTTTCTCTTTATTAGTATGTTCTAGATTGCCCTTGCATTTCGTCAAATCATTACTCAGTTTGCTTTGTAAGTCTTCCACCACTTTCATTCTTGAGTAAAGGTCTTCATTTTTTGTCTTCATCTCTTCGTTAGATTTGCGGAGCATCTGAGCTTCGCTTTCTACGCTTGTCAGCTTTCGTTCAACATCTGCTAAAGTTGCTTTCAAGTCAATCACAGATTGTCGTGAATCCTTTAACTTGTCCTCAAGCTCCGTTGCACGTGCATCACTCGAAGCTTTTAAGCTTTCGTACTCTTCCCTTAGATCTTCGAACATCTCATATGTAACCTTGAGGATTGGGTCCCTTTGAGGGTCGTGAAGTAATGCCAGTCTTATTCGGTATGCGTTATCTTGAAGAAGATGTAAATACTGAGGTATGAGGAAGACTTTAGGAAGACCAGTCTCATCTTTAGTAATTTCTTGGGTGAACAAATCGTTAGTTGTACCTTCCAAATATTTATGGAACATCTTCTTCACCTTCAAAGCGTAGTTATCGGCACCCAATGACTTCACAATGATATTATGAAATTCTGACCGAGGAAAAGGCGAAGAATGCCTCGAGAATTCGAATGCTATGCCGATGAGTATGAAGCATGAACAATCTGCCAAATCGGTTGCATTAGATCCGCTACTCATAATGGCCGACATGATGGCTTTCACTGAATCAATATCTCGCAAAAAATCATCAACCGCTTCAAAGTCTTCATAAAGCCAGAATGAAAGTAGCGAGGTGTATGCAACGGGGATTCTAGAGTCGTTCGAATGAAGAGTCGTCACCAAGATCTGTGCTATCGCCTGAATGAAGCACATCACCTCTTCTCCATCTTTCTCATTTCCAACAGTTACAGCTCTTGCAGTACGCCTCGCTTCCTCGCAATCTTCAATAAGAGACATCATGAAGAATGCAGCAAACCACGGTTTGTAAGAGTTTAGTTTGATCCCATCATCATAGTGCAGTAAAACTGATAGTATGTTGGATTGGTTTTCGATTCCTATGTTGCTCCTTCGTTCGTCAGAATCATCTTGATGGATTAATCCACTTTCGAAACTCCTAATCTGATCTTCAAGAAATCCAATTTTAGCATCCTTGTTTTTTTCAACGAAACACTGAAAGCAGTAAGAGGCAAATAAACGAATGCTAAAGTAATGAACGGAATTCAAATTAAGTGCCCAATTTAACAAGGCCTGCGGCGCTGCGAGAGTGTTCACCGTATTTCCAATCGGAAGCGATGGATCGAAGCTTGGAACATCAAACTTGGAAAACTCAAATTGCACTTTGTGGTTTCCAGCCATGAGGTCGCCTGTGATGCTTAAAGCTAGGGAACGAAGAGCAACATTTATCTCGAACGTGAATGCAATTTTTAATACTGCGATGAAAACCCCATGCTCGAAAAGTAAATTTTGCTTATATGTGAAGTCGTGACTTTCTTTCTCCACAAATGTACGACAAATCTCCAAGATCATCTTCATGTTGCATACCCTTTGATCGTGCCATGTTATGGTTTCTGGTTGCAGCGTAATTTCAAATTCTTGTGAAAATGGATCCGACAAAAGCTCCACTAAAACTGGAATGCATCCAGTTTCTAAAAAATATTTCTGATTCGAAGCATTGTAGGCGAGGAGATTAAATAATAATGTAAGGCAATCTTGGACAATGATGGAGCCTCGAACTCCTCCTTCTTCTTTAATCACATTAAAGAGAATTTCGAATGTGTTCTCAAATGCCACAATCTTCTGTATGTTATTATTGTCTTTGACCAATGCCATTAGAAGTAATATAGCCTCATTTCTTATTTGATCATGCTCATCATTCAAAATATTAACTGCCGAGGAAATTGACGAAGGAACCATGGTAAATAAGTCTCTCAATTTGACTGGCCGTGTCAAAATAAGGGCTTCCAAAAGCTGAATTGCGTATGATCTCACATGGAAGTCTGAGTGACTCAGCAAAGAGTCCATCAAAGAAGAGAGATATTGGGGACTCGCGCTGAACTCATCGGCAATCCATAGAGAAAACTGATCCACCTCAAAGTCCTCAATTGATAAGGGTGATGGATACTTGCCATTTTGGAAGCGTGAGTGCGAGCTAATCCAACCTCTTGCTGCATCGCCACTATCGGCGCCTTTCATGAATAAAAGAAGTAATGTCTCCAATATTGCTTTTATTGAACCGACATCATCACAATCTGTTATAATTGCCTTCAAAAGAGCTTTGGACGCATACTCAACCACCACTTCCCTATATTGTCTACTAAAGCTTTTTAAGCCAAGGACTGCGGAGCGCCTGTCGGCAGGGAATTTTGAGTTTTGCAAGCGATCCCCTAGAATCAGAATTGCCTCCTCTGGTTTAATTTCCAGACTGGGCTTCTTAAGGATGCCGCCAATGTAGTCCATCGAAGTCTTCGATCAAACTCCGTCGTGTAAACGATCGTACGCGACCTTCTATTAGGACACTAAATGAATATATGCAGGTTCGCTTGGTTTGGAACAGTAGGTATGGCAGGATAGTATTCTCTTTCACTAGTCGGGAGCATCCAAATATTTGCTGATTTAACCTTTTACCTCATGCAATATTTCAGAGATGTCTCATCATTTTTCTCTACATGGCCCTTCTTCTGCTACTTATTACCCAAATCATAGATTTAATTTATGTCATCAGGATCTTCTAATTCGCAGTTAAAAATCCAATGCCTGGAAGCGTGGGAAGTGGCGGATCACCGGGATGGGAATCTCTGGAGCCAAATATATCTGCCCGTTCTCGTCGATTCTTTCCCTATCGCTGCTTGCTACATCATGGATCTCGTTGATGTTTTGCTCCAAAAATTCCGTGACAGTGTTCCACAGGCGCCAAATTTGATGAGCCTCTTCCCACATACTTCTCCGCAATAAGGTATTCACCAACTTTTCGGCATCATTGATGCTCGAGTCCAACCTTTCTATCAATCTTCCCACAGATCTGATAAGATACTCTTCTTCGTACACGGTGCCCTTCCTTCCCTTCGCACGCTTACGCTCTTCTCGCTTTTTATTTTTCAGTGTCCTTCTGGACTCCCCAGTTCTTGCCGTTTCACCTGTTTTGCCGGTATACCTGGTGAAGAAGGATTGAGTAGTAGAAGCATCTGACGGGGCCACCGACACATCATCTGGAGCATCCATAACAAAACCGTTAGACCCATAGAAGTTAACCGGATCAACCTCTCTCTTCTTTCTGATCTCTCGAAGTCTTTTAAGTTGCGAATTGAGCTGACCATTACAATCAGCGAGAAGCTCTGACATTATTCCAAATGACTCTTTGACCTCCTCGATGAAGGTGTTTTCCATCGATTCCGAACTTGAAATCCTCGCGGTGAGCAATGCTGTATCAAAGTCAAAGGCTTTGCAATATAGTTTGACAGCATGAGCCTTGTTATCTAAAAAGTCCAGGTGTATCGTAGCAGCGTCTGCATAGTTTCGGTCGTCCTCTAGCTCTATTGCAAGCGTCTGAGCAACCGCTTGATAGTCCTCGATATTTTTGATTTTCTTTGCAATTGACAATGCCTCCTTCCAAAGTTTGGCTTTTATGAAATTATCCAAAGCCATTTGACTTTCATCGAGAAATTCGAAGAGTCTAGCAGCTTCTGCGAAATCCCTTGTATTAGCAAGGTGATTTGCAAAATGTTTTAGTATCAGATTACGAGCCAGCTCGATATGCTTTGTGAGACGTAATGCTGTACGATAGAGGTTGTGGGATATCATGTAAGTCTCGAACTCCTCAAAAGTTTCATCCGCTAGCTGAAATAACCATGAGAGCGCCTTTTCGTGAAGCTTCAAATGATCATCGATCAAAAAGTTTCTTCTGGCTAAGGAAGCATCATACAACGTTTGTAGGAACGGAAGATATTCCTTTGGGTCCATTTGTGATTTCTGTGCGACCTTGAGTGCAAGATCCACATCATAAATGCCCAATGCTTCATCATATAATTTGAGAGCTTCTCTGAGGTAGCAAAGATGTGTCAAAGCATTATCTTGAGCGGTCGTGTCAGCTATGCCCGACACAAGTTCGAGAGCAGCCTTATCTTGCGGAGGCCTTTGGCATGCAAGCGCTGTGATCTGAACCTGTAAATAAGAATCAGAATAAACATCTCGGGAAACTTCCTGCAAAATAATATCGCAAATTTTGTTGACTTTTTTGCCATCGAGCTGCCCTTGATTTGGGTGGTTCGTGTTCACATCATTGCGTTTCTCTTCCAATTTGAGAGTGTCGGAGTATTTGCTTTCTGTTACATCACCCTCATGTAGGCAAGACACGAAGAGATCAAGGTACTCCACTTTCTTGATCTCATTGATGAAATGTGCGACATTCTTCTCGAAGGCAGTCGGGTCAAGGTCGTGAAGAATATCCAAGTCGATTCTATGAGTTCGACAAGCTTTGAAGGCTTCAAGGTAGCACTTGTTCTTTATGAAAGTGCGCACAGCTTGTAGCACCATGATACGTGGGAAAACTGTCTCGAGGTTACCACGCAGGGCCTGTAAAACGACTGAATATTTGGATGGAATCGCTGTCACCAACATTGACCCACGCTCAATATCGCGGGTTCTCTCATCGTCCAAGTCTCCTTGAGTAATATATGACAAGTCCGCCGTCAATAAGTTTTCTAAGTGCACAAAAACTAGCTTAGACTGTGCGGTAGTGATACAAAGAAATTGGTCAGTGAGTTTGATCGAGGTCACTCCATTGGCCAAAAGTCTATTGCCACAGAATAGCTTTCCGCTTTCTGACAAACCAAAAGCCACGAGAGCACTTCCATCTTGGCTTTCGAAATTGATGCCTTCCATCTGGAGACACAATTGAGAAAAGTTCTTGATGCCATCAAGCTCTCCCTGTGCATCAAAAGCGAGCAACGACCCATCATACAACTCTACCAAGGCGGCTCTAGAATCTACCGTAGGTTTCATTTTCACAGCCTTGGAAGGTAATTCATGTTCAAAACGAACTGCGCCGTCCGTGGGATCAATGGCTTGGATATATGAAGATTCAACACTGTCCGATAAAACAAAAAGAACACCAGACATTGCACAAAGTTGCTTCGGATTAAGTTTTGTGACCACGGATCGGACGGGGCGAATCTCTACACTTCTTGTAGAATGTGCATCCCGTAATTGAAGATGCAGAGTTCCGTAGATTACCTTGGTGTTCGTCAATGCATAGATGTTCGAGGAGCTCAGATCAAACGCGACCGACCTCACTGGCAGCGGAAATTCAAATTCAGCCATACCCATTGGAGGAGGAATGTTCGCAATTGCAAGAGCTGTTAGCTTGATTTTAGAGCCGTCAATAACATTCACGATTCCCTCATCCAAACCTTTTACTGAGGGGCCATCACAAATGACGCTGGCGAACGTCAATACCTTGATCAGATGCAGCATCAATGTCAAGATGACGGTGAAGGCCTTTTCAGGGTGAAACCTTACAGAGGTAAACAGTTCCTCCTCATCTGCTTTGATCTCTTGCTTCAAATACCAATGGTAGTTCTTCGTGGTCCAGAATTGGGCTCTATCATGATAAAGTATTGCTAGGATACCTCCGTCACATGACCATGAAATATCAATGATCTTTTCATTTAGAATCAGAAACTCACCATGTCGAAGTCCATTTCTTTCGAAAAAGATAATTTGCGAATGCTTAGACGTCCCATCCACGAGCAAATCTCTCAGCGCGGTAAGCAAATTTCCTTGTGATTTCCAACATAATGGTACCTGTAGACCATCGACTGCTTCAGAGACTGCCTCGAGGTTTCCATCCCTACTGAAAAAGCGAATAAGGCGCCTTCCTTTTTCGGAGTTCTCGTCTCTTTTCAGTGAGACAGCAAACACGTTGCAGTCATCCCTCCAGGCGATGTAAACTTCCCCATCATCCCAGCGAGAATGATCACCTTTTTCTTCTGCTCTCACCGTGGGATCGCGTAACTCTGACGTCTCCTGCAAGTCCAAACCTGCGTACTTAAGAGCTTCACGCTCCCTTTCAAGCGCCTTGAATCCACGTCCCTGAAACTGAGTTTCCTTCTTTCCCCAACCCACTGACACATTGGATACAGCAACTTCATCAGCATCCATTGCATCGAGTTGCAACTCTAAAATGGGTTCAAAAGATCTCGAGAGAAGAATCATTTTAGAAGTGTATGTGATCAACACAAGAATTTCTTCATCTGGGGACCACTCCGCTGCTTTCAATTTTGTATCCAACAGACCGACAATCTCCAAGGAGAAGTCATCACCCGCTTCCTCGTGAAGCAGGGCGGCAACTACATCACCGTTCTCAAAAATGAAAATGAGAGTGTCACTTTCTGCAAATTGCTTGAAACAGATTAACTTGGATCCATTGCACGGGTTCTCGAAGAAGCATAGCACTTTACTTCCTCTGTCTTTTCCCATTTGCTGCACTTCATACACATCTTCACATGGCGTTGACAAAAGACATGTTATAGCATCATTTGTACTATCGAATAGACTTTCCCTCACTTCTAGGTCAGGATAGTATCTCGATGTGAACTCTATTCGACCCTCACCAAGAATTATTAAATTTCTCATAGTCTCAAGTGCAAAGATTGATCTTTAATCGGTGCGCACAGCTTCCAAACTCTTGATTTATCAAAAGATATGTGACGAGGGGCTAACTTGAAAAAAAGTTGATGCACTTAAAACACATCTCATCACGCGCGCTACATGTAGACAAGTTGGTACAAAAATCACTCATCAAGTAGAGCAGCGATGAAGGCTAAAAGAGTTACAGAAATAAAAAATCAATAGTTCAACTAAATATTGTCATCATAAAGTTGACAGACGCAAGCATAATCCAACACGCTAAGAAATTGGACCTCTCTGAACGAGGATGCTCAGATGAAGACATAACTTCTTTAAAGGAACATCTTATAAAGAAGGCCAGATAACGTTCCAAAGCTCGACAATATCAAATAAGTAAGCAATTGATGTAGTTCCTTTAGTGTACTAGCGCAATCGCAAGATCACTTAGTCGTGCGCATTGTTCAAAAATGCCGACCAAGCTGCCGCGCCTTTATAACTTGGGTCACTGCTAACACATTCATCAAGACATGACCGCAAAAGAAGAAGCTGTCTTTCGTATGTGAGATATTGAAGACATATTGTTTATTTGCTAACCCAAAGGTTCCGCGAAGATGGCCCTCGTTGAGGTCTATGTTCCATCAGAGGAGTCAAGGCACATTCTCCATGAAATTGGTAATTTGGGCCTGATGCAATTCAAAGATTTAAATAGCGGCGTTAACGAGTTTCAAAGAGCTTTCGTTCAGGAATTGAGAACTCTAGACAACATTGAGCGCCAGTATTCTTTTTTGAAATCGGCTCTTGACAAGAAAGGCATTAGTCTCAACGCTCATCCTTATGAAACTAATGACGTACAAGTGTCCGATATAGATGAGTATGCTCAAAACGCTGCTTTGTTGGAATCCCGAGTTCACCAATTGTCCAATTCTGCTGATGGTCTTCAGGAAAAGAAACTGGAACTCATCCAGTACAGAAGCGCAATCAAAACCGTGGACAATTTCTTCGCCACTGGCGACTCCCGTGAGGTGCTTCCACCTTCAGTCGTTGACGAAAGCTTAAACAGTGGCTCAAAGTTTGTAACAGGGACTATCGATCGTGAGAAAATTGGTATTCTTCAACAAATACTTTGGAGAGCATTGAGGGGCAATATGTATTTCTATACCGAGGAGATCCCTCAACTCGTCTTTGATCCAAAGCGTGGTTGTGATGTGCCCAAAAACGTATTCATTATTTTCTCCCATGGTCTTTTGATTCATCATCGAATTCTCAAAATCGCGGAATCTTTGGACGCAAAAGTCTTTGACGTGAACATGGGCTCGGATGAAAGACTGCGTCAAATTGCTCATTTAGATGGGGAGCTTAGGGATTTGAATGTTGTTCTTAAGGAAACTGACAACGCTCTTTGCTCTGAATTAATTGCTGTCTCTCGTGATTTGCCAAAATGGTGGGAGGTGATTGCCAAGGAGAAGCGCGTTTACCAAGTGATGAATCTCTGTAATTATGATATTCTGAGAAAAACGCTTATTGCTGAAGGCTGGGTCCCTGAGGATGAAATCCAGAGTCTTACTGCGAAGGTCAGGTCGCTGAGCTCTTCCGAATCTGTTCCGACGATCGTGAGCATCTTGGAAACATCAAAGACTCCTCCGACTTATCACCGAACAAACAAGTTCACATCAGCCTTTCAAAGTATCTGCGATACGTACGGAATTGCTTCTTATCAGGAGATTAACCCCGGACTTCCTACAATCATCACTTTCCCCTTTATGTTTGCCATAATGTTTGGTGATTTGGGCCACGGATTTCTTATGTTCCTTGCTGCGTTAATTTTAGTTCTCAAGGAAGAACATATTAGCGCCCTTAAAAGGGATGAGATATTTGACATGGCCTTTTCAGGTCGTTACATCTTGCTCATGATGGGAGCTTTTTCCATGTACACTGGTCTCATGTACAACGATATCTTCTCTAAATCGCTCACATTATTCTCTTCAGGCTGGCAATGGCCCAGTGAGTTTAACGACGGAGAACTTGTGACTGCGACCCAAGTCGGTGTCTATCCATTTGGCTTAGATTGGGCGTGGCATGGCAGCGAGAATTCACTCCTTTTTTCGAACTCATACAAGATGAAGTTATCAGTGTTGATGGGTTATTTACACATGACTTATTCATACTTTTTCTCATTGCTGAATGCCATATATTTCGGAAGCATGATTGACATCATTGGAAACTTTGTCCCAGGATTGCTCTTCATGCAATCAATATTCGGGTATTTGTCGCTTTGTATTGTTTACAAATGGTCAGTTGACTGGGTCAAGTCCCAAGAACAACCGCCCGGATTATTGAACATGTTGATAACGATGTTCTTGTCTCCTGGTACAGTCGTTGAACCTCTCTACAGTCACCAAAGTGTTGTTCAGTTGACGTTACTTCTGATTGCGTTGATCTGCGTTCCCTGGTTAGTTTTTGTGAAGCCGTTCTATCTCAAACACAAGATGTCGTTGAAGGAATCCAGTGATACGTATGAAGCGATTATCAACGAAGAGACTGACTTTACAAACCCAGCAGACGAATCAAGGCTCACTTCGCTACAGGGAGGTGAATCGCTGGTTACTGATGAGCTTGAGGAGGAAGAAGGATTTGGAGACATCATGATACATCAAGTCATTCACACCATTGAATTTTGCTTGAATTGCGTATCACATACGGCATCTTACCTCAGACTTTGGGCACTCTCTTTGGCACACGCTCAACTCTCGACGGTTTTATGGACAATGACGCTCGAGAATGCCTTTGGTCCTACTGGCGCTCTTGGTGTCATCATGACAGTTTTTCTCTTCGGTATGTGGTTTTGTCTTACTGTTGTCATATTGGTGATAATGGAAGGAACTTCTGCAATGTTGCACTCTTTGAGATTGCACTGGGTTGAGTCTATGTCCAAATTTTTTGTGGGTGAGGGCTATCTCTATCAGCCTTTTGAATTTGGGCAAATTCTTGAGAACCGTCTTTGAAAGTAGGAAAATGCAGGAAATAAAGATTGAATACAAATACACTGTAACTCATCGCGATGGACCGCTATTTGCAGTCTCCTTGGACCTCGAACAATTTTGAGCTCGATTTACATTGAAATTATCGCTAGAATAGTATGCTCGATTTTGGTGATATCACTTCCCAGCTTCAGCGTCCGTCGACATGTCATAGGATTGTGCCCGTTTTGAAATACATCTCCCGTGAGTCGCAGAAAGAAAATGTGTCTTCCACTGAGCAGAACCAATTGATTCAAATCAGCAAAATCTTGATCAGATCGAGTTCAGGGTTTGATGCATGGTGTGGCACTAACATATTGGGTGCTTTGCTGTGTGATAAAAATTTTTGTGTGCAAAAAGGTGCTGAAGTGCTAGATATCGTTTGCAATACGGTAGGTAAGAACTTCACCGATCGCAAGCTACTTAGATCATGCTTGCGGTGTATTGAAAGAGTGCTTGAGGCATTTTGGCTCGATCCATCCCTCTCTAGAGACCTTGTGACGCAAAGGTTGCCATCTTTGATCGGCCTTTGCTCAACTGCCCTATCCAAAGACCCAGGAGTCACATCCCGAATTTTACAATCCATAATCACACATCATCCAACGACATCCCGCCCGTTCATCAATGACCTCTACAAACTGACGTTCGGGATTATAAAGACGGGGCCTATCGATCACTCGCCGGTTCAAAATGTGTTGAGGCTTCCCCCCACAATTGCAATGGTCGAGAAACAGGAGCCTCAAAAACATTGGTCGGCCTATCTCGCAAGTATTCTTCATGAGATGGTTTCGACTTTTTCGATTTTTGAAAACTTCATGACCATTGGCGAAATGGAGTACATGAGAGCAATGTCTGAAAACTTCTCATCAAGTGAAAGGATTGTATTGTTTCCTCCTCTACAGATAGAGGCTACCTCCTCGAGCTCTTTAATGCAAATCTTCGAGAGGTTTCATAAATTGATATCGATTCTTCAGGCTACTCTCGCAAGCCCCACAAGTGATTCCGTGCAGATTCCAGTAGGACTTATTATGAAGATATCAGAAGTTATTTTGTCCGTTAATATTGCGCTGTGTCACTTCAAAGCTCACTTCAGAGGTGATAAGGCAAAAGACGTTGTACTGCAGAACTTACTCGAGGTGCAAATTTCGTTGCTTAACGTGATTCGTTCATTGGAAGCTCGGTTGAAGGGCTTCATTGTGCCATACTCACATCGCTTACTAGAGCTCTATGAGCATCAGGCTCGTTGTCTCAGGAAATACAAAGCGGATCACAGTGTTGCACACCTAGATTTAACCATGCTTATCGAAGCTGCCGGTGCTTTAATGTGCTTGGTCGGCTTTTTCCCACATGCAACTCATATTGCTTCCGTTGTGAGAATTGCAATCGATCATGCAAAGATTGATATGAAATCTCAGGACAAATTGTCAACATTGCAGACCTCAAAAGATTTTCTGAGACATAGCTTTTGCACAGTAAGGCGTCGATCTGGAATGACTTTTTTCGACAAGGTGTCTCGATTCTCTTCCATTCCCCATACCACCATTGGCATCATCACTCGACAGTTTTTGGAGCACTGGATATTGTTTTCGGATTCCTTTCTGGGCCAAGATAGAAGATTAACGAGCGATTGGAGTCACATTTTATTAAGTTTAGCCAACAATGGACCATCTTCGTTGCCTCTCCTTAGACATTTAAACTACGATGACGATCTCGCAAGTGTCATGGCAAGTCCCCGATTCCCTTGCAATGTCCTGCGCGTTCGAAGTGAGGATGTTGATTCTAGTGGTCCACACCAGCCTGAAAATCTGACTTTAAAACGCGGATTGTCAGCGTCTCCAGCGTTACAGAAGAAAGCAAAATTAGAGATGATGAATTATGATATTTCCGATCCAGAAGAAAACACCTCGAGACGAGGTGTGATTCAATTGACTCCCCGCATTGATCACGAGGTGAAAGCGACAGTTAAGTTGCTGTCTATCGAAAATGGGGCGACGAATGTAAAGTCTTCGTCTGAAGATGAAGATGAAGATGAAGATGAAGATGAGATAGAGATACCTGTTCTTCAGATGGAATCTGATTCTGAAGGCGACCCACAATGAGGTACAAGTGATAAGCGACACTGTTCGAATTGGTTCCGAGTTAGTTACAAGAAGCAGTGGCGGATATTGTAGAAGGTTTAGCATCCCTGCGCATTTCAGCTCTAGTTGTACAGCTGTCGAGTACTCTTATCGTGTGCAATTGAGTCCAATTCATACAAGTGAACTAGTAATACACTGATTTGGCATTTCTGGTCTCCCTATACCATGAATTCTGCACCTTGATTTTTGCTCTCTAGTAATTGTGGGGGTAAGAAATTGGGTACTGATCTAAATCGCGGCTTCTTACTTCGCAAATTGACAATACAGGTCAACTCCCATTCAACTGCTCGATTATATATATATAGCATGAGAAAAAACTACGATGGGGGGGTGACGCCTGCTGGAATTGTTTTGTTCATGCTTGTCAATGACTACTTAGACGAAAAGATCCCGCGGTCCCGAAGTCTCTTGTTCTTCATCGCGTCCCATACCCAATCAATCGCTACCTTCAAATCCACTGCACATCTGGTTACTACCTTAGTCGACTTTCACTACTCCTTGAAAAGCTACTTTTTGACGAAGGATCCTAACGGACATAACGAGCAGCTTGATAAAATTACCGATTGGCTTCATTGCTCTATTGCCGCTATCAATGGTCCAGATGACCTTTATAGGTGGTCCAGGGAAAATGTGAAGAAGTGGACATTCTCCGAGCATGATACTCACGAGCCCTGCCATCTTCCCTCTAAAAGAAGTCCTTTGGGTAATTTCATGAGAAATATAAGCATTATGATACGGCTACTAAGTTTCGAAGAGTATGACGACCTTTACTCAGCTTTCGATAACTTTATCAAAAACAACCTGCTGCCAACTATTGCTGAAAAGAAACATTGTTCGCATGGCTCCCCAGATATGCTTGCAGAAAGACAAACTGGGATCGTGGCCCCTCTGGAAATTCGACGCTTGACACAGGTGCAGTCGAAGGTGCTTCAGTCCATAGGTATCACAACTCCCCTGACTTTTGAGTCAGCCCTTGAAAAGTTTGCTTTTACAACATTATCTGCGATAGGAAGTGGGACAAATCATCGACCTCATAGCTCAAGCTATTTGGCATCTTTTCATTATCTACGATATCTTGAGTATCTCAACGACGGCGATTATCATGCCTCCTTTGATGCTTTGCATCAGTATTTTGACTATGTTGTGTCTGAAGGTTCAAGGGAATTCTATCATTTTGCGCTCATTGCCAAAGCGTCGCTTCATGTCGTCTTCGGTGAAGAGCAAGATGCTCTTAGGACAATCGAAGAGGCGGGGAACATTGCCAGAGAACACAAAGATGAAATTGCTTTGACATTTGTGCTTACGTGGCTTTACAAAGCTCTGGACAAGTGGGCAAGTTTGCGATCCTCCAAAAAGACCTTTAAACAGAGAGATTCAAAACTCCTCGAGCTTCTTGTAGTGAAGGATTTAGAGCAACAAAGCTTTTTAAACGCCAATGTTCTACAGTTGGAATATGAAAATATTCTTCTTTGTGGTGCAAGTCAAAAGAAGTGTTTCCAGGCGATGAGCAAAAGCCTTTACTGCTGGCTCAATTGCAACTCCAATTCACTAGGGAAGATCTCTCGCATTGCTTCTCGTCATTGGTTACGGTCAGGCTACCCAACCTTGGCAGAGGTGTATCTCAAAGTTTCCGAGATCTCAACTGGTCGTAGAGCTTCGCAAATCAATGACAAGGCAGCTTTGTCGGCATGCGAAATCTTCTTTTGGAAAGGTGAGGACGAGAAAGTTTTGGATATAATTTCGCTGTTTGGTGACTCATCACTGTCATCAAGAAAGTTCGATGAGGAGCTCTCCATTTGGAAGATTATCTACATGATTAAATTGCAATTGAAAACCGGGGAATTTGTCTCCGCAAAAGAACTCCTCAGCTTGATTGATGCAAGCTCAAGTAACAGCGCGATGAAAGCGGAAGTGAGTCGCCTCAATGTTCAATTGATGTCTTCGTGTGGTAACAAACGAGAGGCTCTCAGATTACTCCAGTCATGGACTAAATCTAGCTCTTTGGGGCAAGAAAGTCCGTCCGATTTGATATCCAGCTACCTCATTAAGTCTGACCTTCTTCTTCAAGCTAATCTTTTGGGTGCATCATTTGTTCTAATCCTCGAACAGATGACAAGGGCGGCAAAGCATGGTTTGTATTGCTTGAACATTGAATTGGCTGTGAGGTTGATCCACTGCTTTTCCGCATGTCAAGATAAAATGATGCTATTTGAGGTTTCAAAAGCGCTCCTTCCAATTCTCCACCGCTCAAATAATTTAAACCTAATTTTGCAGATCTATTTACAAATTGCTAATCTAAGAATCAATTTGCCCCATGCCACTTCTGAGCTGTTTAAGCTTGCACTCTCAAGCATCGAGCCCAATGCAGAAATACCCTTCAATAACGCTCGAACCCTGAGAAACGAGAAAAGTGGTAGGATGGAATTGTTACACCAAGGCAAAGGTGCGACGAAGTCGGGTATCAGAGGTCTTAGAAAGACACGAATTCCGCAAGGCTCGATTACGTCGCCCACAAATCTCTAACGCTTATTCTGATTTGTCTCTCGCATCTTTTGTGGCCAAGATGTATGCAGCGTTTCTCATTTGCACAACGTTTGCGACTTGCTTAAATAGCCAAATAGGAGCACTTAAGTATGCTAGCGCCGTTCCCAACCAGAAAAAGTTGTAGTGGTGGAGGTAAAGTGCGACATAAAACAACTCATTGACCAAGCAAACAAGAAATAACACTTTACGATTGTTGTAGTATAATGAAAGCAACTTAGACTGCTTTTCATCAACATGCTTGTGTGATGCTGATCCCGACGACAACATTGCATACATGTGCATGTAGTGAGAGGCTAGGTCTAGTGAGACAAGCATTTGCCACATAATACAGAAACTTGGATATATGACGCAAAGGTAGCAGATGAGCGACGTTGTAGCGCATCTATCGGTTACCATGTCCAACACCGCGCCGAAACTCGTTCCTTGGTTAAACCTTCTCGCAGCATAGCCATCGAAAGCGTCTAAGAAGCCGGAAATCCCATATAAAACTAATGTCCACTTGGGATGCAGCCTCATAGTGATGAAGGATAGAGTTGCCGTGAGTATACGAAAGTACCCAATCAAGTTTGGAACAAAAAAGAACACATCTTTCACAGTGACTTTAACCATTTTTTAAGATGACACGCGCAATATTGTGGAAGCCAGATGACCAAGGAACTTAGCAAGGAGAAATTGACGTCTGTGGTGGCACCTGATCAAGCTCGCCTATTGGAATGACGTGGGTATGGTGTCCGCAGGAGGTCGAGTTGGCAAGATTGCTCGAGGAGTAGTGAAATTTTTTGTGAGGTAATGAATTCGCGATTTCATTGCACGAGAACATTCACAGTTACGTCTGATTATAAAAGGAGGCTTCATATTTTTTACTGGCTGCAATTTTTCTCAGGACCCTTTTCGTTTGAAGGGAATTTGATTTTTCCTCGAATCATGTTGCGAGTTTCTTTTGTTCCGCAAAGACATCACCTTAGAAGATGTAGCATTGGCCGGCCGATCAACAGGATACATGAGTAAATTGGAGAATTGTCTTTTTGCTAGCGGATGATTATCGGCCCTTCAATTATTGAATGAGTGATCAGATATTGAGGAGCTTCAAATTGCCGAGCACGAAACTTGCAGTGGTGCACGGATCAATTCAAATACGAACAGTGACTAGCTGTGCCACAGGAAACATGAAGAGAAGTTTATCAGACCTAGGAGAAGACATTTTAATTTACAATGTCTGTACGCTTCTAGCTATCAAGGATATGAGAAGTCTAGCAGAAACATGTCATTTCTTTTATCACATGTTATCGACAAATGCGGCCTATCATTTGATGTATGTCAAAAGATTCGGATCGTATGGGCCGTTCAGCGCTGAGTCTCATAATTGGAAAGAATTATATACTCTACATTCTTCGAGGCTTCTGAGCCTCTACACCTGGGGCAGTGGCGGGAATGGGCGTTTGGGTTATCTTGTTAAGGACAAACCCTCAAATGTGCGATCACTTAGAACGCTCGGGATATCTCGTCCTTGCAAAACCGAAAATTTCGACGGTTCCATCATCCAGTCTATTACTGCTGGCGGTTATAGTTTTCAGATCCTCTCTGATGGACAGATTTTTTGTACGGGTACTTCAACATCTCGTATTGCCCACCAATCCCCACCAGGTCCTCTGGAAAAGGATAGTCTTGCTTCACCAGACCCAAAGCTTATGAGTCCCCAACTAGTGCCATCTTGCAAGAGAGAATCAAAATTCGTGCTGAAGTTAACAACTCCTCATAATAAAGAGATCGTGTCGATCTCAAGCGGAAGGCAACACTTCGTAGCTTTGGATGATGATGGTCGACTTCTTACTTGGGATACTGGGATGGAGTGCTGGGATATTGGAGTGTATTTGACCTTTCCGTTCGCTTTCGGTCGTATTTCAAGAATTTCAGCTGGATGGAATTCAACGGCCTGCTATTTCGTAAACATTGGCTTAGTCGTGGTTCATTCTCGTGAAAATTCCATCTTTTCTGGACAGTCAGAGGACTGGCCTACTGCCGAAGCTATATTCTCGATCGTTCCCAATCTGCAAAGTGTGATTGATTTCGTCGCACTTGAGAATTGTATTGTTTTCATAGATCGGAGTGGATCATTGAAAAGATATGATTTTCCAGATGAAGGTGCGAGTTGCGGTAACATCGAGTCACTACAATCTTTCGACGAGTGGTTGATTCAAAGGTCCATGAAAGTGAATTCAAACGTGTCATTCACCAAAATTGTCGGCTGTTTCAAGACGTTCGTTGTCTTCACGGATGATGGTCTGATTTTGATAGGGAAAAAGCAACAGCATCTGTTTTCTATGGAGGTTCCTCGAAAGCTTCAGAATGAATCGATCATTGATATCGTGGTGGGCGACTACCATTATCTTGCCATAACGAAAAACGGCGATCTTCTAAGCTGGGGTTTAGAACTGCAATCAAACGGATGCTTAGGTTTAGGTAGTGAAACTGATACTGGTGTCATGCAAGAAGAGGGCACAAGTCTTAGAGTCGTTGATCCTACCGTGGTCTCTAAGCAAAATACAAACGGTCAATGGTTGAGAATCGCAGCCGCTGGCTGGCACTCTTGTGCTGTGTATGTCGGGAAATCACCGATGACTTCAAGTGCTGCTCTAATCGACTGTTCTCGTGACCCCATTTAATCGTTTCAAAATGATTATCAAGGCACAAAAAGTTATTGGAAGGTTTTTGCATTGTGCCAGTTAGCTAACAATTCTTTTTTTTTTTTTTTTTTTCAGAGCAGGAAGGAAGAGGAAAGTCAAAGGAGAAGGTCCAAAGGAGGATGTTCAAAGGAGGATGTTCAAAGAACTAGAAAACTGGGCTTTTGCTGGCAATTTTGAGAAAGTCGGCTGCTATCTTGCATCGCAATAAGTGGACAGTTTATCTGATAGAATACAAATTCAATTCAAGTCCGCTTAGAGAGAAGCTGTCATCGCCTTCAGGCTAGCACCGCTTTACCTCACCCGTAGCTTGCGCCTTTCTTTTTTTTTTTTTTCATTTTAGAAAATCCTTTTTTAAATCTACATAGAGAAATCTCGTTATCTTCCAGACTAGCTCCGCTTGAATACACCTGTGAATTGAGGCGTTCCCCGTGCTGAGTAGCCACAAGGCCCTTTCTTTTTTTTTTTTTTTTCCTTTTTGTTTGATTCACCTTTTTATCTTTGTTAAATTTTTTTTTTTTTTTGTTTGATTCATCTGATTAAATGGAAAACCCTATTTACCTCTACATAGAATAAAAAACCATTATATCAATCTGATTATATGGAAACCCCTATTGTCTCATGGTTCCGATACCGACCTGCTCGTTCAATGAAGAATGACTCACCGCATGTTGTTCTAGTAATGTGACATTATCGACCTTGTTAAAATACACTTCTCCAAGTTTTCGCAACCGTTATGAAACTTCGTAGGAATTGCCTAAACAGCGCACGCTTTACCTTGAGCTAAATTCCCTTAAAACTTCATTAACTGGATTTTTTTTTATTATCAATTCTGTTTTCCTATTTTTTCTTAAGCGAGAATGCTTTATGACACTTTTTTGGATAAATCCTATAAAATCTGATTTAGCTTGTTTCAATAGCACACCCATTGTACGATACCATGAGCTCACGAATCACGTGAGATATCCGGGTAAGGGGTCTGATCACTGTTTTGTAAACGAGGCGATCTTAAGTGCTGCGTGAGTTGTACTTCAGGACACTGCTTTGACTTTGTTAATCCAGGAAACAGACCCTTCGACGGTTTTTTGATTGCGTCATACCAAGTTCATCGAGAAAAAAGCTCACATTGTATTGATATAAGAATGGAACCAAAGCAAGAAGAAGGGCTACTCACACCGACGCCTTCACACACCCAGACTGTCACACCCAGAAAGAGGCGCTCATCATCAATAATTCAGCACCTTGAGCCCGATACATTGGATACTAAGATTGACCAGTCCTTGAACCCAAACCTCAATGCCGACTGGGTTCACTACAAAGGTGCATGGATCATCCACATTGTATTGATAGTCTTCGTAAAGCTATTTTATGATTTTATCAGCGTTCTTGATAATGATTGGCAGTGGGCTCTAACGAATGTGACGTACAATATAGGGTCGTACATCATGTTCCATCAAGTCAAGGGAACACCATTTGAGTTCAATTCAGGAGCTTACGATAACCTCACAATGTGGGAACAGATCGATAACGGTGATCAGTACACGCCAGCTAAGAAATTCTTGATGATGGTTCCAATTGGGTTGTTTTTGATCAGCACTCATTATTCGAACTACAATTTTTATTCCTTCACAGTCAGTGGTTTGAGCTGCTTATGCGTGGTCGTTCCAAAACTTGCGATATCTCATCGATTGAGAGTAACGCTTTATTAGTTGTTGCTTTTAGATTTGCGGGGATGACTTAAGTTTGCAATCTACATCATGATTGACTAGGCGTTTGTGCTTCCGGATTTCCTTTATACATATGATAGCTCCAGAACTCATGAAGCTCAGATTTGAATCGTTAAATAAAGATAAATGAGTTTCCAAGATCATTCGCTCCTGATCAAATTGTATTGTGAGTTAAGTGACTCAGATCTCAAAATCAGAGTCACCCACGTGACCTATAATTTTAATTTCTGATGCATTATATATACCCCTTCCCCCGCTGTCCACGAGCAAATTTCAAAGTAAAAGAATTATCCTCTTGCTCAAGTCGAATCTTGGATTATTGGAATAATTTGATTTTCGCTGTTCTTTGAGTTGACTTAATAACAAATATCAGAGAAGAAGTGTAAAATGAGCTACGCCTTGTCAAACGATCACAAGCAACTTGTGGAGGGCTCCTTGCTTGAAACTGACCCGGAGGTTCACCAAATCATCAAAGATGAAGTCTCGAGGCAAAAGCATTCCATTGTATTGATTGCTAGTGAAAATTTCACTACGAAGGCAGTCTTCGATGCATTGGGAACTCCTATGTGCAACAAGTATTCGGAGGGATATCCTGGTGCTCGTTATTATGGTGGAAATGAGCATATCGATAGGATGGAAACATTGTGTCAAGAGAGGGCATTGAAAGCGTTCAATGTCTCCTCTGACAAGTGGGGTGTCAACGTCCAGACTTTATCCGGTTCTCCTGCAAATTTGCAAGTCTATCAAGCTATAATGAAACCACACGAAAGATTGATGGGTTTGGACTTACCTCATGGTGGTCATTTATCACACGGGTATCAAACGGATTCGAGAAAAATCTCTGCAGTGTCTACCTATTTCGAGACAATGCCCTACAGAGTAAATTTGGAGACTGGGCTCATCGATTACGATATGTTGGAAAAAACGGCAGTCCTCTACAGACCTAAAGTTTTAGTGGCTGGCACCTCGGCTTACTGTCGCCTCATCGACTATAAGAAGATGAGAGAGATCGCGGACAAGGTGGGAGCATATCTCGTTGTTGACATGGCACACATTTCGGGTTTGATTGCAGCTGGCGTTATTCCCTCTCCTTTTGAGTATGCGGATATTGTGACTACCACTACTCATAAGTCATTGAGAGGACCCAGGGGCGCCATGATATTTTTCAGAAGAGGCGTCAGGTCAGTCAACCCTAAAACTGGCCAAGAGGTCCTTTACGATTTGGAGAATCCTATCAATTTCTCTGTCTTTCCAGGACATCAGGGTGGTCCTCACAACCACACAATTGCAGCTTTGGCCACTGCCTTGAAACAAGCTGCTACGCCTGAGTTCAAACTGTACCAGGAGCAAGTGCTCAAGAACGCGAAAGTTTTGGAAGCTGAATTCCTCTCCAAAGGTTATCTGTTAGTGTCCAATGGTACCGACTCGCACATGGTTTTGGTTTCCTTGAGAGACAAGCAAATTGATGGTGCTCGTGTCGAGGCTGTATGTGAACTCATCAACATTGCACTCAATAAAAACTCAATTCCAGGTGACAAGTCCGCTTTGGTCCCTGGTGGTGTGAGAATCGGGGCTCCAGCAATGACGACTAGGGGTATGGGTGAAGAGGATTTCAAAAAGATTGTGGAATACATCGACTTCGCTGTTAGCTACGCGAAGCAAATTCAAGGTGATTTGCCAAAGGAAGCCAACAGACTCAAGGATTTCAAGGCTAAGATCTTGCAGAAAGATGAGAAGTTAGAGGCTGTGAAACAAGAGATCCATGAGTGGGTTGGTACCTTTCCATTGTCGGTTTGATGATCAATTGATGTGATAGTTTCTTTAAGTAGACTTTTTTGTTGACGAAATAAAATATATCTCGTAAATCGAATCATGATATAGGCCCACCAAGTTTTGGGAACGATAAGACCTCGTCAGGCCACGTCAGAATAATTACATGCGTCATCACGCTACTACGGTATAATTTGGAAGTGCGAGCACTGTTGCTGTGACGGAGAAGTGAAGTCCTCAGCCCACGACCGCGCGATATAAATTCAAATTCCTCCCTCCGGAATCAACGTTCGTAACAACATTGAATCATCATGAACGAAGAATTGCAAACAGCTGTCGACAGTATCACAAAAGCATTCGAAGTTGACAAAACATTCCTTCGTAAAGCAACCAGTCATTTCCTCAGCTCCATGGATGCTGGCCTCGCGTACGAAACCCCTGCCCGTGAGTATATGCCTATGATCCCCACTTATGTTACCTCTATTCCTTCCGGCAAGGAAAAGGGTCTATTCCTAGCTGCTGACCTAGGTGGAACCAACTTTCGAGTGTGCTCAATCAATTTGAAAGGTGATCACACCTTCGATCTTGAGCAGGCTAAATTTCCCATACCCCTTGATTTGATGCTGGGATCGACATCTGATGCTTTATTCGCCTTCTTGGCAGGTAAGATCAAGAATTTTTTGGAGGAGAAGCACAGTGAGCTTGAGACTTCTGGCCCCATTAAGCTTGGCTTCACCTTCCTGTTTCCCGTGGAACAATCGGCTCTTGACCGTGGAAAATTAATTCGTTGGACGAAAGGTTTCGACTTGCCAGACTGCGTTGGCAGAGACGTCGTAGAATTCCTCCAAAAGCACCTCGATATTTTGAAAGCACCAGTCTCAGTTGTGGCTTTAGCAAATGACACTGTGGGAACATTGTTGTCCAGAGCGTATTCAAACGATCCTCTGAAGTCCAAAGCAAACACTGTGATCGGTTGTATCTTTGGAACGGGTACAAATGGTGCCTATTATGAAAGGGTTTCGAACATACCTAAATTAGCTTCATCAGCTCTACCAAAGGACATACAGGGAATGGTTGTAAACACTGAATGGGGTTCCTTTGACAATCTGTTGGACATCTTGCCAAAAACTAAGTTCGATGATATTGTGGATTCTGAAACATCAAATAAGGGGTATCATTTATTTGAGAAGAGAATCAGTGGAATGTTCCTTGGAGAGCTCTTGAGAGTTACCTTGATGGAATTGTTTGAGAAAAAATTGGTTTTTCAAGATCTTTACAAGGAAAGGGGTGGTACATTGCCCCACCGACTTACTGAGCCTTTCCTTTTGTCATCTGAGGTCTTGTCATACTTGCAGATTGATGATTCAACTGATCTCAGAATGTCTTCCCTCATCCTTGAAAATCATCTTCGTCTTTCTACCACTCATGGTGAGCGTGTGGCCATTCAACGGCTTACACAAGCTATCTCAAACCGTGCAGCTTCTCTCTCTGCCATTCCATTAGCAGCAATTGTTATGCGGGTGAAGGACCAGTATGCAAATGATCAAAACGATTTTGAAGTGGGGTGCGATGGATCTGTTGTTGAGTTTTATCCTGGATTTCAAGAGAAGATTCTCTCTGCCCTTGAGTATATCGATCCATTAAAAGGAACAAACAAAAAGGTACACTTGAGGATTGCTAAGGATGGAAGTGGCGTCGGCGCTGCTCTATGCGCCTCCACTGTCTAATTGTCCTCAATATTTTGTTTAGTGTTTAACAATAAAACAAAAAAAAAATACTTCTCGACATTTTCACTGCTGGAGTTGTCAACATACTATATGCCTGGACCTAATATACGAATGATTCAATATAGCTCTAACCTATAGCGCAACCTTCAACGTGATGATCACTCATCGGCATAAGAAACTTGGGAAGAGCATCCCCAATGCGACCTGGGAGTAGCAAATGAAAAAAAGCTTTGGAGCAGATTTCAAGAGTAGTGGATACTGAGGCAAACTGCTAGCACGTCAAAATATTGATCTTGTCTTGTATGTTTAGATGATGATATATAAATTCCAAACAAGACTAATGCAATGTCTATAGGATGCAATGTCTATAGGATGCAATGTCTATAGGATGCAATGTCTATAGGATGCAATGTCTATAGGATGCAATGTCTATAGGTTGCAATGTCTATAGGTTGCAATGTCTATAGGATGCAATGTCTATAGGTGCTGCAAATAATATCAACTCCTACTCGCCATATCCAGTAAGATTTTACTCATTATTCTTAACACTATAGGACTGACTCAGTTCGATTCACTGTTTCACTTAATCATTCGGTGGATATGTCATTTCAGAAAGTACAGCAAGAATAAGCCTGTGTTAAATACAGAGAATAAGAATGTGCAATTCCGTGCTACTATCACCTTCCACACATTGACTGAATCTATACCTTCAAGGAGAGATAATACCACCTGCTAATAAGATCAATCAAGGCTACAACGAAGCCTTGCTATACCTTCAAGGAGAGATAATACCACCTGCTAATAAAATCAATCAAGGCTACAACAAAGCCTTGCAAAGCCTGAAAATAAGAATGATTGCCAGCTTGCTCAGCTTTTGATTAAGGCAAGATACACCCGAGAATATCAAACGGTAGAACCATTACTCTAATCCCAAGAATATGCAAAGCCCTTACAAGAATTTTGTATCACCCTCACTGCGCTCAAAGTATTGTGAATGTCTATTGCACAGTGTCATAAATTGAGAACTTAACGAGGTGAATTGCAGGACACTATCCTCGTTTAATATTTACGTCGCCAAATAAACCGGAGTAGGAGGCGATCCATTCCCCTCCTTATTTGTCCTCTTGAGTACAATTTCAAGGCCTAGTGGACATTGAATTGAAATGACAGAGTTTATACATGTTGCAAAGAATTCAGGTGGTTGTAGTTCCCTTAGCGTCTGGGATCAGTGATACCGCAACTTTAAGCTCATACTTCTCCATCTCTGTGTTTGTAAGATGTAACGCCATTAAGGGAACCTTTAAGTTGAAGGTTCCTCCTTTTGTCGTAATCATTGTACGATTTAATTTTTGCTGCAGCTGAACCATTTGTACTATTTCTCAAAAGTTTTAAGGTTTATTCTGTCGAAGGTATCCCTATTCTGGTTGGAAGTCTTGAGGTGCGTATGATCATCACCCTTCTGACATGTTACAGCTGAAACATTGGGATTGATTTCGGCAAGTATATTTCTTAGAAGGTCAGGAATGCGGTTCAGAAACAATAGCTGGGTGCAATTGATAGTGCTTCAATTTTGTCTCTCTATACTTGGCATCGAGGCTCCATGGCTCATGGTTTTACAAAGTTAATTGCTTAGCACGAAAAGAAACGGCTGTGATGTCTAACTAATATGAAGTTAATCGAAGTTCTGACAATGGAGTATGTAGATACATGATCATTATATCAAGTGGACTCCCATGTGTTGAAACTAGCCTGCTTGATGGTTCTACAAATGTACATGAAATGTTTTAGAGTTGATGTTTTGAAAGTTTTGCATTTTTATTGTTTTCGGGTACTTAGTGATTAATAAGATTTGGTTGAAATGTTTATCTCGACTATTACATCGGCGAGGGCATTGTGAAACTATTTTTGGTTTGTAGTGGCGTTATTTATATTTCATCTATGCTTTCCTAGTCTTCCGATTCTACTTCACTGAAATTTTGTGTGTATGTCCTTCATCGAGGATGGTTGTGTTATGCTTTTTTTATTTCAAGAGGAGGAAGACTGGACACAATATAAGTAAGGTAAGTAGAGTTGTAGTTATATTTAAGTTGAATTGTAGTACCATTTAAGTAGAGTTGTAATTACATTTAAGTATAATTGTAGTTACATTTAGGTTTGTGGTCAGTAATCTTATCATACGATACTTATGTTATACTTCGAAAATCAATCTGTACTGGAGTCGTCTTTGGCGAGAGCAAAATTGATGAGTAAACCAATTGTTCCCTGCTTGGCACCGTTGATGCCATCCTTCTTCAAAACCCAGTTGAAATTGTTCAAGGTTTCGTTGGAATATTGCGCAACATCAATGTCTAAGGTGCGGTTCCCGTATGTTGGAATCAGAATCTTGTATTGAGAATTACCCAACTTTATCAAATCGGTGTCAAATTGGAAAGTGTAAGTTTGGCCTTCTAGAAATGTGAATTTGGAGGCGTTATCTGTACTAGTAAAATATTTCTTGCGACCTTCGGACTTAATGGGGATATCTTGGTCGTCTAAAGCTTCATTCAAGTTCTCTGTGCTGCCGGCGAGAGGTTCTATGGATTCATGCCCATCAGTAGCATTGTTGTCTTTGCGGACGTTTATTTTGCTGAAGCTGTTAAGGGCGTAACCATATAAATATGGCATGTCACCATAAAGATCAGTCTTTATCGAAGGATTGATAAACCAAGAAAAGAATTTGAGACCTGTGGATAATAAGGAGACAGGAACCTGATCCTTGACAGGTGTTAAACACTCGTTACCAAACAAAAGTTGTGTTCCCAGAATTGCCTCTGATGGCTTTAACGTAATCAAAAGTCTGAAATTAGGAATTGACTGATTGTCATGTTCAGGCTCATCTTTGGTTGGTACCCCTGAAGGATGTTTGTTGCTTCCATTGAAATCCTTGATATAAATTTGAACCAGGACTAAGCCTAAGTCTGACTCAAACAGTAAGGCACGACCACTGTTGACTGGAACAGTTTGAAAAGTATCATCGTATGAGGTGCTAGCTGTAATATGGAGTTTCTTGGACATTGTGGTGAGAGTGTGGGAATAATGTGGAGTTGATATCTGTGCGCAAGCAATTCCGACCTCACCGAGTAATTGCTCTGCACCAATTGAACCTAGTCAACTTGAAGAAGATGGCGACCAGTATCATCATTTCTGCTGAAGAGTAATGGGCGGAATTATTGGCTTGTTCCACTGACGGATACTAAGTTTATATGTTGGGTTTAGCCACTGTCAAACTTCATGAGGCAGCATAGCACAGTTTAAAGTCCTGACACAGAATTGTAACTCTTTCATAGAGAAATGATTCGTATTTTTTTAAATTGACTGGTCAAAGCTTCGGGATCTAGAATGATTTTGATTAGTATTGCACACAATGGAAAATGACAGCAATGCGAACGGATTACCCGGTTTCTTGGGAACATGGTATATATACAAGAGCGCTCCCTGAGTACGTTTCCTGAACCAACATTTTCTTCAAACTCAAAATGTCTAACTCATTGGAACAACTCAAAGCCACTGGTACTGTTATCGTGACTGATACTGGTGAATTCGAGTCAATTGCAAAGTACACTCCTCAAGATGCTACCACCAACCCTTCCTTGATTTTGGCAGCTACCAAAAAGGAGGAGTATCAGAAGTTGGTGGACATTGCAATTGAGTATGCTAAGGACAAAGGTGCTTCCCCTAAGGAAAAGGCTTCAATTGCATTGGACAGATTATTGGTCGAGTTTGGCAAGGAGATCTTGAACATCGTTCCCGGCAGAGTCTCGACAGAAGTTGACGCTAGCTTGTCCTTCGACAAGGACGCTACTGTTAAGAAGGCCCTTGAGATCATCGAATTATACAAATCCATCGGTATTTCAAAGGACAGAGTTCTTATCAAAATTGCTTCCACTTGGGAGGGTATCCAGGCTGCCAAAGAATTGGAAGAGAAGCACGAAATCCACTGCAACCTTACTTTGTTGTTTTCTTTCGTCCAGGCTGTTGCTTGTGCCGAGGCTAAGGTTACTTTGATTTCTCCATTCGTCGGAAGAATCTTGGACTGGTACAAGGCCTCCACTGGTCAGGAGTACGACGGCGAGAGTGACCCTGGTGTGATTTCAGTGAGAAAGATCTACAACTACTACAAGAAGTTTGGCTACAACACCATCGTCATGGGTGCATCTTTCAGAAACACTGGCGAGATTAAGGCTTTGGCGGGTTGTGACTATCTTACAGTTGCTCCAAAATTGCTTGAGGAATTGATCAACCTGACCGACGCGGTACCTCAAGTTTTGGAGAGCGGCAAGGCCAAGGAATCTCAAGAGGAGAAGGTCTCGTATATCAACGATGAGGCTCAATTCAGATTTTTGTTCAATGAAGATGCTATGGCCACCGAGAAGTTATCTCAAGGCATTAGAAGCTTTGCCAAGGATGCCCAAACTTTGCTTGGCCAGTTGGAGGCTAAATTCGAGTAAATATTAGTAATAATTGCTTTATCTCATGAGCCTGTATATAAAAGATTTGTAGCTCTTTAGTAAATTGAAAAATGTCACTGAAGAAGTTGTACTATAACCGACCCATGAGACCTGAAGTTCCGGCAAATGTGGTCGAACCGTATCCCATTCATCTTCATGATGAAGTGATAGCAGGATTTTCAAGAGGATCATCGGAGCTCGGAATTCCAACAGCTAACATTCATGTCACGGACTCACTTCGGGCTCTAGAACCGGGCATTTATTTTGGCTTTTCGAAATTGCGTTGTCGGAGAGAACTCCAGCCTGAAAGTAAGACAAGTGTCAAAGGACAGAAGATCAATTTTAATTATGGTCAGCATTTGAAGAAGAAGGACCTTGAGGTTTTGCCAATGGTGATGTCCATAGGGTATAACCCTTTTTACAACAATAAGGAGAAAGCGGCAGAGGTTCACATTATACACGAGTTTCTGGACACGTTCTACGGAGCGCATATTGAATTGGTCATACTTGGATATTTGAGACCTGAACTCGACTATATAAGTAAGGGTATGTGTTAAGATTTGGTGCGGCTTCCTTTCTATTTAACGTTCATTAAGATACTAATAATTTAGAAGCATTGATAAAGGATATCCAGACGGATATTTCTGTTGCAAAGACTACACTTCTGAGTTCCCCTTATTGTGAACATACGGAGCTTCTTAAGGATTAAAGAACATAGGTCGCGTCTCAGTAGGCCGTGCAGCCCAGAGCCGTCGCACAAGTTGCCGAACTTCCGGGATGATGTCCCGCAAAACGGATGGAAGACGTATATTCTTTCTTGAATAATTTAAAGAGGTCTGCGGTTTGCCAATTGGCTTCTTAATGACTATTAATAGACGTGTGGATGATATCCACTGCTTTGCGAGTGAATCATCGACGTAGATCAGGGTGAGATTGGATAATCGGACGAGGTTTGCCAGGCGTTCTGTATTCAGAGAGTCTTGTTCAATATCGCTATTCATTCATGATCATATTCATTATGAAAAGTAACAGCGGCAGCTAAATAAATCATCAGATAAATCGGTTGATGTAATTGATCGGCGGCAAATAAGATTGGATTATTTACAGGAGTATAACTCTTCAAGAGCGAGTAAAAGTTCATAGAGAGTTCGGGAAGCTGATTCATTACAGCTAATGGCTTGAGCTAGGTAGTCTCTGGCCTTTGAATAGTTTCCGTCAAAAACTTCCAACTTCACTAACTTTAACAAAAATTGGGCGTGACATGATAATTTCGTTCGATGTAACGCCCGCTTCAAGATTGATCGCGCTCGCTGCAACAACTTCAAGGAAACAGTGTACTCGACGTATGCGTCCACAACCTTGAAGGAGTATTCGGTGGAAATCAACGCTCTCTCGAATAAGGGAATTACAAATGCAGGGCCAAATGTGTTTTTCAGACTTTCTAAGTATCTGAGCCATAAAGCTTGGCCTTGATTATTTGAACTCTCCGTGAGGTTGACAAGGTCTCTCTCAAACGGAAATATCAAAGAATTTAGAATATTTTGGTTGGAGATAGTGTCATAGTAACGATTTTGATATAGCAGCCCGTTAGATGAGTCCTTCGATAGGAAATGGGATCGTAAATTCGACTGAAAAATAGCGTGGTCATAGTGAGGGGTCAATGCGCATTGAGCGTTTAAACACTGGACCTTTGTGACAAGCTCTCCCGCCTCAGAATAACTTTGTTGAAGAAAGGTGAGGTAAAGCTGATGAAGTTCAGATGAATAATAGCTCATACCAACTTTATATCGAGCCTCCTCAAACAATTCAAGGATATAGTTATGGTTGTGCTGCGAATGAAGTAGCTCGGAGCGTAAATAGCTTATCCACATCATTATGTCATAATCAAGGTAATTGAGACCACATCGAATGATTTCGTCATTGCTCAGTATCACGTCATTTAATCGACCGTGTGATATATTCTGAATCCAGCAAGAAAGATTTGGAAATTTCTCAACTAGGAGGTGAGAAACTTGTTCCCAGATCTCAATGTATTCCTCGCTTCGAAGACGTGGAATGGTTCGAAGAAACGCCTCGAGCTCGTACAAGGACTCTTGCCATGCAGAAGAAGATTGTGGATCCTTTATCAAGTGCCCTGTCTTGCGATGACTTAGGCTTGAAGACATTGCTAGCGGTATTTATGATCATCAACGTTACCGAATGCAGAACCCTCGAATAGTTCCCAACACCTAGTGCGGTCTTGCAATACGAACATAGGGGGCCGGGTGGAACGAATTGCACAAAAATTCCTACGAGCATTTACACAACGATACGTGAGCTAACTAAAGGAGAGTCCTACCCTCTGTGCATGTTGACAATATACAATTAAACATTTCCATTTAATAGAAGGTAGTTGGTGCCTTGAACTCATACAACTTCTTGGACTTCTGGACTCTGTGAGGCAAAGGAAATTTCAAGTTCTTGGTCAAGTACTGCTTGACGTACTGTCTCTTGACATCCTCAGTCTTCTTCAACTCAACCACCTTCAAGATGTGGATGTTTCTAAATCTGGCTCTGTGTCTAGCAGCCAAGTCTTGGTACATAGTTTCAACGGCACCAACTCTGGTAACGTCTCTGTATTCCTTGTACATGTTGTGGATGCCGGATCTCGATTCGTATCTGATCCAGATACCGTAGGTCTTGACCTTGGTTGGAGATGGGTCAGAGATCACGTTAAGAGCAACAATTTCACCAGATGCTTTCTTGACTTTGTACAATCTTTGCAAGAAGTACCAGTAACGAGACTTAGCGACAACAGTGTTGGGGGCAAAGATCCTCATTCTGAACAACTTGGGCTCTGGAACGGCCTCAGTTGGGAGACGACGACCAATGATCTGATATTCATGCAATCTCGACATCTTCGGGGTTAGTACGTGAAATATCAATAAGGACTTAAAGCAAGCTGTAAAATTGCTTGTGCTTGAAACGTACTTTTAAGTGAGTTCGGATGAGAAGATGGAAAACTAACTTTCTCTTTTGTCAGCTATGGTGTGCACTACGAAAATTTTTGCCCAAATATGCAGGTTTCTAGTATAACGTATCAAGTTCGAAGGATGCTAGGTCATGTGATACCGCATTTAATAGGGCGTGAGCCCTAATTGCTACTCGACGGAAAGAAATGGTGTAGTGTAGTTAAATATTGTGGCTTTCTGCGTTTAGCAAAGTATTTTTTTTTTTTTTTTTTTTTATTTCTTTACAAACAGTTCTTTGAAAATCATCTATTTTTCAAAATAGACTCCGCCTTTCTAGCTGCTTTTTGCTCTCTACGTCTCTTAGCCGCAGGTCCAGCTTCAGTGTCCAAGAAAAAATCGAACCAGGTGAAGGAGCTAGCATAATTACCCACGAAGTAGTGATGATGTAAGTCATGATGAGCTGCACCTGCCCAAAAGGGGATAAATTTGTTGAGCGACCATGGAAAGTCGTATCCTGAATGGGAATCTACCGCCTGCAACAATCTCAAAACAATCCAACAAGTGATCGTGAAAAGATGTAAATCAGGAAGAAGAAAATGATCTTGTGATTTGGCGACGTAAGCGTAAATTATTGGAAATCCAACTGTTCCGATACCCAAGGACATCACTTCTATCGGATGCGCATATTCTGCAGTAAAACCGAAGGGTGCAGCATATTTGTGGTGTTGTTTATGGATGTTTTTGTAGAACCAGCCGTAATGAAAAAGCCTATGGGCAACATAGTGCCAAAAATCTTCACAAATAAAAAAAAATAAAATTTGGATCATCATAGTTTTCAATGCTGGAAATGGCACATCGACAGATATTTTAAGCGACGAGCATAAAGGATGGAAAAGCCAAATTGGTAATGCCTCCACCAAGAAGTGAGATTTTAAGACAGCTTTGAAACATTCCCATTGTTCTTTTGCAGAAGGAATTTTGTCTGGCTGAATTTTCCACCGGTTGAAAAATGGAATCATGTCTATAATCATCCAAGGGACGCATCGACCAAAATATGCAAGCTCGTGAATCACGAAAAAAAGTAACCCTGTTGCCAAAAGATCATTGTTCATATAAATATACCAACTAGCCCACAACCGCTCAAGGGTGTTAAGAGTTTTGAAACCCTCATTGATTGGTATGACACTTTCGCGCAGAATTGTCTCGTAGATCAGAGAAAATGACGTGCTGTTTTCAAAGTGCCTGGCCAAAATATTCATATTGGGTAAGCTGTGTAGAGTAGTTTGCAGCGTGGGTAAGCAAACCCTTTTAAATATTGTCCGAGCTGTCGTATACTCGTTCGGTCGTATGATGACATGACTTTGAAGCTATCCGAACATATGACCTGATCATATGCATCACCTGTATCTCGCGATATTTATACGAATGCAATGCGTTGTCACTATTGTTTACCTTCACGATCTATACATTTGTGCTTGTGATACGAAGGATAACTGTTCATGGTTAAAGCCCCATCAAAATTACTCCCGATGGTTCGTATTTTCTATTTAAAATTTTTGCAAATGTGCTACGTCTAGAAACAACGGCAAGGTCTCAATTATTGTACTATACATTATCAAACCCTTTGAGAAGGAAGGATGTCCGCTATCAAAGAATCAGTAACGTAATTCAGACCTGTAGTTTGAGACGATTTGTGGTTTTCAATGTATGAGAAAAACTGGTCAAAGAGAAATGATGTGTCAAGTGGTCCTCCCTTCGCTTCAGGATGAAACTGTGTGGAGAAGATAGGCCTCACTTTGTGGCGCATACCTTCATTTGACAAGTCATTCAAGTTGAGGAAATACGGCTCCCAATCACTAGACAAAGTTGAAGCATCGACAGCATAACCATGATTCTGAGATGTGATATGGCACTTTTTAGTCACGAGGTCTAACGCAGGAATATTGTGCGCTCTGTTTCCGTACTTCAATTTAACCGTCCGAGCGCCGCTTGCAAGCGCAAGTAGCTGATGGCCTAAACAAATTCCGAATATTGGCAATTCAGGATTATTCGATATTGTCTGCTTCAAATTGTAAACGGTTTGGGAACAATGAGTTGGGTCTCCGGGACCATTAGAGATAAACAACCCGTCGAACTTTTTTGAAATAGTGTGAATAGGATAATCGTATGGAAATACAGTCAAAGAAGCGCCTCTTTCGACGAGGCAACGAAGAATGTTTTCCTTAGCTCCACAATCGATCACTGCTATGTGATATCCTTTGCTAAACTGTTCAGGGCAACGAACATGGAAAGGTGCCTTGGTAGTGACTTGGCGGACTAAATTGACAGATCCAGGATCTTCGAATGCCTCATCCTCATCTGCATCATACTCCTCTCCAATACTAATTTTAGCCAAAGATGAGCCCTTGCTTCTCAAATAGCTGACGAGCTGGCGAGTATCAACTCCACTTATAGCCGCTACTCCGGATCTCTGACACCATTGTTGAAGCGACTCTACGGCCGTCCAGTGTGAATATTCAAGCGCCACATCTGCCACAACTATGCCAATGCACTGCACCTGAGGAGATTCAAGGTGTTTCAACAAGTTAAATTGGTCTTTGGCAACTGACGACGGAACACCGTAATTTCCCACCAAAGGTTGAGTGAAGCACAAAATCTGACCCTTGTACGAAGGATCTGTCATCGATTCAGGATACCCAACAAGGGAAGTAGTAAAAACTGCTTCTCCACTTACGTTCTTGTTGGCTCCAAAAGAAAATCCGTTGAAGACAGGGCCATTTCTTATTGTGAGCGTTGCTCGATCTAACTGATTCTCAGATGGGCTCGATGGCAGCAGAGTGGCAAGAAATCTGAAGCGAGGTGAGTTGAGCCTGAAATTTTTGGGGCATTGCCAAATCAGACGCATCATTGTGACTTATGATTGATGAAGAATGTGGTGGGCAGAAGGGAAAAAAAAAATTGATGAGTCAAGATAACCCACCGCGGCAAGTTCGCGATTGCCCAATTAGGATATTCATGTAGGAAATCACGTGTCTCTTGACTAGCCATTGAAACTTGTGGAGTGTTTGTGTGCAGTTCACACTGGCAACTGTCTTAACCCACTAAGACAGGCACTTCAACCTTCATCTCGTTGGTACCATTCTCCGCCCCTTTTAGTTTGACAATAATTTGAAGGGCGTATAACCTACCAACTAGACAATTTTGGAAGCTTGGGACAAGAGTGTAATTGTGCTTGTTAGATATTTTGAGAGGTAATGTCAACTCAGTTCTCCATTCTAGCCTCTTATTATGCGTCTCGGTTGCTGTCCACTCATATTGCAATGAATCCAGGCTGGATGAGAAATTAATTGGCTCAAAAAAGTTTTGAATGGTATCTTTTTTGACTCCTAACTTACTCATTCCTTTCAAGTATGAGAAGGTTCGCTGCGATAAAAGTGTCCCTTTATCCCGCAAATTTGTTATTTGTAGGTTTATGCGATCCTTGAGTATCAGCAAATTTTCATGAGTGTCGATAAATGTGAAATTTCGATCTCGCAGAGAGCTAGCCGGATTTGAGTAAAATAAGTCGTGCTCCAATGACAACGGAAGTGGATACTCGGTTCGATATGTCCATGCGACGATGTTAAAGTCAATATGACTAATTCCTGGTGGCTTTTCAACAGTCTCGTTGTTAAGGAATGTAATCTTCGTCAGAACACTGTTCATCAAGAAAGCATCGTCTCGATTGTATAGCTCTTCCATATTGCTGCTGACAGGTGCAAGAGCGTTTTTATCACCTTGAATAGAAAGCGATTGCAATTGAGAACAAGGGTTGCCTTGGTTATATTTCTGAAGTAGGCGTGGAGAGACGTAGGGGATTAGTTTATCCGGTATCTGGACTGCCATTCTCAGCTCTCCAACCGCTGAAGAAACTGGAAGGAGTCGCTTTCGTTTCTTCGCAAATATAGTGGTGGCATGTGACTCAACCTCCCTCTCTTGTACCAATTGGCTCGACAAATTGGAGAATTGATCCTTGGAAGTCTCAATGCTTCGAGATGGGGACCCTTCCCATATCCTTTTTTGGTCCTTTGAAGATTCTTCCAAGGCAGTCGTCTCAGATTTGATTTCATCTTCAATCAACTTGTTCATTTGATGAATCGTATTCCAAGTGGAAGATGAAGTCAATTGATTAAAGAACATTCCATCTATTCCAATTTTTTCGAATGTTTCCTCCTTGAAATCCCGGTAGGCCCTGCTATATGCTTCCACTTGAGCTTTAACATCTGGAACGAAACGTAAAAAAAACTGGGATTTCTTGGACACGACATAGCGTGATTCGTCACCATTCAGTAGTTTTTCCAGCTTTTCCAAATTTTCTTTATCAATAAACTTGGCCTCAATTGCATAGCTCACACTTAAGTTATCAAATGAGAAGTCCCGAACTTTTATAGGGGACCCTCTGACACTTGATGTCCCATAACCAAGTGCTTTATTAACCTCCAAAGACTGCCCGTTAAGAAATCTTTCATCTGTCCCAAATGAGGGAGGAGGCATGGTATGTCGCATGACATCGTGAGGGCATGCATTGTCGAGAAGCATCTCGGGAAACTTGAAGGTTATGAACTTCTTATACTTCTCTCCAGCCTTAAGAACCCTATCATCCGGAAGTCCAAGAATGCAACCATCATAGTGATCTCGACTGTTTGCGTCATACTGAATTCCAGCAGAGCTTGGAATAACGCCGTAATTGTAACTAGCATTCAAGTCGTACATCTTGAGGAATTTTTTTAGCATGAACTTCGAGGGAGGTTTGCCCGCATCATTTTCTCTTGAATCTTGCGGAAGAGCCTTAACAGTTCCTTCAAGACTAACGACGAATAGACCAAAGTCGATGTCTTCGTGTGAAGTGTTGTTGATGATGACGTAGCCATTGACTATGTCACCACAAGAGTACTCTTTGAGTTTATTCTCCAACTCATTTGGCTCGTTGGGCCTTGGTACATTTTTCGTAACAAAAATTTGGATCGTGAGAGGCGAGTATCGCGCTATAGGGAGTTTGTCGATATTGTCAAGAACCGAAGTCCCATAACTCTCATGAGATAGCTCCCCTCGATTGTGCGGTTCGTCTAGCTGTGATATCTGAGGGTGGTCATGCATATCGTGAGTGTTCTGTTCTACCCCATCATTATCTTCGTCGGCTGTAAATCGATACCCGGCTTCCATTTGGTGATCATCGAGATCTATAATTCTCAGGGGAGCTCGAGGCATCTGATCAGATCTCAAATTTCCATCTGTACGTACTGAGCTCCTTTGATAGTCGCCATAAAGGGGAGGGTTACCTAAGGAGTTCTCATCAAACTCAAAATCATTCCTTTTGAGTATCGATTGATACAACTGAAAGGATGGGAGTAAATCGAAGTACTCAGTTTCTGTCCCGGAAGCCGATATCTCCAATGGCGTTGCCGACAGCAATCTATTAATATGAGCTTGGATATTCTTGCTTGGTCTATAAGGTATGTTTCGACATTCAGATTTATCGGATGAGCACAACCTTGTAGATGTGCTATGATCTTGTTTGCTGTCAATCAGAGAGCTGAGATTTTGCCGGAGCTCCTCATATGATGGCGGATTTGAGGACGGCTCGGGGCTTCTTTCTTTCTTCCTCATGGCATTATATGTGCGGAAACTCTGGGGGTATCAATTCGCGAGAACCATGATGCGAAGTTTGAATTGTCTCGGCAAACTTGATTCCAAATTCGAGTATGATGATCCTTCGAATGATCATTGACTTGCTTAAGTTTCTTCAGATCCATTTCTACAATCCGCTAGAACATTGTTTCTTACATGATCCGAAGTTCTTGACATAATTAGGGACAGACTCGCTTCGCTACTACTGCTGGTAATTTTGAGGAATTTATTAGAGATCTTTAATCTGGAAATTAGTAATGCATACCCTCGTGTAGCCGCTTCAGACTGACATGCAAATCGAAAAATTTTTAAAATCAGTAAATCATTGTATATGATTCATCAATCGGCGGTATAATCACAAAAACATACCTGTTGTTAGTAAAAATATTCTTCAAGGCATAATAATCCGAGGATATTTCAGGAACCACGGCCGGTCAAGGCCTTTTGATCATCAATGCGAATGATTACAAGTCACACGCGCAGTAGACCGTCGTGAAAAGTGGTAAATCATCATTATCTCTGGTCGGGAAGACATACCTAGAAGTGTGGAATTCTTTGACAACCTAGCTTCCGTATTCTATGTTGAACACTATCAGACTTAGGTTAAAGTTCATCAGTCGTCAGACATATGCTTGTCTTTGATAATTTCATCTTGTAGCTTCATCACAGAACACGAAAGCTAAGTGCCAAAAAATTTGATGCACATAACTGAATTCGATCAACTAAAATGTTAGAATTATCAAAATAGGAAGCATCAGGAATGCATGAATGGTATAATTTTGGTTGTCAACATCGAGCAACTCGAATCTGACTCGTCATCTTGTAGTTCATCACGTCTACTGTTGGAAATACATACTAGTGAAACACCATCCTTTGGTTAGTATCATTGCCATAAAGAGACAACATCAGTATTACGGGTTTCTGACGCCCGATCTAAGCCTGTCACTCATGATTATTCAGTGCCCAGTGCATTGATTCCTCCTTTCAGTGTACGAAACGACATACCTTAGGGTTAGTAAAATATTTCCCAATAATCCACCTTGCCTTCAGACTCTTGCAAAACTTTTCAAACTCATATGGTTTCGGTTGGTAATTCCAGCTTAGTTTTGTTGTCTCATCATGAAGCGAGATACCTATCTTGATTAGGTTGAGATTTAAATACATACGCTTCAAAGCCTTAGGGTTAGTTAAATTTGAGGGGATGCGAAAACTCAGAGTATCAATGTGATCATTCCAAATTGGTCACAAACTCTAGTTTGTTTGTTAAGTGAAATCATCTTAGTCTTCTGACCTCACATACAATCACAAAATAAAGGTGGTACGCACGAAAAAATTTCTTACAATAAATTTTTGTTTTTATGCGATGTGTGCTCTGTATATTATGTGCGGGTAATACCTTTGCAATTCTGGTGCAACCTAGTTCTTCGCATTTTTAGGGCCCAACGGTTTCTTGATTTCCCTCAGATTTTCGTCATCTTGAAGTTCTAAAAACTTTCGTTTGACTCCAGTATTTTCTTCCAACCCAGAACTTTCAATAAATGACTTAAATTCTTCTTCCAATTGGTGATTACGTTTCAATTGATCAAGGTATGTCTCGGCTGAGCCGCAATTTGGACAGTGAAAATCGGATTCTATCAACGCTTCCTCAAGCTCCAACTGATTATAATTGTAATTCTTTAGTCTTTTCAAGGTTTGGCTTGTTTGGCAACAAGGCGTCATGAATATAGGTGGCACAAGCACGCTTGGTTCCTGCTTCAATGGATTCAAAAACTCGGTTCTTCCTTTAGACACAATCACATCGACCAACTCTTTCTCAAACTGTTTTAGTGCCTTGTTATTCGCACTCTGTTGTTTTTCTTGGTACAGGGACCATGTTTTTGAATCAGCGAAGGTCATTACATAATCACCATCCTCCGTCACTTGGTATGTATTGCCTTCCTCGTCGACCAAATCACCATTTTCATTAGTGTGCATTTTGTTCTCAGTGCTTTCTGGATTTGCTAGCCTATATTCAACAGCTTCTTTTGAAATTGTCTTCATATAGCTTTTGGGAATACCTGTAGTACGTTTGATCTTTTTACCTTCAAATGTAGGATCCGTATTGGTGGGACAATTTTTTATCCAATGATCCTTACCTCCGCATCGGTAACACACGTAACCTGGCGGAGGAAGATCCTCGATTCCAGGTTTCCCGTGGACAACCTTATGTGTAGATAACTCTTCCTGGGTTTTGGCCCAAGCATCATCTTGACGCTCCAACATCAATCGAATTTTCTCCTCCTCTGACAAGCTTTCGTCGATAACTATGTTTGATTTTGGCCGTGATGCTGCAAATGTTACAGGTGCAGCTTTCAGCTTCACAATACGTGGTTTGCCAGTAACATATCTAGCAGCGCTCTGAAAACGCCCACTTTGGGTATATAATGGCGATCGCTTAGCCAAAACAAAAGTCGAGCGAGGTATGACGTCCTGATCGTTCTCGTATTCCAACTCGGGCTGTTCCAGGTGATATAGCCTTAGTGAAAAATCTTGTCCCTGACCGAGTTGATTTTGAATGATTATTTCATGCTTCAAATCGAATACATTTATACTTGTTCCGTCGAAATGTATGGTAGACTGGCTTTTTTGATGAAAGAATTTATAGAAAACTGATGAAGACATGCTATCGTAAGCTTCTGACCTGAAGCACATTTTGTATTTTTCCCTATGTGCCGGACAATATCCCCCGGCGTCCAAGCAAGTCCTATTTAGAGGTTCAACTCCATGAACTACTAAATCTTCCTACCAATATTGAGTGATATGAAGTTTTCGACTACAATGTTCTCTCAATAAAGGCTATCCCATATACATTTGTCCGTAGAGATTCTTCCGTCGAGGGAACTTGTGGTGTCATCGGACATCAAGATTTAACCCATGTATTAAAATTAGTAAAAAACTTTTCTTTTAAACCAGTCCCTTACTAAAAAAATAAATCACCAATTATCTGAGACGGCCGAATAAAACCAGTGTTTGATGCCGTCGTAATGTTACTGCCTGTACAAACAAATAGCGACAGGTTGAATGAGCGTAGAGAAAAACATCTTGATCAATCGTCAACCATGGGATACACCCATATTGATGGGCTAACGTCCATTTATCCAACAAAAAAGGTTAGGCTCCCACTTCAATACGATGTATCTGAATCGATAAAAGCTCGTTCTTGTGAGGACACGTTCTTAATTGGCAGCACTGTTGAACATACTGGTAAAGTCGAGAGTTTTATTACCTCCGTTCATTTTAGACTTCATTCAAATCGAAAGAGGCTCATCTTCTTTCCTCTCGTCCAGCAAACTACCAATTTTCATTTCCATGTCCAGCAAATCGAGGTTGAACTACCAAAGAGGGTTTTTAGTGATATGACTCTTCATGTACACGAGCGATTTGAAGGTGATGAGAAGGATCCTTTCGTTGGTATCGATTTGATCGATGAACAATACCTTTTTATCTCCGTGAAGATTAGGCTCTCTGACTTCATAATTGAAGAGGATCGAAGTTGCTTATCATTGGACAACTTTGACGATTGGGTACATATCTCGGTGCCCTACTCATTCGAGCTAAGAGCAGAACCTTTTAAAGTTCAAGCATTGACAGAAAATGATGTGATTGTTTCATTAGAGGATGGTGCTCTTCTACATTTTAAGAGACCGTCTTTCCTACAAAATTTCGAAATTTTCAATTTTACTCGCCCTAATGCGAATCGAAGAGCTTTGATGGGCGATCTTTTTAGGAAGAAAGAAAAGTTCACTGGACTTTTGGGTGCTGATGCGGTATCAAACATTGCAACGGTCGATCGTCTGCGCTTCTTGACTCTCTCCTCCGATAAGGCACTAACCTTATACGACTGCCAACTCCATTCATCCATTGATCAGAACAAGATGTTTGAGACCTCAATACTTTCTAACGAAGTTACTCAGCTACCAAAAAAATGCCTTAAAGTTCTAAATACTGGAGCAACGTGGCTTCTGTTTATGCTTGACCCAACACTTTCGAAAAGGGATGGCTGTCCATCTGTAACAATTCATGCATTTGAACTCAAGAATGCGTCTAAAATCATAACAGAAGAGAAATTCTCCTTCGATGTTGAGATACCGTCATACTCCAGTAATCAGCTGCATAGTAACGAGGTATTTCATATCCATGATTATTCGGTCCTTCAATCAGGAGAATACATCAAGCATCAGATTCTTTGGAGGTATAACAACTTGAACATGTATACCACTTACTTACAAGATGTGTCTACGGGAAACGTGTTGGCCAATCCTACCCATAATGCGGATACGGATGTCGACACCACATTATCCAAATTTGAAACTCATGACATGAGCAAGATTCGTGAAATGATCTGGAACTCTGGAAGGTATGACGCAAACCTTCTTACCAAGGCAAACGAAGTTCTCTTCAAAAGCTTGGGTGTTGAATTTTCGCCAACTTGTGACACAGTTTCTAAAAGCAATCTTGATAACATGGTTGACTCTATCAGCTCCTCCACAGGTGTCACATTGTCATCCATATGGTACAAATTATATTTGATTTGTGAAGAGTTCAGAAGGAGTGGTCAGAAACCATTGTGCTTACATCAGACGAAAGTGTCAACTTTTATCATTGAGGCCAACGGAGTGGGCGTGCTCAGAGAGCTGCATTTTTTCGAGGATTTCTCAGGTCATCCAGCTAGTACAGCATTGAAGGGCATACTCAAAATTGTCAGAGCTAGAATATCATCATCGGCTTTGAATCAACTTCAATTGTTTTTTGAGACTGCTTCGGAGTTTACCGAACGACAGATTGGCGAAAAAGCGCAAGATTTACTAGAGGGACGGTTCAAAGAGCATGAATTAGGGATGCTTTTTGAGAATCTCAATGAGGAAACATTTGAGTTAATCGAAAAATTGGTTTCGAAACCGTCTAAAAGTGATATTGAAGGCTGCTTCAATTCCGATGTGAAGCTCGATGATTTTACTCGGATGTATGCCATCAAGACCTTTTTAAGCATCATCAACGCACATCGTGAGATACTATTAGAGATTGGGAGTATCTTTCTCCTTTGTGAAGCTAATCTGAAAGTGATCAGTTCATTGAACGCCATTCGTCGCGCAATGTTTCTCTATAAGTTTCTCGAGTTTTCGTTTGGGATAAGCTTTAAGCAGTCTGATAAAAAGCAAGTTCAGACAGACTCTATTGGAAGAAGTGGTCTAGCTCTTTTCTGGGATTGCTTCAGAGAAGAAAAGCTGGTGTTTCATCACATAAGCGAGTATCTGTTGAACGATGCTTTCGACGCTGTACGATATGTTCTTGTCTCGAACAGTTTTGAGCATTTGATCATAACATTGATTATTCGACTTATCAATTGCGGTGAATGGGATTTGGCAAAAACCAAGTTTGTTGCGTTCTTAGACACTGATAATGTTGTACAGAAGTTTGTCTACGGTCTTGTGTGCCTTTTTACTGATGATTTGGTCACATTTCATGACATCGTTGGGGACTTCGAGAATTTTAGATTGTTCTGCGAGTCTAAAACCTTTGTCAAGGCTCGCCCATTGCTACAAGAGCTGTCCTTCTTGAAATGTGTGCTTCTCGACGAGGCTTTCGATTCCGAAATAAAGGTGAATCAAGCAGCGCTTTACAATCACAAACTCTCTGAGATGTGCGAGAATTATTCGGTGGCGCTTAGCAACTCATATGAGAAGCGCCAAGAGATTATTCGTCTTGGAGTCCGATTTGAAGAGAAGGCTGTGAATCTACTTGATGATTCTCCTCAATTTGATTATCTTCGTCTCGATTTCCAAAAGAAGCTTTTTTATTTGTCCATCCAGATGCATGAGTTTAAGGGTGCTATCAGAGCTCTTGAGTCGTTACTGCAACGAATGTCTGCTTTTGAACAAAGGTGTACCGTCCTCGCTTTACTTAGAGCATTGATAGATAATGATAAGCAGGATCTTTTGTTCGAAGCTCTGTGCGGTCTGTTTTGCGAAAGTCATCGTTCGGTTGTGGATAAATTACTATTGGAGGAGGCGAACGAAGACCTTGTGCTTTGGAGGGCGCTCAAATCCTATGAGCTTCTATATTCATGGCGCCTTGGTGTATTGACGCGAACGGATTCGACCGCTTGTGGCGATAAGCGCGGTGCAAGTGAGGCTCTCTATATATTCATCACAAGATTTCGAATGGAGAAGGATGTGCTTAAAGATGCCTCAAGAGCCAATGACGATTACAGAAAGTTCAAATTGAAGGTTCTCGAGCTTTACATGATAATCATCAATTGTCTCCAATCATTTGACGACTCAAGCGAAATGTGGATCAAAAAAAACAACGGCTTCCAGTTCGAGATCATGAGAATTGAGGCATTGCTTTTAGAGCATTCCGACTGGTTGCGAGAACTTGAAAATGACATACCTCTTGATTGCTAATAAAGGCTTAGCCAATATTACTACCCATATTGCCGCTGCCCTTGGGGTGGTCGTCCTTCCAGTCGTCCCAGTAACGTGCTTCAAGTTCATCGTCGCTATCTTCAGATGACAGCTCAGACCTCCTTGTGTCGTCGGTTGAAAGAAGTTTTCCATGCAGAAGCTCATAGTCAAGGTATTCATCTACTGTCATGGAAGGCAATGTCTGACCAGTTCCAAACACGGATTTTCTCAATTCTGCCTTGTTCTTCGTAATGACAAAAGGTTGTAGTATCTTCCCTCTAGGACCAATTATGTCGCTTATAGCCTTATTCTTACCGGGGACCACTTCTACTTTAGAGTGAATATCTCGGGAATTGCTTACTTTTGGGTTTGGCTTGTGGTGGTTTTTTAAACCCTCGTAATATTGCGTTTCGAGAAGCAGACTTTCAAGTTGAATCAGAATCAAACTTTCGGAAGAGTGGAGGGCGAAGAGGCAAAGTTCGGTTTTGTAGAGCATTCGTAAGTCTTCTTCGGATTGTAATTCCGAATCTAGGCCCTCTATCTTCTCCGACTGAACTTCAATTTGAGATTCCAACTGCTTCCTACGTCTGAATCTCTTGATTTTGGCTTGTCTTTGCTCATGCGGGTTAGCCGTTGATTCTTGATTTTTTGGGAGCATTTCTCGAATATCTGAAATATCATCTTCCGAAAGAATTGAACCGAGATATTCCAAGGTTTCTAAGTAACTTTGGTATCCCTTTTTCGCAAATGAGAGATGAGCAAGTTTCCTTTGTCTTCCCTGATTGTCATTTCCGTTCAAAAGCGAGCAGTGCCCATTCAACTCCATTTCAACACAAGCTATGAAGTATTCGAGGGCTAAGTACGGGATATACGCAGTGCTTATTTCTTCGAAAGACTCACTTTTGTCAAATAAGTCTAGATGGTTCACCATCCGTTTGATTAGAAGGAATTCAGCTTTGAGCTCATTCAAAGCTTCAAGTATAGCATTGTTCTCGTTGGGAATATTCTGCTGATTTTCTAAAGTTTTTAAGTTTTTGGCCGCTGCTTTAAATCTCTCCTTGACAGAAAGATCGGAACTCATTTCTCTTTCCTATAAAACGCCACAATGTTGAATTCATCAAGTGCGTTACTGCACAGGAGAGGCGTGTCGACTACAGTGTTGGATTATTCTAGTTTACTTCCTTGCAAACAGCTAAAATTCTACGAAGGTATATTATTTAAACAAACTGGAGGTAGATACTTGCATATTCCTGATGTAGTGACAAATGAATTAGTAAGGATATTTCGAAATCCTGAAGGTCGCATCCGTACACCAAGGTTTCATTGCGCAAAGCATAAGCGATGTGAACTCTTGACAGTACGATTTGATGAGTGCTCCAGCATACTACGAGCTTTACAGAAAAAGCACTATCGGAAATGCTCTTGTTGATGCTCTAGACACCTTGATCAGTGATGGTAAGATTGAGCCTCAGCTCGCACTTGGAATATTAAACAACTTTGATCGAGTTATATCCGAAAATCTAAAAGCTGAGAAGGGGTTCTGCAAATCAAAACTAACCTTTAAAGGCGACTTGCACACGTATCGGTTTTGTGATGATGTCTGGACATTCATTATAAAAAACGTGCAAATCAAAATGACTGACATATCAAATAATGATGGCAATGATAGCGACATTTCTGTTGACAAATTCAAAATAGTGGCCTGCAACTCACGGAAAGCGGGCGAACCATGAGAGTCACACTTTGTCACTTTATTTAGTTTCATATCTATGTTGTACGATGTCACAATAAATGTCAATAAAACTCTCGCCTGAAGGCTTTCCATAGTAGTTAATGCCTCCCTTTTCACCTTCACCACGTTCACTCCATGGCGGTATTTAAGTTCACGAGAACGCTTTATTGGAAACAAAAGACTTCTTTCAATATGAACAATATCGCAGAAAATGTGTCTAAGCTTACGATATCTACCAGAATTTCACGTAGGCGATATATACAAATTTGGCCCTGCGTGCGAGGAGCAAGGCTATGTCATGAGGACCTCTACTACGCTCTGCCAGATGGCTTATACAAGAAAAAATAACAAATACAATCCATAACAACATTTGAGAACTATAAAGTTGACAATAAAGTCATTTTGCGAAGCAAGAACAAATACAGTATGATACATAATCAAGTTGAAGAAGAGGTGGTCGTCTATTGCCTCTTGGCGTATTCGGCCTTCTCCTTCTCATATCTCTTCTTGTCAGCAGCAGCCTTGCTCTCGTATGGCTCCTTATCAGTTGGCGTCATTGCCTTCCACTTGTCACCAAGCATCTTGCCGACCTGACCAAAGGTGATACCAGGGTTTTCAGCCCTCACAATGTCTCTATTTTCATTTGCGAAAAACATGTAAGCAGACAATGATCTCTTTGGAGCATTTGGATCCTTCTTCTTTCTCGATGACTTCTTCTTCTCGGTAGACACTGTCAGTTAGTATATATTAGCAATGGAAATACTGCACAATGCATTCACATTTCCACGGGGCCACCAAACAATCTCTGGTTTTCAAAAATTGGAGAAATTGAAGTCGGGATGGTGAGTGTGTTTGGCTAGAAAGTCGACTTCAAACAACTCCATCTCGAATAAACAAATCTTAACTATTTCCACTCGTATTCTACTTCGGTGTGACGAGCAACATCATTTACTCCACCGAAGCATCCGGTTAATCATCAACCAAATAAAATTATATTCAATAATTGATTGGTAAGGATTGTGTTGTCACCTAATTTGAATTTTATAGTAGGAATCGCATTGCGCGCAAGTGCTAAGAAAGATACATACTTTTTGACTATGCGTAGTTAGTATGAGAAGAAATTAAGTAGGACTTTTTTTGTGTGGGAGCAATAGTACCCCCTATATATGAGGCCGCCCTCAAGGCGCGGAGAGAGTGATAGAAATTGCGCAGTGGTTGCGTATATTTGAGTCTCAAGCTGTCCTCACCAGCACTGCCTTTACTCCGATCTAAAAATTGGTTTATGTCTCTTTTCTGTTTATATGTTCATTTCAGACATCTACGCCTACCTAATTGAATTCTCCTGGTAAGTTTAGGGCAACTCCATTCTATAATTTGTGGCGGAGGAGCGCGATTTTGTGTTATAGCTCTCTTGCTCTTAGAAGGCCTGTTGTGCATGTTATATCAAAACACCCGCTTTCGGTAGTGTTCGTCTGGAACCTACTAGTGTAAACAGTCGACCTACTGTAGATATCAGAGCAGAAATGCTTAACCTCATTCGCTACAAACTTGTATGACTCCTTACAACTAATTTTCAATGATATGTCGAAAACACAACTCGTATACATTCCTTTGAATTGTTCTTGAGCCCTTGGATCAATACCAACCTCGGTATTGGTTGTTTTCCTGGAAGTTACCGTACTGGTGATACTGTTGGAAGTTTGCGTATTGGGGCATTTGTTGTGGGAATGTTGGAACAGCATTTGGGACAGGGCCACCTTGTGCCTGACTCCCCTGTTGCCTGTTCTGACCCTGCTGAGTGGGGGGCTGCTGCTGCTGCTGTTGTTGTTGCTGCTGCTGCTGCTGTTGTGGCTGTTGTTGTGGCTGTTGCACCTGAGGATGTTGTTGTTGGTCACCCTCACCAACTTGCACAACACTCTGAGGGAATGGTTGCGACGATGGATACAAAGGAATTCCTGCTCTAGAGCCATATTGTGTTGGAGTTCCGTAGTACTGACCGTAACTTTGATTTGCTGCTTGAGCAGCATGTGCGTCTTGATGTTGTGGCGCATCACCTTCAGCTCCACTTGAGTGGTGACCGGCAGAGGATGCATCACTTACCTGCTGCTGCATTCCAAATCCACCGGCAGCGTTATTGATACCAGCTCCATTCCCGTAATAAGGCGTATTAAAGTAATTGTAATAGTAATTAGGAAATCCGAAGGGAGCCGATCCAGGCACTTGCTGAGTCTGTTGAGAACTATGCAAATGTTGTTGAGCGATATTTGTTCCTGGAACTAGCGGAGACAGGCTAACCTCAGCATTGGCGCTGCCACCTTGAGGGCCACTTTTCACTTGACTCGCGTTTCCAATAGAGTTATGGTAATACGCTGGTGACACTGACCCTAATCCAGCTTGACCGAAGGCCCCGGCATAGTCGTATCCCGGGTAACCAAATTGACCAGGCAAACTGGCAGCACCAGCCAGTTGTGGAAACAGCTGCTGGATTTGTTGGTACTGAGCGTAGTATTCTGGAACTTGTGGAGCTCCCTTGTGGAATTCCTGGCGCATCAGATAACCATCCTGAGGGTGCGCTGTTTTCAGATGAAGTTGTTGGTCATGTTGTTGATCGTTGGAATGTTGAAGTTGCTGGGCGCTCTGAGGTTCTTGTGTCTGCGAGGTGCTGAACTTATCGATATCACCTCCGGAAGTTTGGAAAGTGCCTTCTGAGGTTGGTTGATGAGATATAGCAGGGGCGGATGAAGGGGGTTTGGTGGCACGTTGACGCTCAACCTCCTCTATGGCAGCATTTTTTTCGTTCAATGATAAGGAGCCAAACGAAACACCGACATTACTGACCTCTTGTGGCAATACAACTTCCGATTCTTTGACCGCCGAAGGCGAGATTTGTGTTGCTTGGGAATCATAAGCGATTACGGGCGCAGCTTGCTCGACAACGTCATTCGTGACAAATTGACTTTGAGCCTCATCGTCGGCGATCGGCACATCATTGGCTTGGTCATGCAGTGGTGCTTCAGTGGATTCCACTTTAGGTGTCTTTGACTTAGGCTTGATTGCAGATGCCCAAGAGGTTTGTTGATCAGATACCTGCTTGTTGGTGTCATCTTCTTCCAAATGACTATCGCGAGAAACTTCCTGAACTGGATCCTGGGTTTTCACTTCCTCCTTCTCCTCCTCAGGGCCCTTGGTGAGCTGAGTTACACCTGATTTGGTTTTAGGTCTGGAATCCTTGCTCAATGCAGCGGCCCATGAGCTCGAACTCTTTCTGCCGTCAGCTTTAGCAGGCTCAGTCTTCGAGGCAGAGGTCTTTTGGCCACCCAGATTTGAAGTGCTTGAGTTAACTGGTTGAGCCAGGTGTGTTTCTTTCTTGGATATTTGAGCACCCCTCTTCTCTCTTTTTTTATCAATCTTTGGCTTTTCTTTCTGGTGTTTATTAGGTCTCGAAATCAGTTCATGATGCTGTGGATTATTTGTAGATGGTGCATGGTCATGATGATCATCTTTCTTTCTAGGTTTCACCTCTTTCTTAATAGGCTCCCACTTTGCAACTTTGTTATTGACAATCAAGTCGATCACTATCTCAACATCATTCTTGTGTTCGCTCAATAAGGTTGATAGATCCTCGGCCTCCCAATCAGGGAACATTTCACTTAAGCTCTGTAATTGAGGCGACAACGACAAGCTATTATTTGAGGCGCCATTTACCCTCTTGCCTTTATAGGATCTTCGTTGTGACATTCTTGAGGGATCAATTTCACTTATATGACTTGGATCTAGGCACAGTATTGTATGCTCTTCCCGACCTTCTTTAAACCTTGGCTATGATTATTTTCACAAATGAGGAGCGATGAAAGGTTCAACACGGTCCCGTAAAAAGCACCTGGATGTTTCTATAGATGCCAAGTTGTTGAAATAGATTATCGATTATCTTTTGGTTATTATCGACAATTTATGACGCACCTCTCGCTTTCACTTTTTTTTTTAGGGTGACGGTAGTGAGTTTTTGAGCTTGTCGACTTAGTGGTCTATGCACGACACCACAGCGTTTAGTCATGTGATCTACAGACAAGTCAGACATGAACTCGGCAGATCTGACGACACTGATTTTAGATAATAGCGGATCAATTCATGAGAAAGCATATTACTCAGTTGAAATAAATTGATCCCGATTCGCATACTCGTTTTGTGGTGAATTGAATCAATTCGAAAGAGATGATGCAAGCAACTGCAATACGAAAAAGTGCAACATCTCCAGTGAACCTATTTGTTTACAGAGATTGAATTTCCCTTCAAAATTTCTTCTTATAATCTTCTTGAATTAAAAGCTGGCTATCTAGAATGATTTGGAGGATGAGTATCTTTTCTGAAAACCAAGTGCAACACATTCAGCTCGTCTTGCAATGATTCCGCAAAAAACTGTTTTGCTGATAAATGAGCAATGGAAGTCATGAGCTTTTCAATAATGTTTTTCAACTCATGACCTGTTTGCTTGAAATCAGGATAAGCATTTACCTCCAAAAGCTTGACGGAATGGTCTTCGTCCACCAAAAAGTCAAGCCCGTAGAATTCTAATGCATTTTCCAATGGCTGAAAGTTAATTTTATCAACACTCGTTGCAGCCTTAAAAAGCTCGCCAGTTATGCATTTGACCTGATCGAAAATTTCGTGTTTCTCACTAGAACCCAATTCAGATAATTGCCAAAAAGGAATCACCAATGGGTTCTTTCCTTCTTGGAGACAGGTATTAGTCAAGTGTGAAGTCAAGTCCTCGAGATCTGATACGCCCGTGTAAGTCAGTTCTGCAAAGAGGGTGAGAATTTCTTCATAAACGAAAACACTTATATCACCAACCGCAACAACATAAACCCTCAAATGAAACTTGCGATTATTATAGAATTGAAGAAGAAGTGGATTTTCCTGATACTTTTGAACCACGAAATGGCGAAGTTGAGAAACCATAATACCTTCTTGTTCACCTTCGTCATCTGATTCGTGTACGTCTTCCTCAAACGATTCGAAGATTGCTTGGAGCTCTTCTATGTTTCTGAATAAGCGAATCCCTTGGCCTTTGTCTGCCATACTGGGTTTGAGAATCCATGTTTTTTTTGAAGTCTCCAATTCTTGTCTTAATTCAAACGCCTCATCCAAAGCGTCATCCAAAAATTCTGCATAATCGACTTCAATCAGGTATGCCTCTGGAAGAGCACGTTTGAGAATTGAATCTGGAAATTTTGCGCAATAATGCAACACCGTGTTAGCGAGATAATGTTTCCTTATAAGCGCTTTGCGATATATGAACGACGAGATGAAGTATTGCTTCGGATGAGATTGTAGCAAGTCTATATCAAGCTCTTCATATTCGCCATAATGAAATACTTTCAATTGCGCATCGTCTTTTATATCCTCCAAGATACGCCTCGAGTTGGAAATTTCGAAGCCTCGATTTTTAAAAGCTGAAACCAAAAGGTCATATATGTAACCATTTGATGACGTTGTGATCAAGAATATGTTTCTTGGGACATGGCTGTCCACATTCAGCAGTGAATAGTTCTTTTGAAACACATCCCCGACTAATGGCTCTACCGCTTGAAAAGCAGCCTTGAGAGGTGTCACACTGACACTGTCATTGAGTAAAACTCTGTTGTCCGAATAGTTCGCATCAACTAGACCATCCTTGTAAACCTGCTTGAAATCCGGTGCCCAGCCATATTTTCCATTACCAAGAGGTGCATAAATCAGTTTCCAACAATTGTTTTGAATCGGCGCATACATCACACTGGTGTTATTGGAGTCAAGAGATGGGATCAATGGAATATTGACGCTGTAAAGATCTACTTCGAAGTTTTCGGTGAGGTTTTCATGAAGCTTCTTCGCAATCTTGAGTGAAAGCTTTGCAGCTTCTTTCAACTGATTGTGATCATTCACTTGACTTCGAAATTCGTAAGAGAGGGCAATCGCCTTCGCACCGTGTGTGACTGCCTCCATGGCGGCACCAACTGTTCCGCTTGCAAGAATATAAAGATTCCCTGAATTCTTGCCATAGTTCGGTCCACTGATGACGAGATCTATAGGCTCATCATGTGATGTTAAGTGGTGTAATCCCAAATCGGCACAGGCAGCTGGAGTGCTATTGACGAGATGCCACTCTTGGTGTGTTTGGCGTAAGGATTCATTCCGCTCCGCAAAAGGGCCTTCAAATGAGTTGATCTCCTCGTCGTGGCTCTCCGTACTAGGTAAAGTATAGATGTAGGTAACATCAAGCACGCGACCAGCAAAATGTGCTTTTCCAATCCACGATCTCTGTTGGTTTGGGACTACAATCGTCACTTTCCAGTCCGTTGATTTTTGTACCTCATCTAGGAAGTACTTAATGTAAGGGCTTGTCTTGTCATCTGGTGGCCCATCATCGTTCGTAAGTAAAATATGCATGTACGGTAATTTGGCTTGGTGGTGAAGTTAACCTGTGATCGCATTTCAAGTGAGGTTTTCAAAAATTGCGTGCGTCATCCAAACAGTAAAGAAAAGAGAAATCTGGATCAAGTCTCCAAAATTCCAAATTCTAATTTTTTTTTTATTTCACACAACTGTATAAATAAACATCCTTAAGAGCGATGATAGATTAAAGAATATCAACATAATTTCAAGGCTTCAGGATATTACGTAGCACTGATGCCTGTTCGTCTGGGAAGTCGCATTTTTCGATGAAGTAAATTGATCAGCGAACCCGCCCTGCAAGCCTGATACATCCGAAAACGATTCCAGTTGTCCTAAGCTTTTGAAGATGTCGTTTTTTCTTGGTGATGCAGCGCAGTATACCAACCAAGAAGTCAGTCCCGAGAAGATAAAAATGGCAGAGATTCAATTCTACGCCGTCAGCACAACCTTCAACAGTGTCCTACAAACATGTCGAAGTAAATGTATCATGCCCGAGTACGGTGAAGGTGAGCTTCATACTGGGGAAGCATCTTGCCTAGACCGCTGTGTGGCCAAATATGTTAAAACCAACGTTCAGGTCGGGTCTGCCGTTCAAGCGAACTTGCGACCTGAAACGATGCCCGAGTATAAGGTCTTGGAGGCTAGATTGCACCAGTAAAACCTTGGAGGGACACTTACGAAGACTATAAAATAAACGTGTTATTCGTTCAACTATGAAGTAAGAAGCTTACAACTGATTCTTAGTGTGGAAAATGTCCAAAGCCTCAGCGATTCTGGCGCTCATGGTCTTCTCACCCTCTCTGACCCAAACTCTTGGGTCAAAGTACTTCTTGTTAGGCTTGTCCTCACCGTCAGGGTTACCAACAGGGGTCATCAAATAGTCCTTTTTGTTCAAAACATAATCCCTGATACCAGTAAGGTAGGCGTATTGACAATCAGTGTCCAAGTTAACCTTCACCACACCACTGGCGATAGCGGTGTCGAACTCCTCTTGAGAAGAACCGGATCCACCATGGAAGACAAGGTACAATGGCTTCTTGTTGTCAGTGCCGATTTGCTCCTGGGCGTACTTCTGGTGTTCACCCAAAATAGAAGGTCTCAAAACAACATTACCTGGCTTGTAGACACCGTGCACATTGCCGAATGCAGCAGCGATGGAGAAGTTAGGGGAAATTGGAGCCAATGCTTTGTGGACAGCGAAAACGGTTTCTGGCTGAGTGTACAAAGATTCCTTGTCCACGTTTTCATTGTTGACACCGTCTTCCTCACCACCAGTAATACCAATTTCCATCTCGAGGAATTGGTTCATTTTCGTCATTCTTTCGAAGTACTTGACGCAAGTAGCAATGTTCTCATCGTCGGTTTCTTCGGACAAGTCCAACATGTGGGAAGAGAACAATGGCTCACCGGTTTTGGAAAAGAACTCTTCATCAGCCTTCAACATGCCATCGAACCAAGGCAACAACTTCTTAGCACAGTGGTCTGTATGCAAAATAACAGGGATACCGTACACGGGGGCAATGGCTCTGATGTAGTGAGCTGCGGCGATAGCACCCTGAATTGAGGCGGTCTGGTCTGAGTTGGAGACACCTTTACCAGCGAAGTAAGCAGCACCACCTTGAGAGGTCTGCAAAATGATTGGAGCCTTGTTGTCACGAGCAGCCTCCAAAGCGGAAACTACAGTTGACGAGGAAGTAACGTTGATAGCTGGAATCGCAAAACCCTTCTCCTGAGCGTAATCGAACAACTTTCTAACATCGTCACCGTAGATGACACCAGACTTTTTCAAAACTTCAGCCATTTTGTTATTTGGTAATTTCTTGTGTGTGTTGAAGGAATTGACCTATAGTGGGGAAAGAAAAGTAAGTTCTCGGGGATTAAGCGCATATTTATAGTGGAGGGACCACTCCGCTCCGGGACGCTCACCTGACCTGGTGAGAATCACGACATGCGACATGAGCGACATCATACGCTTAGAAGCAACGCATTAGATCTTCATGCGTTAACAAGCCGGCTTGAGCGACCTATGTAGTTGCCATTGCTGTCAAATTGTCTGAAACAAAGTCTCATTCTTTTTTGTTCTTCGCCACTTACAGCAACTGTGAATCTTTGATGGAAGTGCTATTCATTTGCCAACTAACTACTTGCAGGTGAATGATTGCCCGTACAAAAGCCATGGGAGTAATCTTAGGTAATTCCACGACGATCCAGGTGGTATGAGAGTATACCTTATCTATGATTCGAAAATGACTTGTCACGAGATAAAAGGTACCTCGTGTATGCGAGAAATTTGAAAAAAGAAACATTACCAAAATAATTAAAGAGGATCAGTTGACAGCATTTTCTCAAGGTTTACAGTTATCTCATCCCTTCGATACTCTGCATTCGACTACTCACTGTCTTTGAATTCTTCATATCGCAGCAAAAACGACATTTCTGACTTCATCCCACATCTCGAACATTCTTTACTTTGCTCAACTTCTTGCAATACTTGCGCATTGAGGCGACTGGCCTTACCACCAGGCGAGCTAGCTCCGGGATATGAAGAGCACGTGACACATTAGTTTGTGAGCTGCGTGGTACCTTCTCCGACAAATCCCGGGGCCATTAATTCTCTTGCTACGTCGAGACCTGAGACATTCTGTGAACCACGACAGCTATCGACTTGAGTATTTCCGTTTACTTCATGGAACAATGCTCATTCTCAATTATTACTCTCAGAATCAGAGAAACCGTAGTATTCGAAATACTACCGAAAGCTCGCGTAACAATCGCTCCGCTAGACCGGAAACATTAGAACATGTGGGGACGATAACATAAGCCCATTTCGATAGCTCGAGAGTCCCCCAAAAACGCCGTCTAGCAAAAGCAATCCACGTTCTGTTTTGTGTTAGAAAACGCGTGGCGTAAATATCATACTATTCACAAAATTGGTGAAAACCTCTAATCTCTTATACGTCGTGATTTAGACAGAGTTAAGGAATTTTGATCGACCTCAGACGTTTGGACTATATAACTGAAATTGTCCATTATCATCTTCAGGTGATATCAATCTACGAAGAATAGGCATTTATGTTATGGTGTGGGAACCGAATAGAATCAATTAGTCGGCTGAAATCATTTCGCCGACTGCCTCATCAAAGGATCCGTGCATCCCATTCCGCACGTACTTGACATCAAAAATTGAAAGTCGCTGGAATATGCATAAAATCGATTTTGTTGACAATGATCTCCGATTTCACTCATTCGAGCCGAACTTGAAGCTGCAGTTCTTTCACGTTTGTGATATCATCGATAAGCACCTTTCTGAGCCGTACTCAATTTATGTATATTGGTTCTTCTTCCACAGATGGTCGCAGTACTGCTTTTTGGTGAGTGACACGAAAACTGATGAGATTATCGGTGTGATAATATCCAAGGCTGAACCCCATAGAGACGTTCGTATGCGGGGCTATATTGGCATGCTTGTGATTCTACCTGAATATCGGGGCCGGGGGATCGCCACAAAACTTGTTCAGTTGACCATTGACAAAATGATTAAATGGGATAACATCGACGAGGTGATGTTAGAAACTGAGGTCATCAATGGAGCTGCTTTGAATCTTTACGAGCTGTTGGGTTTTCTCAGGACTAAGAGATTGTACAGATATTACTTGAATACGCACGATGCTTATCGCCTACTATTACCCTTGCTGGATAAATCAGGAAAGCGAATCGCATACATACCTACAATAGAAAATTGTTGATTCAAGCTTCCCAATACAGGAAATCGTTAGAGGCATTTTCAAGCATAAAACGACTGTCCCCTCGTAATAAAATACACACAATCCTGCATATAATACATCGAGCGTAGACCACTCATTTCGTCGTAACTCATCTTCTGTGCTGTAATCACGGTATTCATTGGAGGCTCACTATGCTAGACAACCGCTCTCTAGATGTCATTTCAAAATTCAAAAGTGCTGTACTCACGAAGTCACATGAAAGTGAAAACACGGCGACAGTAACTTCGCTGAATAGAGGAAGAAAGCTTCGCCAAGGGGCGAAACAGCAATCGATGAAGACTAAGATTGTTGACTATGATGGGTCTGGGCGCTTGGTTATCACCAATAACAAGTTTGAACGCTCTTTTCATCGCAGGAAAATGCGCTGGCTGGAGTTTTATGGTGCAAGTAATGTCGATCTTGACGACCCGGAGCCTGAATCCGCCGAATCGGATGGAACTTCTGATTCCTCAGATCTCGAGGACGACGAAAATGACGAAAACCTTTTTGATGTCATGCGAATAAGTGAAATTCTTGCACCATTAGGTCATCCCTCCGAAGTTGTCACTCATCCAGCGATTTCAAAGACATTTAAGCTGTCATGTTTACCTACTTTAGCTTCGGAGTTCATAGAGCTCATTGAGGTCGAGCAAAATACCTTGAATCATCTCAACAAACTTTTAAGAGTTCTCAATGGCGAGGATTGGTTTTATCTCCTAGAAGAACATCTCGGACTACCCTCTTATGACCATGGACTAGATGAATCAGAGACTAAGCATGATGATAGTACAACCGTTCAGAACCCTGAGGTCGGAGTCGCTCAAGAGCCGCTGGATCGGCAAGAGACTTCTGAGAACAAGAAAAGCGCCACAGAAGAAAAGTTTGACGAGGAAGATCCCTTTTTCGCCCTTCCTCGTAGCCTAGCGAAATACGAGGACTTCCAAAAGCCGCGGTTTGATGATAGTGATCCGGAGCAAGCAGAGAAACTCGAGGCTGTACAACAAGATCTTACAAACTATTTGCAATTGAGTATCCAGCGCCAACAGGAGTACATCAAAAACCTCACAACGATCCGGAACGGTATTGTAAAGGCTGATAGATATCGCAATGATTTGCAGCGTTGGGGAAAGGAGATGAGTGAGCGGAAGAATTAAGAAATTATGTTTCAATTATTCATGTTTAAAAAATAATTCTCAAATCTAAATGTACTCTTATCATCGATAGATGAGCGATGTCGGTTTAAGATCTTATAATTTCTCGAGCTATTCTCCAAATGTCGAGAATTGCACATAGCTCATCAAGCGACGGGCGTGTGAGAGACATGGGTCGCGTCTCACATTAATTCGCGTCGCGCAACCTCTTCCTCTGAGTTACTTACAAGTACTTTCTTTTCGTTTTTGAGACCAATCACGCAATGCTTGAGGGAAAATTTGACGAAGCTAGCCTTCTTAAAAAAATCGTCGACTCTATCAAAGATTGTGTGAAGCTATGCAATTTCAACTGCACAGAGCATGGAATGACTGTTCAAGCAGTTGATGATTCGAGAGTTTTGCTTGTCTCCCTTTTGGTCGGCCTGTCGGCTTTCTCAGAGTACAGATGTGACCGTGACATCACTTTGGGTATTGATTTGGATTCATTTTCCAAAATCATAAAATGTGGCAACAACGAAGACTATTTGACGTTGTTGGCGGAGGACTCTCCAGACAACGTTATGACTATCTTTGAGGACAAGAAGAAAGAGCGTGTGTCGGAATATTCTTTGAAGTTGATGGACATTGATTCAGAGTTTTTAAGAATTGACGACATGCAATACGACTCTGTCATCAACATGCCAAGCGGAGAGTTCGCAAAGCTTGTCAGAGATTTGAAAAACCTTTCTGAGTCTCTTAACATTACGGTGACCAAGGACTCCGTGAAATTCAGCGCTGAAGGTGAGTCCGGTACTGGCTCTGTTGTGTTGAAGCCTTACACTGATATGGACCGCCCCGAGGAATCCGTCTCTGTCAACTTGGAGAATCCTGTCGACTTGACTTTTGGATTGAAATACTTAAATGATATCATCAAGGCCACAGCTCTTTCCGGAACCATCACCATCAAATTGGCCGACAAGACGCCTGCCCTATTTGAGTACAAGTTGGACGCAGGTGGTTACTTGAGGTTTTACTTGGCTCCCAAGTTTGATGAGGATGATTAAAGAGTGTACAAGCTTATCACTTGCAATTAATAATATTGAAGCCTTACTTGTAGTACTTCCTAAACCAGAACATCGAAATATTTGAGGGGTCAATGAGTACAGTTCTATAAATATGTTGAATGGGACTTACCAGTTAGTTTCTTATGACCGCCTATTATTAGAAGCGTCTCACGCTAGAACCTGTCTGTGAAATCACATTACTTGATCTTGAAGAACTCCGACCCATGTATTTCTCGAAGTTGCACAATACTTGGATAAACTTCCGTCAAATTTCCTTTTTAGCCCTCCGATACCAGATCAAATGTGTGGGGCAGAGGCCTGATCGCGTGGCAAACCGAGCCGCGAATTTGGGATCAATGACTCCTGCCTTGTGTTCACTGTAACCAAGACACCAGAAGTGGCTTGGATGCATAAATTAAGACATGTTGAAATAAAGTTGCGTCATTTAACTCCTGCTGCTGACCTTGAAGCATTCAAATCTTGATGGTCCTCACCGAATGTATGACCAAAGAGGCAGGAGTTGATGGTGATTTATGTGATCGAGGGCAGACAGGAATCCGCATCGGGAAGAAACAATAAAGGATATATTGACGGTAGTGAACCCTGCGATTATCTTGACAGGAGAAGCACCCCCTTCCCGTCGCATGAGTCCTGTAAATTTGGTTTGCCTCCTCCTAGCAGGATATTTTATTTAAGTAAATCTCTGAAACAATTTTTCTTACAACGAATGTAGATAATTAAAGTTAGATCAAAGAATTCGCAATCGGTGCATTCCCAAATTTTGGTACATTTTGTTTCGCATATTCTGATCTGACTCGTCGAACAAAAAGAAGTATGTGGATCATCCCTCATCAAGAATGCGATACTTTATCTTTTCCCCTCATATGGAGTGAGATCTATATAAACCTTGAAGTATGCGATCTTGATTAACACAATCTAACTTTGCTTGATATTGATGACCATACACCAAAATAAACCTGGTTCTGCGGCAGGTCAGTCTTCTTCCAATAGTCAAGGAGTCACACTGACCTCAATTAGTGATCACAGTCATCATGGTAATGAGAGCGAAGAGACTAACCTCGAATTGCCCCCACTAGCAGCATTCGCCCATGAACCCCTCCGAGGCCACACTGCCCCAGGCTTCAGAAATTTGACGGACACAATTCCAATTTTATCTCCCCACAGACAATCAGATCTCCGATCGAACTACACACTCGGATCGCAACCAAGAGAAAGCGGGTTGTTCAATCATAGCATAAAATCGGCAGATGCGCGCCAGGGTCCTTCGCTATTTCCTAGACATGCTCCAGCTCAATCAAGTGATTTTGACTCACAAGACTCGCTTTTTAAACACATAAGGAACACTCAAGATTCGGCACAGCCGAGCCGCACACACTCGTTATCTGAAAGTATGGAATCACAATTCAATGCACAGAATCCGAAGCGTTCGATCTTCCTGTCTCCCCAGACTTTAAGTCGATCTGCAGGCACTTACCCAATCTCGCTGATCAGCAGCAGGCATAAACGTTCGCAGCCAACACAATCAACGATCGTGCACAGAAATCAGATTTCAATATCCAGTCACATGGATATGTTCAGTTTGAACAACTCCTTAAGTGACAGACCTGAGGCACCCAACCAATACACGACTCAACTGTCAATGTCTTTGCTGCTGCACGAAGACAAGCTGCATTCATCAAATGCACCTGTCATGCCGACAGGGTCTGCTACGATATTCCCGCATCAGCAATCCCTGTCAACATTTACCGACGCTTCAACGTTGACCCATTCCCGTGATGAAACGCTACATGCGATCCTTTCTGATATGCTCAAGCTCGATGCATTCAATCTAAACACTTTTTTATTATCGCTACTTCGCCGAGTTGACAAATCATTACCTTTGGACGAATTTTATAACGTGCTTTACAACCCAAAATCTGACAATGACGCCATTCAATCTGCGATAGATAAAATTGATAAAACTTCAACTAATGACGATCTGGAGAGTGGCATGGAGATCATTCAACGTGTGCTTGAAGTCTTTCGATTTCCGGAGACTTTGTACAACCAATATCCGTCCTTGGACGGGTCAGACCTAAAAGCATCTAATGTGAATCTCCACGAGCTTCTTCGATCCCTATTGGCTATCAAGATTTTGCGTCATTCCTTAATCGAAACGGAGGATGGAGACAGACATTCTGAGCGTTCACCCATCCCGAGACTTGATATCTACAAGGTGTACTACATACTCTGCCAGAAGCTCATACTTAAGTACCCGTCATCATCAAATACAACAAGCCTACAACAAAAACTCATATTTGGGCAATCAAAATTGGGAAAGCTTATCAAGCTAGTGTACCCTAATCTTGTCTCAAAAAGATTGGGCCGTCGCGGCGAATCACGATACAACTATTTGGGTATTCGTTGGAATGACAACGTTGTGAGCGATGAGATAAAAGCTTTGTTCAGAAATGACTTACCTGAGCTTACAGACATATTCAAAGTTCTGAAGAAGACGGCAGGAGCTTCCCACAGCAAGTCCACGCTTCGCCGTCAACAGTCATCTTATCGACCCTCCCAGAACAAAAGAAACAGAAGCATTAGTCAAACAGAAATGATAAACAGAATCAAAGCTCAAGGAACATTTGTGGAGCCAACTCATTTCTTCCCCGAAGGGCCCTTTACTCTGAAAGCTTTTCTTGATGAACATTTAAATGATAATATCGAAAGAAATTGGTTTGCTGCAGCCCTTAAACATTCTTCGGATGCATTGGAAGAATCTGGAGTCTCACCCGATGAAATGAACAGGCTCCTTTTTGGTGAAGATGAGCCTTCAACGGAGGAGGATGACATCTTACTTCGAGGAGTAATAGACGTTGTCTTACCCAAGCTATCAGCATCTCCAAATCAGCCCAAGATATTTCTTCATCTATTCATGGTGATATCGCTCAAAGTGTTCCCTCACCTCCTACTGTTGCGAAAGCCACTTCACACTGACAATATCAAAAGGCTTACCAGCAAAGTATCACATCTCATCAAGCGAATCGAAGGAGAGATGAGCCCACTGGTGAGTCAAAAGATGCAACAACATGATATAAGAAACTTTTTGGGGATCCTTTCCAGAATGATTCACTTAAACCAATTGTTAGCCGCTTTTTTCAAAGCTGATCTTCAAGACTACATCTTGAAGGAAATGCAAGAGGATGTCACACGTGTGGCTACCGAGGGCCTGAAGGATGGCTTGAATGAGACTTACAGGTTGATCTCGGAAGCTTGCATCAGCGTGCTTCTTGCTAGTCGATACAGACCACAGTTTCGAGGCGTTCCAGTGAAGAGCAATGTGAGACAGTTCCTCTTCGAATCTTGCCATTCTATAGAGCAAATGGTGAGTCATGATCTAGCACTGTTTGTAACAAACGTTATGGAGGGTTGGTTACCGCAGACTGAGGAGAGCTTTCATGGTGCTTTGAAATTTAGGTTACTACTAGCGACTCTCAAGCTCGTTGACGAGGGCGTTTTAAATGAGGACATCAAAGCTAGATTTCCCGCACTGGTAATTCGGGGATTATACTCAAAAATTGCCATTCAAATTCTTCAATTCACGTACAGGGCCCATACTTCCATGCTTGGAGGCAAGACAATGACACCTGCAAACCCAACCTTTCGACTTTGGTACGTTTTAGAGAGCTTTATCCAGGAATATCTAGACGTCCTTGCCGAGATGAATAGTCTTCATCTCAAAGCAGTCGAATCAATAAGAGCATGAATTCCACTAGGACTACGCCGCGCTTACCAGTCCTTTATTAAGATACGCACCAGCCGCTGATGTGCAGTCCAGGATGAAGAAGCCGATTCACGCGATCCTTCTCTGGCACTATTCCTGATTTCATGAACGACCTCAGATCCGCCGTGCACCATCAAATAAAATGCTATGAGCTAACTTCAAAGTCCAAATCTCTATTTAGACTCAAATCGAAAAATGAGAGTCGCATCTGTAAAACCATTTCAGATAGAAGGCAAGATAAGACCTTACTTGAACTCATCCTGAAAAGGAACCGTCTTGACAGAAAGATCAATGAGATGCTACATGAAGCAGCTGAACAAACAGACCCAAGCAAAATCACAGATATTGATGAAGCAAAAAGCTTTGTCAATCGTTTTCTCTTAAGGCAGAAAGAAAAGTCGGAGCAGATATCGTCGTTGATCGACAAGCATAAAAGATTCCAACAGGATGCAGCTCAACAGAAACAAGTGATACTCGGAGACCACGAGAAACTATTACCCAAAAAAATCTCAGGGTTGAGCAAGCTAAGTCTGCTCAATTCCCTGGAGAAGAGCAGGCTTGACGAGGAGCTCAAGAAGAGGCTTCAAAGCCATTATGAAATGATCGCTGACCGTCAACGCCAATTGAGTCAAGAATCTGATGCTATGCTTCACGAGCTTGGTGTGCCGTTCTTTGTTGAGAGTAGTCAGTTTGATCATCTCAACGACAACGAGGTAACTATGCTCAAGGCGAAAATCTTGAAGCATCTAATGAAAACACTTCTGTGAACACACTGGAATTAGGCTATTTAGTTCTAACTGTATAGTCGTCACCAGACTGTGTGATATAACGAACCCAAGGGTATGACTGATATTGTAGCTTTGGTTCATTGATGCGTAAGTAGCGTACCTGAATTCCTGAGGTAGTGAAGTAAGGAATTGTGAACTTCACTTTAATTGGCTTTTTCGACACAATACTCTCTGGGTCTCCAACTGCAGGCAATCCAAGCTCAGCTTTCATATGAAATTGTTTTCCGCCTGGGAACGTCTTGAGCTTCCATATCAAACAAGACTTTTCCGGTATCCACTTGATAGTTCCGTACTCAGGGGTAAACTTGGGCGTATCAGCGTCTTCTGGTATGGGTATGATCACCTCAACGTTGTTTGCCGTCGATTTCTTTTTGATCTGAGCCTTCACCGAACACAAGATCTCTATACGGCTGTGTTTGTGAACAACGAATTTGCAATTGACAAGAATCAATGGCTTGACAAGAAACTGGGCCGACAGCAAACGGTATGACATTACCGTGAACTCGCCGTCAGGTGGGATAAAAGTAATGATTCTTTCATTTTCAAACTTAGACAAGCGAACACACTGGTGAAACTTGATATCCTCCATCTCGATCTTCTTAGAGTTGGTGGTCGACTCTGTTGCTGTATCATCTTGCATGTTCGACGTGAAGATGCCCTTGTCATTGAGTCCGAGACGAAGATCAGGCATACCACTCAATTTTGATTTCATCTTCACCTCTCCAAGAATCTCACTATTCAACACCTGTCCATTAGCATTAATCAACATGTTAATAGATTCCACAACATCCAAAAATGCCTCATTCTTCTTGTACATGATACCATCTTTTCTCCAACTGACCGCGTTAGTGACAGCACTAGGAGGCTGCACCACTCTCGATGGAGTTTTCCTGATGAGTTTATAGTAGTCTTGCGTAATGTACTCTTTTAATATCTTGGTGTCAGTTGTCTGTGGAACTCCAAAGTCCATCATCTCATCCAATAGCTCGTATGTAATAACAAAGTTGTCTCGGATAGATTCCTCCTCCAAACTCTTGAAATATTGTTGGAGCACTTCGATAATTTTCGACAAAAATACCACAATACCCATGACGTTTTCATTTTTTCGGGTCAATGCACATATGTATAGGTTGTTGTGGTTGATATAGACATAATTGATGCCCTTGCTATTGATGTAGGGCCTGTAAAGCGATTCGTCATCATCATTTTCAAGTTCTAGAAGCAAAAGCGGGAAGTTTTCTATCGTGTTTGCAGGAATGTCGCCTTTGTAATCTCTCGATAGCAAAGGCTTTCCCTTGGCATCCAAAAAGTGAACCTGAGAAGCCATAGTACCGGCGATATGGGAACTGTATATGTGTTGAAATGAAATGTCAGTAGCGCAGTACATCCGTACACCACTACCTTTGGACGTCAAAGTTCGATCCGACTCTGTCAACACTGTATGCGAAAAATGAGGGGCAGCGACAAGCGGTGAAACAAAATGAAGAAGATCGAATAGTACTAAACGAAGTTGTGCTGTTCTCAACTCGTTTTGCGTGTATCAGACCTGCAACACCTAATGAGTGAGTCGCCGTTGGAGCCGAACTGTCGACTGCATCATCTTTGAAACACCTAAATTTGGATAATGCAGTAAAGAAGAATATTTAGAAGCACTAAATAGGCCAATCTGGCTGAAGCCGTTGTAGGTTGTGCGTCGATGTCCTGAACAGGACGAATTTAGGGTCACCTTTCAAATATAGCGATACGCACAAAAAATAAAAAAGAGATCTCAAAATAGAGTTTTTCGAGAGGGGGTCTTTTCTGGCAGACAAACAGATCAAAAGACTAATTGTTGAAGGCGGATTCCGAGGCGTATCGTGGAGAAGGAAATTCCAGAAGATTGGCGGCCAAGATAAAGTCATCTGAAGCAAATCCCACACAATACTAAGTAAGCTCTACAAACATACACAGCCTTGATCAGTGGTATAAGCCCACCTCTATTTCCAAGACACCCTGATCAAATTCCACCGTGGTACCCGCGACTCAATCAATAGTATATTGCCGAGGAGGTGCATGTTACATAGTTTGAAGAGGCGCGCGGTGGCTCGGCTAAAGGCTGCGTCGTTTGCAGCGTGAGAAAGAAGAAAACAAGCCCCGTAAGCCTCAGTGTACGGCGCTGTCGTCAGAAATAGCAGTTGTTCGTTGGAGACGGGGATATAAAAAAAGAATGGTGCTATATTCCTTTTTAATATCGTGTCTGCTTCGCCTGGGGCGTGCCTGGCAACATAGCCCTGTTATGCTTGGCGTTGCCGACAAGAGCCAAGTTTCTGGGTGGGTCTTGGGATCCCTCATACATAACTCTTGATTTCTTGTCTTGGCTTGGGTCTCAGCATGAAGGTCCGCTTAGGAATACTGCACACAAGCGCACAAAGCCTGCACGAGGTAGCGGTTTTTATGCTTTGTTTACCCTACCACCCCATCGATTCCACATAGCAAAACAGCAACTGTACATACTCCCACAGACGATTTGGCCGTTCCCACTGCGTTTTCTCCCCGCGGCCGGTGTAGCGCTTCTGCGGCTGTGTGCATATTTCGCGTTCGGCTTTTCGTGGCTCAATGCACTAGCCTGATGCTTTGCGTCTATACTTTTGCATCTTCCATATATAACTCCACTTACCCAAGCGGTGCCGGCGGATCTTTTTCGACACCACACATTTCTTAACGTTCGCTACCATAATGTTCTGGTCCCTTTTCTTCCTTCCGCTACTTGCCTTAGCGGCCGACATCACCCCTATCGTTACGAAAGGTAACGCTTTCTACAAAGAGGGTACTGATGAGAGATTCTACATCATGGGTATTGCCTACCAGCCCGGTGCAACCTCCGACCTTTTCGACCCGCTCTCTTCTCCCGAAACATGCAAGAGAGACATTAAACACTTCAAGGATCTTGGTGTCAACACCGTTAGAGTGTATTCCATAGACAACACCGGCGACCACGACGAGTGCATGGAGGCCCTTGCAGAGGCCGGCATTTACTTGATTTTGGATACCAACATCCCAAAGGCTTCCATCGCTAGAGATGATGGTGCTAACTGTTCTTACAACACCATGTACCTTAACGAGGTTTTTGCAACCGTTAAGTTGATGAGTAAGTACAACAACACCTTGGGTTTCTTTGCCGCCAACGAGGTTATTGATGACACAAAGACCACCCCAGCCGCTGCTCAGGTCAAGGCTGTTGTTCGTGACATCAAGACTTTCCAGAGAGCTACCGGTCTTCGTCACATTCCAGTTGGTTACTCCGCTGCTGATGTCAGCTCCAACCGTCGTCAGTCCGTGGAGTACTTCAACTGTAACGATGACGACTTGGCTCGTGTTGACATGTTTGGATACAACGACTACTCCTGGTGTGGTGACTCTTCTTTCTCCCGCTCTGGCTACGACAAGAAGGTCGAGGAGTACAGCAACTACTCGGTGCCATTGTTCCTTTCGGAATTCGGTTGTAATGAAGTGACTCCACGTAAATTCACTGAGGTTGGTGCCATCTTCTCTGACAAGATGTCTCCTGTTTTCTCCGGTGGTATCGCTTACGAGTACACTGAAGAGGAGAACGAGTATGGTTTGGTCGAGCTCAGCAACGACAACAGCACTGTTTCTAAGAAGGACGACTTTGACTACCTCAAGTCCCAGTTCGCCTCCGTCACTTTGCCAACTGGTGATGGCGGTGCTCGTACTGACTTGGATCCAACCACTTGTCCTACTGTCGACAGTGACTGGGAGGCCAGCACGGATATCCCTGATACTCCAAAGGGTGCCTTGAAGTACTTCCATGGTGCTGAGCCATCTGGTAATGGTTTCGATGCCAACACCCAGTGGGCTTGTGTCGATGGCGACAACGACATTGATGACTCCAGCGACTACAGTGGTGCTTCTGGTTCCTTCACCCCAAGCGCCCGCTCCTCTTCCACCGGTGGCTCCAGCTCTAACTCCAACTCCAACTCGGACTCCACCACCACCAGAAACGTTGCTAACAACATCGGCGCCATCTCCGGTTTCGCCTCATTGAGTGCTTTCATCTTCGCTCTTATTGTCTAAATAACGATAAATTTACATGCCAATTTGACTATGAACTTATGTATTCTGCTTGATGCCGTACATCATCTCCTCCTTATTGATCAAATGACCTATGCTGTCGACCTCCTCTAATAGCTTGTCCACATCATAGATCCAGTTGTTCAACAAATCGTTTATGTTTTCACTATTGCTCGTGATCTGCGCTGCACCCGCTGTTGAGCCGTGCTTCAAATTATCGAATTTGATGATGCCTTGTGGCCTGTTAATCTTAGCACTAATCATGCCTTTGTTCACCATTCCACTAACGTGCTCCTCTGCCTCTTGGGGACTCACCTGCAACAAGAATGCCAACCTGTCCAACTTGATGAACAGATAGTACATATTGATTATACGCAAGTTGTGTTCAATAATACGGTTCTGCAAATTCGTATTGTTTGTTTCGTTATCAGCGAAAACAGATGACTTGCTGAAAAAGGCATTACGGTAGTCGCTTTCGATGTTCTCTGAGTGAATGAGCTCGTTTGTAGTGAAGATTTCCAAAAGCTCGAACACTTTGGCATCCACGTTCTTGGAAAATGCAGAGTTGGCCTTGATCTTGTGAATCAAATCTGATTGTAAGTTGTCAAATGGCGACAAGATGATGTAGTAGATAATAGACACAAGTAGGTCTTTGTACTCCGCTGAAGTTTTAACAAGTGGGATTTCGATCAAAAGAAGCGAGTTTCTCACGATCATAAGGTAGTCATTTTCATGCTTGTTGATTTCCAACAAATACTTCAAGTAGGTTGCTTTGTATTCATCGGCCTTGTCGAAGTTCTTTAACGTCTTCAAAAGGATCTTTCTGCTCAAGATTTTAGCTTGACTGAAATCTTTCTTCTGTAAAGTCAACCGAATTTGCTCAAGAATGTATTCAATCTTCTCTTCGAATGGCATGAGCGAGTAAGTCTCGACCTGCAAGTCACACAAGATTTCGGTCGCTTTATCTAAGTCGTTCTTCTTAACCAAGTAGATCTCCGCAAGCATCTTAGAAACAACAGCTCGTTCAACCTCAACAAAGATCTTCTTGTCAGTGACAGTTCTAATCGTGTCGATAACTTTCATCTTCTTTTCCAATTGGACAGGCTTGTCGTTATCCAAAGACTTGAGGTTCTTGATGATTTCCTGAATCATCAGCTGGATCGACGTCTTTAATTGACCATGCTTCTTGGTCAAGGGTGTGATTAATTCATCTAAGTAGTCCCAATCATCGTGATGAACGAGTGTTTCGACGATCTTGTGCAAGATTCTTTTACTCGAGGCCAAATCGGACGACTGACGAATCTGTTTCTCCAACACCAAGTACTTCTCAATAGCCTGCTTGTAGTCAGGAGTCTTCTCGATTAAAGGAATTTGCTCCTCAAGAGTTTCGGAGAAATCTTTCTCCGCTTTAATGGGGTCCTCTCTTGACATTGTGCGTTTATCGAGTGTGAGAATGAAGCTTTGTCTTGTAGGTGAGTTGTTGCCACATACGTGCGCGCCTCAAATCGGCATAAATACCTTCCTATATAATCTATACTCTGCAGTTGTTGATATCAAATACCAAGATATCAGTACCACCACATTTTTTCAAGTCGTCCATAACATCACTGATTCTAGCCTTTTCGACCATGGACGAAATTGCAACCCATGGCTCATCCGTCTCCTCGCGGTTTTCCAAAGCTGAGATAGTAGCAGCTCTTCTGCCTGGAGTAATTTTCAAAACCTCAGGGACTATGGATCTTGGAGCATTGTAGGTACACAAGACAAATCTTTGAGCAGCCAAGATACCTTCAAATCTTTGGTGAATGATTTTCACCAAGTCAGGGAAACGAGGCTTTTTGGACACAATCAAGTGAGCCGAGGTGTCCAAGACAGTAGCGATAGGTTTCAAACCAGCAGCCTTCATTGTCTCTCCAGACTCCACCAAGTCAACGATGGCATCACCGACGCCCAATGCACAAGATGCTTCCACGGAACCACCGACGTAGGTAATTTTCGTGCTTCCTTCTTCCATGCCATGGACCTTCTCGATCTCGGCAAAGTAATTGCTAGCTAGCCTTGTGAATGATGTGACGATCTTCTTTCCAAGCAACTGCTCTGGCTCATCGTAAGATCCAATCTCAGGGACCTGGACCTGCAATTTACACTTGCCGAATTGCAAATCCAACAAGAGCTCAACTGACTTCAACATATCGGCTTCCTTGACCTGATCTAAACCTGTGATTCCCAAGTCACATTTACCCTCGCCGACGAAAGTAGGAATATCAGCGGCCGGAAGGAAGATAAGAGCGATGGGTAAGTTGGTTGAAAGAGCAATATCCAATCTGTTGGAGCGTCTAAAGTGGATGTCAGCACCAGCAAGGAAGTTGCAACATTTTTCATATAATCTACCCTCTGATATGTTAGCAATAGTTATTTAACGGCGATTCCAATATAAAACATACTTTTGGGCACAGCGAACATCAAACGGTCCGGAAGGTGGTTAACTAAATCCATTTTGTGTTATAGTGTTCAACGGTATGGAAATTATTAGTTGATATTCTGCGATGTGCTTTCGCGACCGTCGATAACGATTTTCTTAGGCTGCGGATATGCTCAATGACTCAACCTACCACATGGGACATCTGCAGGAGCCACTACAGTTTTATGACTTTAGGATTTAATGCTGTAAATAGGATTAATGATACCAACCGATTCAAGATCTGAACATCTTGAGGGGAATTTATTTGCACCCTTCCCTCCATCTCTAGCCGGTTGATGAGATGACGAAACGGGTTCAACGAGCGCATATTGAACCGTTACTTGGCGACATCTGAAGTCATCGACAGATTGGAAGTATTGTTCTCGATATCCGACTTCACTAGCGAGTCACGATCGCTATCGCTGGAGTTGTCCTGGAAACGCTCGTATGCAGTTGTGGAGGAAGACAAGCCAGGCAGAGGAGAAAGTTCAATCTCCGCCTTGGCGTGTGATTCTGATGTGAGTTCTTGCTTCATGGATGCAGAGCTTGGGTTACCGTTACCACTTCCGTACCAGTAGACATTGAAGCTCCACGTGAGTAGCATCTTAATCATGTCCCAAGCAGTAAAGTCGGGCCATAACTTATTGCTGAACATGATGGCACACGATGAGGGCACCGCTTGCCACAATAAAAAGTCCGATAGCCTGTAGGTTCCACTTGTGCGGACCAAGATATCCAACGGAGGAGACTCCGAAGTGTACAAGAAGTCGTCGATAGTAGACTCATCGATGAAAACTGAGGTATCTTTGACCGCCTGGGTAACGATCTTCTTCACCGAATTAGTCATTTCATCTCTCGACGTGTACGGAAAACAAACGTTCAAGACTGCTCGGGTGTTGTCTTTCGTGATTTCTTCTGTTTCTGCTAATATCTTTTGAACGTCTTGCGGCAATAGAGCAACGTTACCCAAGATTCTGATTTTGATGCCGTACTTCTCACAAAGCTCACCCTGCTGGCTTATTTGCTGGAACTTGGACCTGGCCAAGTCCATCAACCACTCAACCTCATAACGCAGCCTTTTGAAATTCTCGATGGAAAAGGCGTAAACTGTGGCACATTCGACACCAGATTCGTATAGAAGCTCGAGGATATTTGCCATCGAGTCGAAGCCCAAGTTGTGGCCCTCTTTGAGCTCGATTTTGTGGTTTTTGGCGTATCTTCGGTTACCATCCATAATGACACCTACATGGCGAGGAGTCGGGCCGGTTCTGATAATGCTGCCGACGGTCTTTTTCACACGGGATACCACCAGTGTGTAACCGGGAAATGTCGAAATCCACTCGGACATGCTAGTGGGTATCAACGATTAGGTGAAACGGATGTGGATGTCTTGAAACAAAAAAGTGTATGTTACAAGGGTGACTTCGATTGCGAAGGTGAGAGAGCCTGCAGCGAGCAAAAAGAAATATTTGTGTTTAATCAGGCAAGTTCGGGGGAGGAGCCATGTGGTTTAATTTTATTATGTTGGTTGATATTATCTAGAGCATTCCCTCATTTTGAAGGATTTTACGGGTGTTTAAAATGTGTGGTTACAAGGGCTAGCTCGCTCATAGAAAAAGGCGCTCTCCCACTTGGAACATTAGCCAGCACTACCCGATTTGGAAAGGTTATGATTGTCTTACAGAAGTTGGTTAGATCTTGACGGTGTTTGAAGTGATGAACTCCCGGTGCACTTTAAGAACTCAGGACACGATGTTTCATCTGATAAAGCACCAGCGGTTCCATTGTGCGATATCGCTAAAGCGAAGAACCAATGGCGTCTAGATAACGCCGACAGTTACTTTGGTAATGGAGTTCAACCATATTATTAAAACACCATTCTAGCTGTTCTGGCGTTCAAAATATTGAAAATCTCATGACGCCTCGGGTGGGTGAAACCGAGGTACCGAGGTAACTGCGGCTACTTTTCGCAGCCATCAAATGCATCACCGCCGGGGCTATCTTGCAGTAGGCCCATAGGAATGGCATAAGATCCTAGATACTGAAGACAGTAATTAAGGGGTACCCTGAGACTGGGAATGAAAAGAAAGGAAAGTTGAGAAACAAAAACTTTGCTCCACCTTTCCTCAGGTCGGGCCGGTAGTTAGCATCCTACGAGTCGCTCTATTGAGGCTGGCGATCTTCTCAGATAAGGAAACTTAAAGATTTGTGATATTATCGAGAAAATAATCAAACGAGCGGAGACAAAGGGGTCTTCGATTTGGCAACTCAAAGGCGTCATTACTTTCGTCTCGCTTGCCTCGAAGCTCACTTTACTACCGAGCGAGCCTCGAGGCAAACCAAATCCACCTAAGCGCAACAAGAAAAAAGAGAAAGTTTAACACCCAAAAAGTTCAACATTGAATTAGAACGGCTCACCTCTATTCCTATCCCACCTTGACCAGCCGCCAAGCGAGTGTTCAAGCTTCTGAACCGACTCCTGATAGCCGATCTCTCAACAGACTTACCCCTGTACAGCATTGACCGAATTACGCAAATTACACCCATCGTCTTTGTCAAATCCTGCGACAGATATCCAACCAAGTAGTCCTCAGGAAGTTACTAGCCACCTAACTCACCGTTCAATACTTTCATTGCCTACATTTCAACTTTTTTATTTTTTTTCTTCATTTCTGTTTTGTTGGAGAATGTTGGCGAAGGCTGGAAGCCTGTGGGAAGCGATGCACCGCGTGCCTGTCGCCAACGTTAGGTGCCCTCTCCGAGAAGCTAAACCAGTGCGGTGAGGCACTTTTTGGCAGCATTTTTGCAACGCGTCGCGCTGAAGCTGCGTCTCGCTTCCCAATTGAGAAAATCTTTCTTTTTTTTATTAAAACCCTGCTCTCCAGGCGCCGTTCATTTGCCAGTTCCTCAAACCTACATATTTTCAGATTATCGTCAATCCCTCCACTCCAACCTTTTTCTTCCCCTGCCAGAACTTTCTTTGCCTTTTTAAGCTTCCCCCTGCTCAGGCTTAGTCTATTTTATTTTTATTCCCCAATCCACTCACTGTCACTCGTTCCACACCCTACATCATGCCGCTTTCAAGACAGGCCTCCCTTTTATCGGCCACGTCGAATTCCCACAGCCATCCAGAGAAAATTGGCCCTTGGAAGTTGGGAAAGACTCTCGGAAGAGGTGCCACCGGCCGTGTGCTCCTTGGTGTCAATAGCTCCACGGGTCAGAAAGCTGCCGTGAAGGTGGTTTCCAAATCTGCTTTGAACGATGAGTATGACAAACCCACAAAAGGTGGCCTCCCCTATGGCATTGAACGTGAAATCATCATCATGAAGTTGCTTACCCATCCTAACGTGTTGCGTCTTTACGACGTCTGGGAAACTTCCAAGGCATTGTACTTGGTTTTGGAGTATGTCGAAGGCGGCGAGTTGTTCGACTTGTTAGTCGAGAGAGGCCCATTGCAGGAGCAAGAAGCCGTCAAATACTTCCGTCAGATCGTGTTGGGCACTGCCTACTGCCATGCCTTGGGAATCTGCCACAGAGACTTGAAACCAGAGAATCTTCTCCTTGATGCCTCCCTAAATGTCAAATTGGCTGACTTTGGTATGGCTGCATTGGAAAGCAATGGCAAATTGCTTGAAACCTCCTGTGGATCTCCTCACTACGCTGCTCCTGAGATTGTGTCAGGCTTGAAATACCACGGTGCCGCCTCCGATGTTTGGTCTTGCGGTGTCATTCTCTTTGCTTTGCTCACCGGAAGATTACCCTTTGATGACGAGAACATCAGAAACTTGTTGTTGAAGGTTCAGGCTGGTAACTTTGAGATGCCCGAAGAATTGAGTAATGACGCCCAAGATTTGATCTGGCGCATGCTTACAGTCGACCCAATGAAGAGATTGACCACTCCTGAAGTTCTTAACCATCGTTTGCTTAACAAATACCCTATTCCTAACGAAGATCTCATCAGTGTCAAGTCCTTACCTCATCCAGAAACGGCTTATAGATCATTGGGCTCGATCAAGAACATCGATAAGCAGATCTTGCTGAACCTTTCCATCTTGTGGCATGACAGACTGGAAGACGAAATCGTCAAGTGCCTCCTCAAGGAAGGTCCTAACCCAGAGAAGACATTCTACGCCTTGCTTCTCAGATACAGACATACCCTGGACGAGGCTGCAACCCCTTCGACCTCTGTCAATGGCTCTCCTGACAAAAGAATACCCCGTTCAGCATCCTCAATGTCGAACAGAGCAACTCCAAAGAGAAGAAGCAGTAAGATCAATGCTTCTACCGCAAAAAATAGACCAGTGTCTTTCCAGAGACGTTACGGAGCCAACAGAAACTCGATAATCAACACAGGCAGACTCTCCGCTGCATCAAGTGTTCAAAACTCCCCATTCAAGTCTCCTGGCAGAAACAACAGAGGCTACAGCCAGTCACCATCTAAGTCGCCTCGCAGAAAGCCGATTCCATCTAGGCAATCCGCAGCTAACTTGCCCAGAAACCTCTATAATGATATCGTGAATGCCCAGGAGCAATCTCAAGGTTCCCTTCCGCCAACCTTGCCATCAAAAGATTCCATTTACGCTTCCGGAGAGCAAGATCCTAATGCACACGCTAAACCATTCGAAAATGGCCAGGACAGACCCCAAGAACTTGCTCTTGAATCGGCGCCACCACTCGCTCCAGGCCCGTTGTCCAACTCTGCCAAAAGAACTTCCATGGCTTCCAAGAGGATGTCTAGACGCAAGTCGATCAGACAATCTCTTACTTCGGGTCTCAAGAGAAATTCTATCACGGTGAAGTTGTTATCCACTTACGCCAAGTTGTCCAGTGAGACTGACTGGGAGTATATGGATAAGCAAACCAAGCGTACCTCTGCAACTTTTGCTACGTTGTGTGATAAGATCTTTAACCAAGAAGACTACAGCGTTGACGATGAAAAGCTCGAAGATGAGGAGGAGAAGAGAGCTAAAGAGTACGAGAAGTTGATGGAGCTCGAACGCAAGAAGCACGAAGCAGAACTCAAAGCCAGAAAGGAGTTGGCCAAACAAAAGAGACGTCTGAAGAGACGGTCTTTGCTAGCTTCCTCGAAGAAGTTGTCCATCACTGTCACCGAAGACAACAAGGGAGAGCTGGAATTGAGTCCTGAGGGCGGTCACCTCCTGCAACCAAAGAGACAATCCAAGAACACCAGTAACTTGCGCTCCATCTCCGAAGGTGGTAAAGATGAACCACTGAACGAATTGACTCAGCAGGAAGTCGAAACTCTTAAAAAGCGGTCTGTGACCCAGCCTAATCCTCGTCGTCGTCTCACCCCAATCTTGACGAGACGTCCTGTTTCACGTTTGGACCCCTTGTGGACAGCGCAAGACATCCACAATGCTGGTGTTGAAGGTGAAGAGAAGTTTGAGAAAACCAAAAAGAGAGTGAACAGGGAATCGATGATTTCCGTTGGCAATGCTGATGACGTGCAAAGGCTCTCCAAGGACTTCGAATACGAAAATCAGGAGTTCCATCTTTCAGAGAACGAGAAGGAAGACGAAACTGAGTTGAGTGAGGAATACATGAACGAGATTCGGAAATCCAAGCTTCTCAACTCACAGTACAACCTTAAGAAGAACTTGAAAGAAGAGTCCGAACCTGCTCCCAAGAGCAGAGGCAATAAGACACATTCACAGAAGCTCGAGGACAGAAAGACGTTGATTGGAAGCGTTCATATACCCAAGGTCACGAGAAAGTCCACCCAGTTCTCTGCTTCCAACAAACGCTTGTCCATCCTCACCATGAGATCTACTAAGGAATCATACCGTGACTTGAACAGTATCCTTGACGCTCATAACGAGGATATTGATGAGAGCGAGCTTGCAGAAGAAGAGAAGTTAGACCATAACATGCCTCAGCTCAGAACAAGTTTTGCTGACCGTTTGGATCGTGCTGGCTTTTCAAACGATGACGAAGAGGAGATGTCAGAGAATGGCTCGGTGATGGACTTCGATGAACATCTTGCTAACAAGCGCTCTTCTTATTACGCTGGCAACAAGCCTAAGAGATACCCAACGACCAAAAGACATTCTGTGAAACCAAAGAGGGGTCCTTTGGATGACGATGAAACCCTTTTCGAGGCTAAAATAAGCCCTGATAAGAATGCTGACTACACTTTTGCAGACGAAGGCGACAACAAGGTTGTCGACAAGGATGACGAGGATGTTTTTGACAACATCAAATTACCAAAGGACAAAAAGAGAACCTCGCAAAAGCCCAAGAGGGAATCGGGTAAGAATCCAGTTTCCACAATGTTGATTCCTGACATGGAGAAGGTCGAGTCTGAAACGAGACAAGAACGCCAGAAGCCAAACGGGAGAGTACACGATGATAAGGGTACGATTAATAATCATCAAAAGCGTACTAAGCCATTGGTTGACAAGACCAACACGCAGCATGCTCCTCCAGAACAGCCCCAGAAGAGAAACAGATCAATCTTCCGCAAGTTGTCATGGGGTACGAAGAAGTCCTTGGATGATAATGAGGCCCAACAGCTTCCTTCACCAGCTGACTCCAGGGCAAACTCGGTCGAAGAGAAGAAGGGCGGCTTGTTCTCCAGATGGTTCTCATCGTCTAATACCGCTCCAACCGCTGACGATATCAAGAGATTCAGGACGATTTTGCCAAAGCAAGAGATGATCACTGCATTGTATGCTCTTCTCAACTCTTGGTCCAATTTCGGTTTGAAGAACCTCAAGAAAGACCAGGTCGGATACAACATTACGGGTGCTATTTCTAGCAACAACTCATTCAACTTGAAGAGTTGCAAGTTCAGAATTAAGATCAACCCTAGAGCTTTGAACCAGAAGTCGGAGTTGATTTGTGCGAAGGTGAAGGGTTCAAGCGCTACTTGTGCAACATTATTTAAGGAGATTCAGAAGGTTTTGGAGAAGGAAGGAGCTTTGGAGACCTAGACGAAGGGATTAGGTCTTGAGCATTTTATCGAAATTGTATTATAATTAAGGAGATGTTTTACATCGTGAAGTCATTCTAGAGTAAGATTGTAGATTATATGCGTTTGTCGATGCTTAAATGTGCCTTTACTCAGGCAGTTTTGGAGGTGGATTCACCGGAGAGTGATTTTATCTTCTTCTTGATAACCTTTCCAGGGTTCAAAAGGTAGACACATTTCTTATCTATCAGAATGCACTCTTCACGACTGGTTTCTATCTCTGCTTTTGCCACTGATATGCACAGCTTTATCGTTCCCAACAATTGTTCATAAATATCAGCTTCTTTTGGTTCTTCAGAGACACCAGACTCATTGCCATTTTCGCCCTCTTGCTTAGGAACTTCTTCGTTGATTGTCTCGAGTTTCACCTTTTTATTAGTCTTCTGGAATTTCTCCGCCAAGTACCTGCCAGTCACCTTGCTGTTACAGTCAAATAATGCTGCTAACGCTATCTGTGGTGGTGTGAATAAAAACAGGACGTCGCCAATGAGCGCATGATCATTAAGCCATTTTTTGGCTTGATCGTATAATCCTCCTATAACATCAATATTGACATCGCTCAAAACGGGAGAGGGATGCAAAAGGACCTGCTGTACGTCGAGGAAGAAGCCATATAGTGGTCGGAATGGATGATGAACAAGAAGTGTGAACTTTAGTGATTGCAAGACATCGAACTCGAGGTTGAGAATATCCAGTTTTTCTGTCTTTGGAAGAAGGTCACAAAATGAGTCTATGGAAATGAAGTAGTTCTCCAGCTTTGCCGCTAGAAAGACACAAGTGAAGACAATGTTTTTCGGATGGTAGGACATTGGGGAGTTGATCAAGAAGAATCTTTGAAAGAACGACACCGCCGTGGCCTTCACTTGCGTAGGCATTCGGAAATGCGTGCATGTCTGGATAATCTGCTGTGCAAAGAATTGGAGGTATTTCTGCTGTTCATCGAAGGTGATGAGATCTAGTAGCTTCTCAGACGTTAACTCATCTGAAAATTGCTGGAAAGCTTCAGGTTTCTCCTTGCTCATTGTAGCCTTGACCTCGTTGAATCTTTCGATGGCGGCCATTCGACCATCTTCATGAGTGCTTCGTTTGACGTTATCGAGTTCCTCGATGGTGTATGACCAAAGTTGGAATTGAGACGATCTTCGGTATAAATCATCGATAGAAACCTCTTTCTTCTTGGTTTCCAGAGGCGATTCCTCTTTGATTTGAGGTTCGGAGTTCGTCATCACCGTTGAAAAGATGTCAGTTAGTTCTGTGTTCTTTTGGTTCTCTGATATGCACTTCCTACATGCGGGTGGTAGCAAAACCCACGAAACCTACAAAGATACAAGCTTTTTTTTTTATTTCGGACTAAAGCAAAGTCTTTCTTTCATATTATCTTCAAATAGTCTGAATCTTGACTGATATCATTTTTGCAGAATGTTGGGACCTAAATCGGCGATCTGCGTATGGTTGACCGATTCCTTACATCTTGATATATAACCTGGCATTCCCCAGTAAACTAATATTACAGTATCCACAATATTATCTAGCACTCACCTTACATGATTCCCCAAACATCCTCGCAACCGTGGCAGAACTTGGAACATGCCACAGAAGCAGACAATGGGTAGTTTGAAAGACCAATCTTCTCGTCAACGTACTCATCGGCGAAATTGTCCTGTCCTCTGGCCATAGCACCAACGAAAACGCATATGCTCTCATCCTCGTCCAACGTCTCCACGTAGTCTTGCACTCTTCTGATCTCGGCATCGAAACTCAAGGTGATCTTGCGGCACTTAATTGGCAAGTGGTCTGTGATGGGGTTTTTGATAACCTTGAGCAACTTCTCCTCGGAATTGACCAGGCGGATGCTGAGCTTGTGCAATAGTTGGACCATCAAGCCTGAGAATCTCTTGAAAGTTCTGGGTATTCTGACACTTGGATTAACCTCAATCAACACACCTCTGGCGGTGTGAATGAAAACCTGCAATCTGCCAGCTTTGTTGATGGGAGAGTCCAACAAAGTCAAAAGACATTGGTGGGTGATATCGGGTCTGGCCTCGGCGATGTCACGGCCCATCTTTCTCAACAAGCCTTGGTGATCATCACAGTTCAAAAGAGCATACTTGTCGCCCGCAGAGGCACCAGTGCCAATTTTGTGAGTTTCCAAGCACGCCTGGGATAAAACAACGACAAGTCTCTTTGTGTCCTTATCCTTGGATGTGAGAACCTGGGGTCTGGAAGGAACGAAGGATGCTGGGGGAGCAGAGGTCGATGATTTTTGTGAAGCATCACTGCTGGTGGATTCTTTCTTCACCTGTGTATCATTATTTGCAGCAAAATCTTTCGAATTTCCCTCGGCCATTTTGTTGGAGGTGGAAAGGACAGTATACTATGTATTGATCGATGAGATGGAAAAAAATCAGCGAGCAGCTGCATGGTGCGTTGGGTTGAGAGGATAGAAAGAGGTCGAACGAACAAGAAGAAAAAAACAAAAAAGCTGGATTAGAGCGATCGTCTCCGATCATTTAAATCTTCATCGTAGAAGTGAAGTTCTGTCATTTCCAAGTTTCGAATGTCACTTGCCCTCTTAGTCCCTGCTACTTCCCCAGAAGTGCAGGAAACAGTTAGTACTTACGATATCGCTCGAACATAGATCACTACACATTACATCCAAATCGATTGGGCCATAGGGATTTTCTTTTCATAGCCGCTGAATAAAGCGTCATGTCTGACGATGGATTTGACGATGACGATCATCTCCTAATGGAGCTCGTAAGAGCCACCCAAAAGCCTGAAGCTCCTTTGGCAAATACCACCGAACAGAGAGCTCAAAACCCACTGAGTAATGGAGCACCTCAAACTAGTATGGAGCAAAGGCTCTTTCGGGCCGACGGAGAGATTGCAATTCTCAGAGCTCAGTTGCAATCGCTCCAGAGTCAGAAGACTGACGAGCTAACGCGTCTTCAGAACCAGCTTGAATCGGCTAGATTGCTGGGAGAGGCACAAGCCAATGCTTTAAAGCAATCAGTACAAAGGTTAGAGGACGAGAAGAAGTTTCTTGGTAACGAGGTTCGTGCCCTTTCAGCTTCCAAGAGAAGAAAGATTGATGTCCCTAGTACAACCAAAGATGATTCGGCTACTCCAGCTCCACCAAGTCATCACTTCGTGCATAATATAGACAAGAAGCCGGACTTCCATGCACCCAGTTCCTTTTCGATCAACGTGAATGATGACTGGTCTCAATTTTGCAACCACATATGGAACTCCACCATCTTGGGTAGCCTGAGGACTGATGCCCAGTTCTTGGATAAGATTTGGCTCGAGGCGCCGATTACTGTGGAAGAGCGAGTAATGATTCCGGCCGAAACCTCTCTCATGTCATGCGTGTGGAGCTTCATACTACGACACAGAGACGCCAGACTCGACAATTTGGTCTTCATCTTCTGTGAATATCTTGTGCATCTTATCCAAGAGCTTCTCCTGCGGCAGAACCTGGCTCTCGCTGTGCCGTTTCTCCTCTCCTTGATAAACTCTGCCATAAACTTCAAAACAGGTGCCACAAGTGAGAAGTTGGTCCTTCTCTTGACAACAAAATTGGCCAGCATCCTGGATCACTTTCTGCATTTGCTTGATTGGACATTTGAGGCGGACGATCCACTTCTCACTAACCACGGGAAAACCTACCAGCAGCAGGTCCTCGAGAGATTCACTGTCACGCTTCTCTTTGACGTGATCGAGAATGCAACTGTGATAGCGACCCAGTACGGTGCTGACTTCGTGAAGTCGCTTTGGACAGATCTGATGGATGTAGCACTTGTGCTAAAGCTTCTTCCCGAAAACACAGAAAGGTTCAAATCTGCAGCTCAAACCAATTTGTTGTATAACTTTGTTGAAATGCTTTCATCCTCGTTGATCGAAGATGGAATTGCAATCCGAGATGAGAAACTTGAAAAGCAACTCGTCACTTCCCTTATCAAAGTGTTCCTTATCGATGTGGAAATAAAAGAGGATTCGATGTTCTACGGCCTTAATCGACCTTTAGGTTCGAATCTTGATTTCGCTAAGATACTACAGATGGTCCCATCAGACCCCATGTCGGTAATTGGCCAGCCATTTATTTCAATTGCATGTCCAGCTGATGAAAATAAGCTCGACAAGTTCGAAAGGTTCGAGATGCTCGAGGCACACGAGCATCATCTCTTGAGCTTAAGGCTTCGAATTGCGTCATTTCTAGAATCACTTGTCATGTCGCCCTCCGGTAATACCATGGAGATTATTACTTGCAAGGAGAGTATGAAGTCAATTGTTCGGATCATTGCATTGGAGCAAAATCAGATCATCCATCAACCACGCTCCAAACATGTGCACATGAGGATCTCGATCGTTGCCATATTCCTCAAAATCCTCTACTTCATTGCAGGAGAAATCGAGAATATCAACACTATCATATACCCAGAAACTCTTTATGAGTTGTTCGTCGTTCTTATGCGTATAGCGTTTGGGTCCGATCACTTATCACAGGAAGCTACGAGACTACTCACCAAGATAAGAGCGGAGGGCCATGTACATGTGCCAGTTTTCAACAAGTGGTGTGAACTTCGAGCCAGACAGGTGGCTCATTTTAATGTTTATGAAAGTGGACCAGATAAGTTCGATGAGTTGGCGGCCATTGAGACAGATTTTGCCAATGGACTCGAGGTTCCGTACGAGCAAGACACCGTGGAGATAGCAAGGGAAATCTTGAGTCTCTGTGTCAATCATGATGAAGCAGATAACCTTTACTTCAACATGAACTACGAGGAGGTTTAATAGAACTTTTTTTTTTTTCTAATGATGTATTAGTTACAAAACCGTATTTTCGCATGACACGCTTAAGCAGACTTAACAGAGGTCTGGAAACCGTTGTTGAATCTTCTGCTGACGTGCTTCAAGTAGGCCATTCTACCGGTACCGGTAGTTCTTCTTCTCTTAGCCTTCTGGGCCCAGTTGTGAGATCTCATCTTAGAAGATGGGTAGCCACAAGAAGCACAAGTCTTCTTCTGGGCGTGCAAAGAACGACGGCCGCATCTGTTGCAAATGATGTGAGACTTGTTGTGTCTCTTACCCATAGATGGAGTACCCTCTAAAGAAGTTAGTATTGGAGCAGGCGTGGAACCCTACAGATCGTGACAAACATGACAAGGAAGTGGGAGTTGGAGCTGTGTTTCTTGAATGAGCTGGATATTACTTTGATTCTTTGATTCGTTGGATATGGAACATGTTTTTCAGGAGGGAGTTGACTTTGGTCGAATTAAACGGGATGGACATCGACGATGGGAAATGGACTAAACAAGAGATTACTTGCTCATGATCTGACACGTTTGACTGATTGCATTGGGCTGGAAGTTTGCTTGACGTTGTACATACTACCCATGTTGACTGATTATTGATGTAGATGTGGAAGAGAAATCCGAATATGGCCCTTTTTTTTTTCGCAAGATGCCAGGCGGAGAGTGGGTGCCGGAAAATTTTCTGTGAGCGTGGTGTATATAGCGCACCTTTAATGGCGTCACGTGCATTAGGGTTTCAGCCCTAGACATCAAATGAGAAGCGACAAGTGCGTCTATGCTACAAACACAATAGAACCCAAAAAGAAGGGGAGTATGGTACGGACAACGTATGGAATACCACGTATAGAAGGAACGATGACTAGCTCAAAGAAAAACTAAAAAAGAAATGCGCAAGCCCGGAATCGAACCGGGGGCCCAACGATGGCAACGTTGGATTTTACCACTAAACCACTTGCGCTTTAGATGCAAGAATTAGGCTTTTGCAGCTTTAAGAGTTTGGAGATTATATGTGTACTGCACAGAAGATTTGACATCCGTACACCTCTCTCTAGTATGGGGACCTTTCCATATGGCTTCAAGAACGCTTTTGGGTAAGAGAAAATACTCTAGACAAATTTTAGAGTGCCAATTAAGGCATTCAGGGGAAGGTTTAGTAGCCACGGGGTTTCTAGGCCCCGAATTGAATCTTCTAGGTCTTATCGCAGGAATTTGGTGATCATTGGGTCAAGGTTGTCTCATTAAATACAAATTGTTCCAACATAAAGGCAACAAACTGACCCCAGTCAAATTTCATCTTGCAATTGACTAGACGAGCATCAAGCCAAGGGGGCACGTAGCTCCAATCAAACCTCAGTTCGCAGTACATTTGGCATTCAGATTCCGTGACTATGGTTCATGCATGCTTACTCAAGGGTCACGTCCGTAGCAATATCTGATTCGAATATGCCATTCACAGACAAAACGATGACTTACTACAGATCAGGGGCACATTTCTTAGGGTCAGCAAGTTGACCTTATCGTGTGACTAGCAGAGGCGCGTCTAGACGAGTCAGCCCTCTGTTCACATTTTGAACCACCAAAATGAACCCAGTAAGTTGAAAAGCCGCCATCAATTGAAGCACAGATCCCTTTCAAAAGTGAAATCAGGCCCACGATACAGACGAGGTCACGGCTTCTTCACGTGTGGACAATGCGAGTCACTGTGTATCGCGTTTGTTTGTTTTGGCGACACGCTGATACACAGGTAGCTAAAGCACCTGAGCCTGTAAACACTATTCCCGCCATCGATTCTTCCAAAACCCATCTTTGAAGAACATGGATCATCAATTTCCTCCCTCTTCTCCTGTCACTCATGACACGGAGTCGAGAGCAGACCCCTTCATGAAACCCAAGAATACTGGGTACGACTTACCCCAGAGAGGCAGGTTCGACTATCCTACGCCAAACCCATCCTCTACTGTTGGAAGATCGTCATCCCCAGCCAGAAACAACGACGAGAAGGAGGTACCATTTGAAGTTAAGCCAAAGCCAACTGTGTCAATCAACAGAGATTTCAACATCGTGAACCCTGATGCTCTGGTTTTGAGGGTGCCCTTGATCTCCTCCAAGCCAATCGTGTTTGTCGGCAGAAGTCTGAAATCTTGTGACTATTACTTCAAGACTCTCGATAAGGCTGTCTCTAGAACTCATATCAAAATTGAACATGCGGAAGAGAAGTTGAATCTTACGTGTTTGGGCTACAATGGCTTTGGCATGGTGTTGCCTCGCATGTGTGAAGTCCGCAAGGTTGAAGGCAAAGAGTCACACTACACGTTAAAGGAGGCAAAGAAGCCTTTGAAGTTGCAAAATATTTCCAAAACAATTCATTTGGACTACCAGCACACTGAATTCCATGTCAGCAGGGGTGAAACCGTGGAAATGCCTCGCTTCACCAACGTGCTCGTTCAAATCAGAGATAAGGTCGTTTTGGTGAACCCAGAAGATTTTGAGGAGGAGTTGACGGATGAAGAGACTATTCAACTCGTCAAGCCTTCTGTCCAAGAGGAGGAGAAAGAAAGCATTAGTGAGCCACTTCAACTCAACGATGACCAGCATGACTCTTGCACCAAGACAACCTCGACCCCAATCAATAATACCAAATATGAACCAGAAACTCCTAAAAAGTTTCCCTTCCGCATAACCTCCGAAGAGCCTACTCCGATAAAGACTGCCAAGCAGAAGACTACACAGTTTACCATTCTCGAGGACCAATCTGAAGAGAAAGAAAATGAAGAAAAAGTTGAGGACCCTCCAGTTGACGAAAAGTTGGACATTTCCAAGCAAAACTTCAAAAGGGCAACTACGCCTTTGGCCGATCAAACAAATCAAATTCCAAAAAGCCCGCTCGTGAAGCGCAGAGCTGTAAGCGAGGAGCCCGTCGGAGTTAAAAAGCCAAAGAAGGAGCCAGCAAGAGATTCTGAGGGTAAGCTCATCATCGACGATGCATGCATCAAGGGATTGAAAAACGTGAACGAAGTCAACAATATTTTGATCAATCATTTGGCATTCTCGCGACTTTCATCAACGCCCGCCTCATACTTGAATACTATCCTGGCTGTCGTTTCTGAGCTCACTCTCGAGCAGTTACGTACTGTTCTTCATAACGTCGGATGCATTGGCGTCATTTACAGACAAGGTAAGGATGCTGCTGGTAAGCCTCTCGAAGAAGAGTATTATTACATCCCCGAAAATGACCAGGACCCTGAGAGAATCAAGTTGGTTGGTTCCATTAAGGGCCATGGTGGATTGAGAGCATGCAGAAGAAAGCATAAACAATACTACTGGAAAAAACCTGCTCCAATCAAGAAATAGATTTACATCGCGCTCCTAATATAAGTTCATTCATGCCTCTGTCTTAATTCTTTTCACCGTCGCTTTACTAGTGATGCTCGACCTTTTTCCGTTGACCTCTAGCTTAACGGATTCAGTCACTACCGATGAGGTTGGTTCAGTCTTCACAGTTGATTCCTTCTTCACTTCTGTAAATTCGACATCATGCTTAATTTTAGCTCCATCTCTTTGATTAATGCCATTGTTCAAGTCCGAAAGGTCTGCTGCAAACATCACCAGCTGTGCCCATCCTGCGTACTTGCCAAAGAGCTCCTGAAGGTGAAGGCGAACTTGATGATATGAGACCTTGTTCATAGTTTTGGGTCCTTTGTATTTGTAATCCCTTGTAGCGATCTGTAAAACGTGTGTGTCAACAGGCACGACATCGTGCTTGTCCAAGGCCATGAGACAAATGCAATCAGCAACCTTGGGCCCAACACCAGAGAGCTGAAGAAGAAACTCGTGAGCATCTTCGTATGATTTCGATCTTTGTTCATGAAGTATATCCATGGAGATTTCTGGTACTTCAGGGTCCACAAACATCTTTGCAGTTTGGTTGATGTATTTCGCCCTGTAGCCAAAACCCAAGTCTCTGAGCTTAGCTTCCACTTCAGGGCCTGCAAGAACTTCTGGCAGTGGAAAGGAATAGTAGGCATGATCCTCGAAGTCGTTGATGTAGTTACCGAACTCCTGGCACAAGGCATCACACATCTTTGAGATCCTTTTAACGTTATTGTTGGACGAGCAAATAAACAGAATCACTGTCTCCCATGGATCCTGCCTGAGCATCCTGATTCCTGGAAATGTCGCAAATGAATCTGCCTTGCTTTTGGCTCTATATTTGAGCTCTACCTCGCTCCATTGCTGGTAAAGCTCCTCAAGTTTGACGTCCAAGTTGAAATAATCGTGAATAAATGCGTGGGTCTTCTCGTAAGCCTTGGAGATGGCGTTCGACGAGTCCTGACCGTCGGAGAGAACGCAGGCGTAGTGGATCAGCTCAGGGTCCTGTTTCAATAGAACGATCTGATCGTTGGCAGTAAAACTCCAAATCGAGTTCACATTTTTCCAACGGAAGGTCTGGCCACAACGTAGAACCCTTGCCAAAGAGAGCTCTATCTGAGGAAGTGGGATCTGCTTCCACACCAAGTTGCCAGTCATGAGGAAGAAAAGGTAGTGAAGACTACTCCATACATCCCCAGGCGCGTCTTATCGCGATGGATTCCCAAAAAGGAATTGTAATTACTATGATGCTTGTAGCGTGAGTTAGTGACAATGGAAGCAAAAATACGAACAATATCCTTTGATTCCATTGGAATGAAGAGCCCTTCTTCTCAGAAATACATTTATAGAGGGGTCTGGAATTTTCGCAAAGTATCTTGATTCTGACAACTTTGTTAAAAGTCGTATGCGCACTGAGAACTTGGAGTACACCACTTCTATATATCCCATTATTTATAATTATATGATCACACTTTTTAGCTTTTATTGCTCAAAATACTTCTACACCCCCGCAAGTTACTTGCTTTCACTCTGTGCCTCCTGTCTTAACAAAAAGTCGAGACCTTGGCGAAGGTCTTCAAGACTGTTTTGAATCAAGGTGTAGAAGTCCCTCTTTAATAAAATTTGGCACGACTTGCGGTAATGTGTAATTCCGTAATAGGTGTGGAACAACTCGGCCTCATGAGGTTTTATGTACAAGGAGCAGTGCCAGTTGTAGAAGGCAGTGTAAGCTCTTGTCGTCCGCTGATATAAAATCTGACATTTAGCGAAGGATTCTGTAATATCAGTGGCATCATCAGCCCACATAATGGAAACTTGTTTGAAAGCAGATATTGCCTTATCGCATGCAGCTTTTCTGGATTCTTGCAGATGACTCTTATTCACTTTTGCTGAGGTCTTCTCCAAGAGGTCGGCAAACCGACGCATCTCATTACCTATCTCAGCGATTCTCCGTCTTAAGGGTGCGTTAACCTCAGTGGATAGGTATCCAAACAAAATGCTGAATTGATCGAGAATCTCTTCCACTTTGCCATTCAGATCGGGGCAAGTCTTGGACGAGTCAATTAGATGTACGACCTCTTCCTCAAGCAGATTGTCCAAGTGGTAGAGAACAGCTTCTCCATTCTCGTAAAGAATGTTCTTATCATTTTGAGAACGGAGCTTTTTGAGCGCATGAGAGAGCTCTTTCAAATTATCGAATGATGGTGTCTTGGGAGTCTTCGTGGTGCTGGTGTTGCAAGTCTTGGAGGTTCCTTCTTTGGCAACGTTCTCTTCACAGCTTCCTGAAGGTGACAGGGCTCTTTTTGTATCATCTTCCTCCGAAGGCTTTGGCCCAAGATGGAGAGTTGCGAGGAATCTTGCTCGCTTTGTTGGCTTCCTCTTCATTTGAAGTGAATCCTTCGTTGTGTCCTTGGTTCTTTTTGGTGTTGCCGAGGAGTCTTTCATGGGTACTTCAACACTTTTAGTCTTTTCACTTCCCGAATCATGCTCCTCGGGTTTGGTACTTTGGCTATTGGCATCGCCATGGTTGTTTGAGAAAATGGAGTTGCTTTTCAATGAGTCTTTACAGATTTCAAATGATCGGCGAAGCGTAGAACACCTCTTTAACTCTTTCTTTCTCAATGCTTTCTTCTCTTCTTCTGGTGAGTCGAAAACCTCCTCAATTAATATGGGTTTACTCTCTTCGACTTCATCGGGTAGTATGGTCTTATTACCACCCTCTGTCTTCTTTTTGCTAGACTTTCTCCTGATAAGGTACTTTATCGACTTGCCTAATGAATTTCTCAGTATTCTGCCCCCGTCAGTGGGAGTCGTCGTCGTTGCAGTAGTGGTGCTTTCAGTGTTCTCTGGCATGATCAGTTTAATTGGTAGCTAAAAGAGCAACGTCATTGGGCATTTTGTAATTTATATCCAAGTGGCAGATACTAATGGTACTAAACCTTCCAAAAAGGTTACATTGCGTCATTCGTTTCGAAAATATGTTATCTTGGAGTTTCCGAAATTGGTGGATGAGAAAGATTCTGGTAGGAAGAACTCCTGCAACGTTTCTCGTTTAGTCAGCAGAACACATGTGGAATTAATGAAGAGAAGATGGAAAAGTCCTCGTCTGGAAGGAAGGATTTGATTTTTATTGTAGAAGATTCCAAAAACTGTACTTTGCAATTGAGGGCACGACAGATGGTAGGCACTTTTGTCGTAAAAGCTATCCTGACTTTGCTTTAGACGAATATTAATTAATAATGCCAAATATTTTGACACTTCATTTCACTTTGAGTGGGTATTATACTTGGTTCAGTACTTGGCCTCAATTTTGCAGCCACTCCAAGGAGGACATACGAACCGTGGCGTTGGAAAAAAAATACCGGTTTCATAGCAGCTCTCGAAATTTGAATAGATCACAGAAAAGTAAGTTCTCCTAATTTTCTCTTAACCTGGCTATCATCGTCTAGTATGGAGCTTGAAGAGTGGCGCCTACTTCTATACTGCACGAGTCGCGTACATCTATCAGGAACCACCAACCAGGTATATCAAGTTCATGGATGAGAAATGCCCCATATGCTTCAAATCGTTCCCAATATCTTTTTTAGAGCGTCATGTTAATACATGTTTGGACACACTTGAGCTGCTGCTGCCTGCTCCAGCACAGGAAACTGGAGATTCAGGCGATAACGGGGCTGATAAACTGAATCAAGAAGACGCGAAGCACCAGGACGCCTTTGCTGCGTTGGGCTTGAAAGCAGACTCGAGGAAAGCCAATGATAAAGCCGGTAAAAAGGGTAAAGCCTCTCTTACCAGCATCTTGATTGCCGAGAGAAGACTCAAACGGAAGCAGGAGGATCTTGAGCGAGAGATCAAACGACAGACTTTGGACTTAGAAAAAGACCTACCCCCTCAAACTCAGACACAAGTCGATGGTGAACCAACACAAGTTACACGTCTGCCTGAGATTGAAGTTGAAACATCGTTTTCAAAAAACGGAGCCCTCGAAAACTCACAGCCTGCGACTACACAACATATACCCAGCACCCCGGAGCTTGAAGAGGAATCCAGGCAGAAGCTCAAGAATCAGGAACTTCTCAAGCTACGAAGAGAAGCAGAGCTACCGCTTGCACAAAGACTACGACCAAAAACACTCGATGATTTCTTTGGCCAGGAAAAGTTAGTCGGCCCACACGGGATTTTGAGAAACATCATGAGTGCCGAGAATATTCCATCGTTTATACTCTGGGGAGTTCCAGGAGTGGGCAAAACGTCTTTGGCCCGTATAATTGCATCTCTGTCAGACTATAAGTTTGTCGAAATATCCGGTGCTGATAGCAACGCCAAAAAGCTAAAAGAAGCCTTTGCAAACGCACAGTCAGAACGACAGCTCACCGGGCAGAAGACCATTTTGTTTCTCGATGAAATTCATCGGTTCAACAAGGCAGTCCAGGATCTACTTCTTCCAGTTCTCGAGAAAGGTACAGTCACTGCCATTGGAGCCACAACGGAGAACCCTTCATTTACTTTGAATAATGCATTACTTTCACGAATGCACACATTTGTCATGGAGCCTCTCTCTCTGGAAGCTCTCGTCAGAATCTTGAATAGAGGTCTTTATCTCATCAACAAGACCAGAAAGTTGGTTCACAAACTTCATTTGATCGCAATAAGCAGAGATGCGATCGATCATATTGCTCGTACTAGTACAGGGGACTCTCGTGTTGCACTCAATATCCTTGAATCAATTAATGCGTATCTTTCAGGCTTATCCTACAAGGTCATCTCGAAGAAGGACTCGGAGAAGGAATTGGTCGACATTAATTCTAAAGTGGGAGTCATCAAAATTGGTATGAAGGAGCTCAAACCATTATTGGAAACGCATAACTTCCACCAAATGTACGATAGAGTCGGGGAAAATCATTACGACACCATCAGCGCATTCCACAAATCTGTTCGAGGATCTGATGCAGATGCAGCCGTTTTCTATTTGGTTCGTATGATTCATGGTGGCGAGGACCCTCTCTTCATTGCAAGACGTATGATCGTGATTGCCAGTGAAGATGTAGGACTTCGAGATTCGTCTTGTTTGCCATTTGCTATCGCAGCTATGGAAGCCATTCAATTTGTTGGCATGCCCGAGGGCGAGATCATTTTGGCTCACTGTGCTGTGAAACTTGCCAACGCTCCAAAGTCAACTAAATCATACCGTGCTTTGAGAGGCGCTCAAAGCTTGCTTAAGGAAAACCCGGATGTCGTGAAACTCCCGATCCCAATGCATTTGAGGAATGCTCCGACAAAGCTTATGAAGGAGCTAGGTTATGGCGACACCTACAAGTACAATCCGAATTACAAGCATGGCAAGGCGGCTCAGGTGTACCTTCCTCCTGAACTCAAGGATACTAAATTTGTTGATGCCGGACATTTTAAAGACGCAGATGATGACGATATCTCTGCCGAACAATACCAAGAGCTCGACAAGGAGCGCGAGACTTACGAGGACTATAAGAAGGCCAAGAGACAGAAGACTGTCGATGATAGAAAGAAGCAACGCAGCGTTACACGCATGGCCACAAGTAAGCTAATTGCGGATGATAGGCCGGAAAGATTAAGCAGTTATGATGAGTTCTTGGACAGAAGCGATCAACCGGAGTATTTTGACGGAACCGAGAGAGATAACTACTCTGACGATCCTGAAGCTTCGCATAATTTCGAATGCTCTTATGACGAGTTTGTTGATAATGGCGGCGAGAGGAAACATGCGCTGAACGTAAGCAGCCCTCTTGATTACCAAGGATCCCCGTCTACCTACCCTGATAGCCCTATTTATTACGATGAGATGACTACTTAATATGGGTCTCTGTATATACGCTGGATGCTGCTCGAACAAACGGATCACTCACTGGATATTCATATTCCGATTTTGATTTTGAGCTGAGTGGCTGTGGCATGCTGATCACCTTCGGTAGAACCAGCTTGTCCATTAGCTCGCGGATGGCTAGAATCAAGAGGCCCACAACAAAAAGCAAAAGCCAAACTCCTATAAATACACATGAGACAATGAGCTCGATGAATAGCGACTTCTTGTAAGATTTGATGAACTTGTCGCTTGAACTCTTGATGGCAGACCCGATCCCACCATCAGCGTCAGTCGTATCTTGCAAAGTATTAGTCATTAAACGCAGCATATCTTCTTCAGGTAATGAAGGATACTCAATCTTCAAGTTTTCGTTGATCCACTGAAGACCATCCTCTATTTTCTCGAGTTTGCGGCCGATAGTGCAGTAGACAATGGTCTGTAAAGGCGATGCAAACGGGGTCCCACCGAATACTGAATTAATGGTATCGTTGATGGAATTTTCTGCTTCAAGCAAGGTCTCGTAGAGACTCTCAGAAGTGGTATCGATCGAGCCAAACAACGCTTCATTGAGACTTTCCAGCAGGTTATCGAGGGCAAATTGTGTATCCAAAATGTACCCTTCGAAACTCTTTTGGGCATTTGAGTTTTGAAGAGCTGCATTGTCTTGCGTGAAGAAGTGATCAAGCTTGTTAGACGTAACAGACAAAAGCCAGTATTGGAGACCAACTACCAACAATCCTGCTAACCCTATGAGGAGACAATTTGTCGCAGTCGAGGAGGAGATGTAATTGAGGAGCCACTTGACACGATAGTTGATATTGAGATTCATGATGAATAACCCGAGTTTATTGCGCTGCACCTCCAAAACATTACCAATTCTCTCAGGGCTATTTTCCAATGTGAGCTCTTCAATGTGGCTCCTTCTTCTTCTGTAGGAGCGATACATGAAAAATGCCAATATCATGACGAGAAGAAGAATTGACAAGCCGAGTGCCAAAAGTATCCATGAGCATGTAGAGTTGATGGACTTCTCGAGTTTTTGAAAATCAGCATCAAGTGAGTCGCAGGTGTTTCCTGATGCACGTTTCTGATAGCTCTTGATCTCATCAAGCTTCAAAGTGGCATTGGAGGAAGTCATTGAATCCACCTCTTTTTTGAGAACATCGATGGGCTTTGTCACAACTGACGTCAAATTGGAAAGAACATCCTCGTAGTCAGGAATTTTGTTTGATAAAGCAGATAGGTCGTCAATAAATGTCGTTGGAATGGAGATGTTCTTGATGGTCGAGGCAGTCAAGTTCACCGTATCAACTGCCGAGGATATATCACTAGTATCGCTGTCCGTGAAAAAAGACTTGATGCTTTTTAATGTGGTGACAAATCCATTCACAACTGTCGAAAGGCCGTCGAGAGCCGAATTGAAGCCTTTCAAGAACTCGTTCACAACCAGCTCGACCGCCTCCGTTATGGTTCTCGTAGCATCTGTCACTATATCAAGAGCACCTTTAACAAAAGCTGTACAAAGGCAAGTGAATGTGCCCAAATAAACCTCAATCATGAAACCAATAAGGCCTTTCAAAATTGCCAATGCTAGATGAATGAGCATGCGTAGCTGTCCTAAAAGGTTGTTGATGAACTGCTCAATTATGTAGTTCGTCAATTGAGAAATAGCTTCGGGAGCTTGATCCGCTTGCTTCAGTAGGCGATCCATCGATTGGCACATTTGTTCCGCTTGAGCCTGACAGGCTGATAACCCTGTGAGCAAGGCATTCTTGAACAATATCACCTTGACTATGAGCAATACGAGGACTATCACGTATTTGTCGAGCCAAATCTGGCTGACCTGTTCTGCAAAATTAAGGTAAAAGCGCATAAGTGCTGATTAGGGTGCAACCCTGCTACACTTATAGTCCAGACCATCTGATGAAACTCCAAACACGGCTGAAACATATGGTATGCACGGCGATAATATGCCCCACAAAATGACGTCCGTTTTCAAATAAAGAGAGAAGGCTCGTAAACGTAAAATCTTTGACTCAAAACAGAGAAATCAGAGGTAAGTAGTAGCAGTTCATCACAATGGCATGGCATTTTGCAACTTTTATGTGCTGCATGATTGTAGGTGTTTCGTTGTCACACCAACAGTACACTCTGCACCAGCCTTAAGAAACTAATAATTTTTAATAGAGTAAAATTAAAGGAAATTCTCATTAGTTCTTGGATATATTAGGAGTCTTGTCTCTCTAGTGTTGTAAAGACGTTTCTAGATGGTGCGTCTCATGCAAGTTCCAAGATATGTGAGCCAAGAACAGACCCGCAAACAAGCAACAAAACAGAATAGCTTCCTTCTCCCTCTCTTGCCACTGTTAAGAATGCTTACACCACAAAATATCAATGGAACTCGCCAAAAGGGTGGAATTTGGAATTGGGACACGGTCACGTGATGCGTATCACATGACATACAGCATGTGACGTATGTAGCACTCACACGACCCATGGAACCAATCAAAGTGACGTAGGAGCGTTGTATGCAGTATTCATGTGGCTTGCCACGTTGGTTAGCAGCAAAGCGACCTAAAGAAAAGAAAAGGGAAGCAAATTCAACAATAGAGGTAAGAAAATCCTGCATATAATCCCGGTGTGGGATTGCCAGGCGATAAACAAAAACGCTCAGAGAACCATCTCTTGATATCAACCAGTACAACAAGAACCATGTCTGAGCAGCCCAAGGAAGAGAAGACGGACAGCACTCACATCAACTTGAAGGTCAGTGACGGCACCGCCGAGATCTTCTTCAAGATCAAGAAGACCACCCCCATGAAGAGATTGATGGAGGCCTTCTGCAAGAGACAAGGTAAGTCGATGGAATCTTTGAGATTCTTGATTGACGGAACCCGTGTCTCTCCTGACAACACCCCCGAGGATCTTGACTTGGAGGATGGTGATGTCATCGAGGCTCATCGTGAACAGGTTGGTGGTTCAAGGTAAGGTAAATACACCGTGTAAATGTACAAAGATTTTGGAAGTGTTTTGTAAACAGCGGGTGGAGAGACGAGAAGAAAAACGGTGGCAAACATCAGCAAAAGTTGACTATCGTAGGTGGACAAGGACGCCTTGTAGAATGGCGTTGTTATGGCCTTGGGAGGGGAGTGTTTGGCGAGGCGAGAGAAGGTTGGCGTGATGCAACAATGAAGGTCGGTTTCAGAAGCGAAGAGTTTAAAACGATACTTCTTTCATCGTTGTTTCTCCAGACGGTTGTAGATTTGCTGTTTGGTAGTGGTATCGCAGCCGCACACATTTGCAACCATTAGGTGGCCCAGACGTACCTAAGGAAACTTGACGTTGCAGAGGATAGAATCAGTTTAGCCGTTCAAACACACCCAACGAATTCATGTGATAACGTAAACGAATCCCTTGAGTGGAGGCGGTCATGCTGGCCCAATCTGGGGTTCTGTGGGGCCAGTACGAGTCCTCAGAAGCTGGAGCAGACCCTCCCTGGTTAGAAGGCCCCACATGTAAGAAGCACCCAAAAATCAGAAACTTCTGTGGGGCCATACTTGCGCTTCACAATCTGGCCTCCACATTTTGGGCTCCACAATTGGCCTCCACATTTCAAGTCCAGTGACCATGAAAACCTCCAAGCGGGGCCTCCCTGGATCATGTGGCTTGGACCGCCTTCACATCTTTTTAACTCACACTACAACTGTTCTTTAGCTATGAAAGTGCCTGAAAATGACTCCTTTTGAGGAATCTTGAAAAGAGCAAAAGGATGAACCGATGCCTCTTCCCCAGACTGCCCCAGACTGCCAAAGTGCAAGATGCAGATATTCTGAGACATCGGAGGCGGCTAGGGAAGCAAGGGGGGACCCTTGGAAAACAAAGGAAAAAACGACTCTCCCTGGCCTGAGCACCTAGACCCTGAGGCCCCGCCCGGACTTTAATGTCCGCCCGTGACGCTGCCCCTTCGCAACCGTGGTGCCATTTTCCAGTGCGGTAGAAGTCGAACCGTAATCCGGGGAAATTTTGAAAAACATGCCTACAAATTGAAATCTGTTGCTTTGAAAATTTGAAGACAGGGTGCCTGTCTCAACGGTCGTCAACGGCGCCAGGCTTACGGAGTTCGGATTTTCTGTTTTTCCTGGGGCGCCTTCCCCAGCTTTCACGCTCGGGAGAACGGATGTGCCTCGGCTCAACTTACGTCAGACGAGCTCTTGCACCAAAACGCTCCGTCACTTTCCGGTCAAAGTATAAAAGGCGCCGCTGCCACTGTTTTTCAGGTTTGTTTTCAAAAAATTCTCACAATGTGTTCTCCAGCTATTTGCGGCATTTGCCACCACAAGTCTTGGACCGGCTGCGGTTCCCACGTTTCCAACGTCATGGACACCTCTTCCAGAGAGGACTGGTGCACCTGTGAGCCTATCGACGACTCCTCTGACCTGCTGTACCCACCCAGAGCAGGCACTGGTTTCGCCAAGGCCTCGCCACCAAAATAGGCGAACACAGAAGAAGAACAGAAGAAGAACAGGAGAGATATGGGGTGTTTGGGGCGGCGAGGGGGCCGCGGTACATAGGTAATTCAGGAATTTGATAACGAAGTGTAGGTGATTTAAATTGTTCTTGATCTAGTCAGTTGACATTGTTCAGTGATTAGTTTGGTGGATTTTACGAAAACTATGGCTTTCTGCTGGAAGTGCCGGTTTGCTATCACCGGCTGTAACCGGATCATTTAGGTGCTCCCGGACATTGCTCAACGGTTTCCAGGGCTTCTGGCAGGCTTGTGACAGTATACCGAGGAGCCAGCTGTGCGACCTGTCCGGGCTTGCCGTATCAGCTGAGGTTTTAAATTTTATTTTGATCGGTATTTCTTTTCTTTTTTTTTTTTTCTGGTTGCAATATGGCTGTTGCCTTCAGGTTTCTTCAACAATGGCTGCGAAACGCCTTTGAAGCTCCATGCAACGATGATAACATCTACTGCTTTTCACAAAGTACGCTTGTAGTTTTGCTTCACAGGCTGCTCCACTGCCAACTTCACTGCCAACTCCACAGGCCTCGGTTCCGGGCTACCTCGGGAACTTAGCATGCTTTGCAGCACCAACTAACCTTGTCAGATCCAATGCGAAAGCTAGCTGTGTTGCTTTTACAGAACGTGCTACCATTTCAGAAAACACGGAGTTCGGACCATTGGCGTGTCGGAGAGATCCGGGCCCGTCAGAGTCCGCCATGTAGAGAAGCTGATAAGCGTAGAGAGTCAGTGCATGTGAGGCCGGCCTGAACACAGGCAGGGTAGGGTGAAGTCAGATGGGTTTGGTGAAAACGCTTCGTATAGCATTTTGGCTGAAGTTGGCCCAATCCAGACTTTAAACGACCATAAAAAAAGCACCACAAAAAAGCAGACTTTAAACCACGGCTGCCCCACTCTTATCTCTCAAGCCTCCGTGATATCAACCATGTTAGATTGGCTGCGAAACAGCTTTATTTCCCCGCCGCCCTACCACACCCCGCCTCTGCAAACACCCAAAGCCTCTCGAGCTGAAACCACCCATATTGATCTATTAACCTTCTCTTTTGACCCGCCAGACCCAATAATACAGCTGTTCCCAGCTTTACCATGGTCCTGGTGTACGGGTTTTCTACCTGGCCCTCTGCCACCCCGTGCTTCCCAGCTTTACCGCTTCAGGAAGCCTTCCATGCCGCGGCTTCATATGAAGAATCCTTCCCCAGCTTTTGCGCGAGCGTCCCAAAATCTCTGTCCTGCATACAAGCCGACGTCACTCGCATTGCTCGTCTGTTTTCTCACGTTCACTCGTGCTCACTTAACGAGGCCTGGTAATCTGCATCCGCCTGGCGCCAGATACTCGCCACATTAACGCCGTTCACATCATACCCACACGTTACTTTTGCGGCAAAAAAGAAATTCACAGCCCGCCCAGCCGCACCCATACACCCCCGCCGTTCTATTTTTATTAAAAATAAAGCCCTGGCGCCCGCCGTAGACCCGTACACCCTCCCCTGACCGAGAATATCCCAGTCCTGCCAGCTTTCGAGCATTGTTCGTGCCCTGTCCTGTGTCCCTCACTCGTGCTTGTTTTTAGCCCTCGCCACATCCTTCATCTTTCCCTAACATCACCGCTTCAATTAGTCCACCCCACCACGAGCCCTGCCTCAAATCCTCCGAGTCATGAGTCTTAGGTTCCCGGACTTTCTCGGCTCGCTGGGCATCCAGCCGCCCAACGGTTCTGGCGACACAGCCCAACCTTCGAAACAGCAAATCCACCACCAGCATCACAAGGACTCAGATTCTGAGCAATACGCTCCCGACACCGCTCCCCAGCAGCCCCACCAGGATCCCGGTCTTGACTCGAATCTTGACTTTGATCTGCTTCTCAAGTCGAAACTATCCGCGTTGGGCAACAGATCTGACAACCTAGACGACCTGAACCTGGCCTCCTACTCCAACTCGTTTTCTCCCTTGACTGGCGCCCACAATGGCTTTGCGCTTGACGGCAGCCCTAATATCCCTGGCCTAGCCGACTTTGGGCCTTTCCACAGCCAGAAAAACACCTTCCACTTGCCCTTGGAGTTGCAAGGTGGTATCGGCAACATCTCCTCCAGGAGACCCAGTTACGCTGCAGAGCTGTTCACCCGCTCCCAGCAGCCGTCGCTGTCGCTGCCCTCGCAGCAATTCTCCGGGCCTGCCTCCTCCGCCTTCCACCCTTCCACGGCGACTTCCAACAAGAACTCTTTGGCGTCTTTCGCAGCGGCCAACAACTTCTCCATGAACACCTCCCAGCAGCAGCAACAACAACAACTGCAACAACAACTGCAGCACCGTGGCCTGACCCTGGGTGCTCTGTTCCAGTCCAACTTGGGCCAGGATGCACTTGCCGATTCGCTTCTGAACTTCTCGCTCAATACGAACTTGTCCGACTTTCAGGCAAGAAGGCCCTCTCAATTGGCCGACTACCAGGCTGTCCCTCAGCAGCAGTTCTATCCTTCTTTCCACCCACTGCAGCTGCCGTTTTTCGCATCCGGACCGGCCTCGGTATCGTCATTCCACTCTGGTTCCTATCAGCAGGCTGGTTCTGCTGGCATGAACATGGGTGGTGCTCCTCCAGCACAGAACCAGGGCTCGCCATTCACGGGCCCCAGCTCTCTGGTGAGCGGCTCGAACGTCGACATGGCTGCCTACGCCCAGGCGCTTCCTGGCCAGACTGTTAAATTAGACAATGGGCTCTTGTTGAAGGACCAGTACATCATGGCCTCCCCCGAGCTCAAGCAACAGTTCCTTTCGGCGATCAAGTACTTCCAAGACGTTGATTTGAGCGACAAGATATTGAATAAGTTGCAAGAGCTTCTAGGCAACCCGGTGATCAGAAAGTTGATCACTTTTGTCAAGAACTTGAACAACCTCACATTCAATCACAAAATGTTGTGTCTTGTGGTGAACAAAAACGGCAAGCTTGATTTGTTGTCGTACCCTAGCAGCTCGAACATCTTTCTTGAAAGAGATAACCTTGTGATTGTCGATGGTGACAGAGGCAAAGACTTGGTGATGATTTTGGAGCCTTTAGTGAATTTGGAGTTTGCAATCCTTTTCAACTTCCTCAAGAAAATTGAGCATTTGAAGTCCTTGACCATCAATGACGCCAATGGCGGTACATCAGTGAAAGGCAATCACAGTGGTGGTACACATTCCACATCTATGGACGCATCCACAATCATTAACAAACATTCGAACGAGGACAATGAGTTTATTATTACACTACCCACAAAACAAGTGTTGCGCTTTGCCACGCCGAAGGAGATACAAAAATTGAGCGGCAAGTTCTTGGAAGAGAAAAAGGCATTCATCACTTGTTTCAACAAAATCAAGGAGTTAGGACTCAATAATGATTTGACGCTTATCAACGTCGAATATCAATGTGATTTCAAGAAGTTGATCTTCTATTACTATGCTGGTTTCAAACGGATTGATTTCCGGGGTTTAATTAAGGAATTGTTCAAGATATACAAGACACGGATCTGGTTATGTGCTGTCTTACCATACGATAGAAGAGAGCTCTACACCAACTTGGCAAAGGAGACTACTGGCGGCGAATTGTCTACCCTCGGCAGCATTCCAAAAGAGTACGAGTTGTCCAACGAGCAAATCTTGAACTTCTCGGTCAAGGAATTCAACAAATTGCCAAAGCCCACGTACTTCCATCTGCGCAACATGTACAGTCTAGTGCTCAACCTTGAGAGTGACCTTAATGGCAAGTTTTACGGTTTCACCCAGATGAGCGACGCTGGTGTTGCAGAGCATAATGCAGGTGCGGGTGCACGGTCCGGCACTACGAGAACCGACGATACCGCCAACTCCAGTCCCGGTGGAAAAAACAGTAAGCTGTTCCGCAAGAATTCCTACCAGATCCCCCCGAATTTCGATCCCTTTGGTGGACACAAAAATGTATAATCTGACGGGTTTATAGAAAATTATGATAGAGTTAGCAGGCTTGGCTTTATGTAGTCGCGGTCAGTGCTACATAGTAGATGATCGACCCCAGTTACGTGAACATACCCTCCTTTTCTCCTCACCATGACCTTAACCACATATATAAGGCTGAAAAGATTCCGAAACTATGGTGTTGATTGGACCGTCACACTCGTTGTTTTGACATACTTCTTCTTGGTGGCCGAACATGCCAGACCGTTCAATCGTCAATTCAAGCTCAACGATCACACGATCCAACATCCCTTTACCCACCACGAAAGGGTGACTGGACCCATGTGTCTTCTTTTAGCTGCTGTTGTTCCAACCATTGTGATGACCACAGGAAGCTTTTTGAAGTACCGCAAGAACAAAGATCAGGCTTTGCACTTGTTGCAAGTCTCCTTGCTTGGCTCTGTTTTAACTGTCAGCGTTGCCGGTGTCATCACTGACATTTTGAAGAATTGGGTCGGCAGACCACGTCCTGATTTCTTAGAAAGATGTGGTGCCCCTGAGGGAACACCCTTGGATGTTTTTGTGGATATTTCGGTATGCACGGCTCCGCTAGGCGAGTTGCGTTTGATTGATGGTATGAGACTGACGCCGCTGGGCCATTCGCTGATTTCATTTTCGGCGTTTTTGTTTTTGGCAATGTGGATTTTTGGCCAATTGCAGCTCTCCGTGAACGTGGCCTCAAAGCCTGTTTACTTGTATATTCTCAGTTTATTGCCGCTCATTTTGGCAGCCTATGTGGCACTCTCTAGAGTCCAGGATTACAGACATCACTTTCTGGACATAGTGCTGGGCATGCTTATTGGCTGTACCGTTGCTGCAGCCATCTACAGAAAATACTTCCACTCCTTGTTTGTCGAGAGCTCCCACGAGATCAACGGCGAGGAAGAAACCGGCATTTTGCCCACTTGATTGTCGGCAACACTATAAGACCAGTTTGGCGCACCAATGGGAGTTCAAACAGACTCCAATTAAAACACTTGTCACTCGAGACATCCAGACCATCTTTTAAACGAACCTTTTGCGGCTCTAGACACCTTATCGCTGAATTAGCTTCGTTGTCGCTTCGTTGTCTCGGATACGTCTTGCATTAGCACTTTAGCGAGAACTCCAAAGCCTATATCAGCAATATATGCATTTACGACTAGCCCCGCCAACATCAAACGTAGGCCTTGGCCGCCAGAAACAAACTCCAAACTTCTTTTGCTTCGCCCCTTTTTTATTTTTCTGCAGCTCCTCTGTCCTTTATGTTTTGGTGGCCAGCTCCCCATGTTTCAGAATGCACCCAAGTGTCTCAGATGCGGTGCAGGCGAAACCATTTTGCAGCCAATACTCTCAGCCACCAATATAAACCTGGAGGCTCCCCGATTCCTTTTTGTTGATTTCCCATCATGACTACCGTCTACCAAGTTGTCTACGACACTGTTTCTCTGGCTGTGCTGCTGGGCCTGGACTCAGATACTACCATCACCTTGCTCACTACTATCAGAACGACTACTTATGAGCCAATCTCGACAACTACTGCTTCACAGCTGGCAGCAATGATGGAGCCTTCAATTCAAACATCCACCCGGTCCTCCTCGTCATCTTCTTCTTCCGCTCGTGCAACGCTGACTTCTTCTCTCAAGTTGGCTCAAACTTCCTTGGCCTTGACAGAAACGGTAACTGAACCAGGCTCCAATACAAGCGGAACAAAGCTAGGTTTGGCCATTGGCATACCAATTGCGGTCATTTCGCTTTTCGTGCTTGTGGCATTGGGATGGGTGTTTTTGAGGAAGAAGATCCGGTCCAAGTCCACTGAGTATTTGACCTATGATGCTGAAGAAGCTTACGGAGGAAAGCCTACTTTTGAAAGAAGAAAGAATCTCCCTACAGCCACCGAAACAACTGAAAAGAACCCGCCACGTTTTTTGAGCCGTCTTTCCAGAATGGTCAATCCTGAATGGATCCTGTCCTTGGACTTGAAGCTGCCTCTGTTCATGAAGTCATTTAATTTGAAGAAAGAAGAACCGGAAGAAAAGCAGGAAGAGAACCTGTCTGTGCCAGGATACAAATCCAAAAGACCTCCTTCGCTAGATTTGTCCAAAGGCTCTGTGAGCTCGGTGGAAAATGTTTCATCAGATTCGAAGCTCGTGGTGATCAAAGCTTATACTAAATCCCAGGCTGGAGAAATATCCATCGTTGTTGGAGACCTTGCTGTGATGAACTTCCACAAAGGAAATGAAGCTCACATCAGTCTTCTTAACAGAGAAGGCTACGGTTTTGTTCCCATGAACTGTCTTCGCAAATATTGAATTTTTTATAGTCCGAATGGATACTTATAATACACATCTTGTAATGTTACAGATAGGCCACGATGGGTCTAGTAGGGACGCTGGTAAGCGTTCTGTTGGTCATTGGCCTTGTATCTTTGATAGTGGCCGTATTGTCCATCAGGGGCCTGGGGAGCAGGGCGGTGTTCCGGCTGGGCCTCATATTGATACACTTGTTGAGCATCACCATAAGAGCGAACGCTTTGTTGGCTCAAATTTTGATGCATGGGTGCTTGGGGTTGCATGCCACTGTTGTATTGGTGGGGTGCCCTTTGAAGCGGCTGCTGGTAACCTTGTTGTGGTGGAGGTGCTTGATAATTCTGGAAAGCTCTCTGTTGGTAAGGATGAGCGCCACGCTGCTGGTGTGGGTGTTGATGCTGTTGATGTTGTGGATGCTGTTGGTAGTGCTGAGGTGGTCCATGCTGCGTTGGAGGAGGCAGTCTCATGTTCTTGGGTTGTGACACACTAGGTGGAATACTGGAGTAACCGTGGGCCTGAGGTGGGCGCTGCTGGTACTGAGGATGCTGCTGGTACATGTGCTGGGGGCCTGGGCCCGGTGGCATCTGCTGAACAGGCTGCTGAACGGGTTGTTGAGGAGGAACTCTGAAAGCAGCTGTTGGGGCAACAGTTGGGGAAGATTCATCATTCTTGGGTTCAGTGACAACAGTGGATGGGATGGTCTGGTTCTGCTGAGAAGCTGGACTGCCCGTTTGAGGCGCTGGACTCTTGGTCTGGGGAAGAGAGTTCTGCGAGCTGTTTGGCGACATGATGTAGCGAGGTCTGTTGTGCTCCGGTGGTGCTTGGAGCTCCAGAGTCAAATTCTTTGAAGGTCTTGATTTCTGAAGTGAGATTTGACGTGGGTCCTGCTGCTGGCTGTATTGGCCTTGCAGAGCTTGCTGAATCTGCTGCCCATATTGGCTTTGCGAAGAGCCCTGGCTTTGGCCATAAACCTGATTGCCTTGGGGCTCCTGGCGCTGACCAGGGGCATTGTCATTGAGGTTGAGATGCTGAAGCTGGGGAAGCTGGTTTGCACGAGGAATTGAACCCTGTGGTTGTTGCCCATAGGCAAATTGACGTGGAGGATCTTCATCGTCGCTTTCTTCCTCTTCAGAAGTTTCTTCTTCGCCACTGCTGCTTTCGAATTGTTCATTGCGCAAAGGCCCGTCGGTTTCAACAGTTTTGGAAAACTGCTTGTTAAACTCGTTGTATTGAGTTGTGGGAGACTGGACCAGCGACATACTGCTGTTCCTCTTGTCATAGCCAGGAACCTGCAAGCTTGCAGAAGGCAATGGTGGTTCTTTCAAGCTCTCTGTAGATTCCTCATCTTCCTCTTCAATGTCATCCTCGCTCTCGCTTTCACTTCCAAGCAAGCCCTTATCAGTGGTTGGGTAGATACCACCACGCATCAACGACTTCTTTCTCATAAGAGTTGGAAGTTTGTCCTCCTCAATCTCCTCGGCACCACCCTTCAAAATCTCGTTTCTATCGTGGAATCTATCAGAGGGGCTCTCAATAGTAGAGTATTTTTGATAGATGTCTGCGAGTTGGACAGACTTGTGTGGGTCGGTCATACCAGCAAGACCAGCACCAGCGGCGGCACCAAATCCAGCACCAATAGCACCAGGAGCCAAGCCTTGCTGGTTGCGCTGCTGAGGTGTGTTGACCGACAAGTTGTGAACGTTCTTGTTGAAGCTTTGGTCGGTTGGTTTCATGACTGGATCTGGACCAGGTGGAGGTGGTCTGTGACGCTGAGGCAGACGTTGAGGCAGACGCTGTTGCTGCTGCTGTTGTTGTTGCTGCTGCTGCAAATGCTGGCTTCTTTGAGCCTGGGCCTGAGGTGCACTGCGAGCGTCTTCGCCAGGACGACCCATTGGTTGAGAAAGAGGATGAATGGCATTTCTAGTCTTCTCCACCTTCTGAGGGTTAGGCGACTCGTGTAGGTTGTTGGAAGGCATGCGAGACGATGTAGGGCTGTTTCTGGGACTCATCGAGTTCAATGCACCCATGTTGCCTCTGGAGCTTCCACAACCGTTGTAACCTTGAGCAAGCTTCGACTTCAAAATACGCTTGATGTTCTCCGTCCACTTACCGTGATCCCAGCCCATAAATGCGTCGGTACCGGCAAGCGGGTGAAGATCGCCTACCATGAGGTAATGCACGCGAGGCAAGGTAGGCAAACCGAAAAGAAGGGAGTCGGGGTCGAGTCTGTCGGCCTTAAGACGCTTAGGACGACCGTAGAGACCGAATGCGTCAAGCAACGGTATCAAAAATCTGATCAAGGTGTCGTAACCTGCAACAGCAGAGTGTTGTTCTGGCATAAGGAAAAGAGACGTTTCTTCAGACTGAGCGGCAGACTTTTTGGACTTTTTGGTCGACGGCAGCGAGAAGTTGATTGCACCTTCGAGCTTCATGATGGTACTCTTGTCAATAAAGAATGGCAGCTGTGGGTAGACGGCAGTGACCATGGAGGCCGAAGTGATGGTTCCTAGTAAGCTCTGCTTCTTCATCTTCTCGTTATCATAGAGCAACACACGGCCCAGCGTGAACTTGTTTTTCTTCGACTGCGAGGGCTCAATCACAGCGTAACAGCGCTTCCAGGCCATGCCTGAGCCGTAACGAATCTTGACCCAGTCAGAGTGGTTGTAGCGCTTCTCAGCCAAA